AAAAAAATCCGCTCCAAGGGTGGTGTGGAAGACGGCAGGCACGCTTGCTGGTATTATCAGAACAGTCAGCTCCACAGGGCGTCGAGATGTCTCCAGAGATAGCGAAGACGCCTGTGATACGAGACTGTCGACACTTAGAAGACCTCTTGGATTAGAGAATGTTCTTGGACTCTCAGTGATCGGAGATTTGGCAGACTCTGGCCCACTTGACAAAGATGCCGCATTCAAGACGTGTGGAGGGACAGCGGCCTTTGCCAGAGTCGTCATCAATGCGTCTCTAGGTGTAGTAAGACGCAAGAGTCCAGCGACCTGAGCAAAGCGCTGATATGCCTTGATGAGATTCCGGAAGTAATGATCATCGAGGGCGGCGTTCAGAAACGTGGAACAAGTGGCGAGCACAGCTGGCCAGCAGCTGTCGACAATGCCAGCCACTGCTCGTACTTTGCCAGCATAAGGTGCATCCTTCGCCTCGAGAGGGTTACTTGGAACGGCTCGAGTGCGGAAAGAGGTTGACCTGTTGCGGGTTGGCTGATCACCTAGAAGCAACGGGTATAAGAGTCAGAATTGTGTCAGGCGGTGCTCAGTCCGAGCGACAGAAACGAGACAGTGCTGCTATCCGTGACGCTATTGCCTCGGTCTTGCACAATCAGCCAGGATCAACACTCACCTTGTGACTCGGCAGCAGAACTGCCTTTCCTGCTTCGAGTGCGCTCATGCTGCACTGTCAATGGAAGGATGACCCTTGCAAGGCTGTCCGAGAGCCCATTCAAACATTCCAGAAGCAGTGCGTATGGGTACGTTTCCGGCAGCGCAGGAGCCTCGCTTTTGTCGAGCTGCTCCATGCATGGCGATTTTGGTAGACTCCATTGCGAGCTGACTCCAGCTACGCTGCTTTCTGCCACGCCCAGTGCTGAGCTGATGACACCAGCCATTCCCCCGGCAGCTTCGAGAGTCGCTTGGTCTGTCGCACTCTGGCCAGGTGAACTCGGTCCTGTGGGAATCGTTGACTGTTGACCAAGGCCAATAGCCGTCGGCTTTTCGGTCGACAAACGTACGAAAGCAGAGAGTACATCTTGAACGATGGGCTTGCCTCCCTCCCTTGAATCGAAGGCCGTATAGGCGTCGATCACATGGTTGCTGTCATCAAAGAAGTCTTTCAAAACCTCGAGAATAAGAGCTCGCTTCCATCCAGGGGAAGAATCTGTCTCCAGTAGTTGCGTGCCCAGATTTAATGCAACCTCACAGTCTCCTGCGAACCTGGCCATATATCTGTCGAGAATAAGGTCAAAAATCCGAAACAATCGCACAGTCACTGAGAAGGGCAATCTCTCCGAAAGGGCTCTGATTATCAAGGGAAACACGTTTGCGCCGATGATCGAGAGCAATTCCTCATGCTCATTGAACAATTCCGGATTCGAATTAACGGAAGACCATATCAGCTCCAAGCTGGATTCAGGTGGCAAGGCGGAGAATTCGACAAATTTGGTTTGCCGACCATCTGCAGCCAATGCTAGGTCGCGAAACACACGATATGCATCGAAAGCAGCAGGTTGGAGTTGAAGAGGCCCATCGTCACCGGGAACTTCCGCTGTCGGAGCGTCGACACTCGGAGCTTTGTCTTCGTTCCAGACTTTCCCAAACACGCTTGTCACGAGTTGTTGCAAGGTGGCTGCAGCGACGCCACTCACGGTGTACTCTCTGGCGGCTTGCAAGGAAGCACATAGCTGGAGGGCGCCACCCAAGAGATGCCCAACCAATTCGTTGGTATAGTTTTGGAGCAGGGTCGGCAGTGCCTGTAGAATCTTCAACTGCACGTCCAGGCCCAGGTCAGCACAGTTGTTGAATGCTTCCAGAGCATCTTGCAGTCTTGACCGCGGCAGTCCTCCGCAAACAATCAATCGCTGCAAGCAAGCAATGCCGCTGGCAGAGAATCGGGTGCTGTGTGTGGCGCATGCTATCAGAAACGGGTCGATGAAGGCAGGCCGACTTCTTAGATCTTGCGTCAGTCAGCTCCAAGAACAGGGCCCGAGATGAGACTGCGGTCTGGGACGACACGAGGCGTGAGGTGCGTGGGCCATCCCACAACACGGCACGGAGTCGTCCGAACATGAGGTGAAGTGAGGAGTAGCAATACATACCGGCCGCTAGTTGTTGCTCCGAAGTGACGGTGATAGACGAGAGTTCCTGCAAAGACTTCTCTGCCGCAGCGCGTAGTTCGGCATTCTTCCTCTTCGATTCCGATATCAAGTTGCCGAGCTCACTGGCCAGCATAGAGGAAGTCATGCTGTCTTGGAGCCGGTCGCTTCAACGCAGCAATCGAGTCAAGGCTGCCGGAACTTCATTTTGTAACATCGACTGTTGTCAACCACTACACCTGAGGCAAAGGAATGCTGTCCAAAGTGAGACGTTGCGTGTCCCGAGTGCACCGTGCTTTCTTCCTGCCTCAGAATCCAGGCCACAATCTTCGGCGACTGGGCCGAACATGAACGCAAGCAGCATCCCCTACAGTACCTAACAACGACACCAACAACTCCTCCTCCACGTCACCGTCTCGAAACCATGTCTGACGGCTCGAATCTCGGCGCAACAGCCAAAGCCGGCGGCGGTCTCGCAAACGACAACGCAAAAACCCAAGAGAAGCCTCTGCAACCTCAGAAACCCGCCGCGCAACTCGAGGAAGATGATGAGTTCGAGGACTTTCCAGTAGAAGGTATCCAAACTCAACCCTTCTGACCGATGGAAGAGAAAGCTAATGCACGGCGTAGACTGGGCCAAGGAAGAAGAAGTTGGACAGCAGGCGGGCAACACACATCTGTGGGAAGAGAGCTGGGATGATGATGACACGACTGATGAGTTTTCGACGCAGTTGAAGTGAGTAGCGCATGTAGACGGAGGAGACTTATGCATGGGAGGCTAACCGTGTCTTTTGTAATAGAGAGGAGTTGAAGAAGATGTCGAATAAGTGATGCGTATCTTTACGCGATCGAACGAGTACGAAGGCAAGCTTGCCGCAACATGATACAGAAAGAGCTATGGAGACGCGAGGGGGGAGAGAGGGTGGCTCAAGAGAAAGAAACAGCCGAAGCACGAATGAGCATCGAGCGCGGGACATGACCGTCTATGATATCAAAGGATTCGCCGCGCATGGCGACATGAAGCTATATTCGGGCCGCTGGGCCTTTTCGCGCACGTTGTATCACTATAGTGCTGCGCAATGATGTCCCGGTAGAGGCACCGATATGACAAAGCTGAGCTTATGCTCACAATCTCGCTCCATCATGCATTCATGGCTTCTCGCTGAGAGCCCTCACACCTGGCAGGTCCTTGCCCTCGAGCAGTTCGAGAGAAGCACCACCACCGGTCGAGACATGGCTGAGCTTGTCCTCAACACCATACTGTGCTGCGACTGTCGCGGTGTCGCCACCACCAATTATCACGATCTTGCCCGCTTGCGCGGCAGCAACAGCGGCATCCATTGTCTTGCGAGTTCCGTTCTCGAACTTCTTCATCTCGAACACACCCGGAGGTCCGTTCCAGAGGATCGTCTTAGCGTTGTCGATAGCCTTCTTGTACAGCTCGATACTCTTTTCGCCGCAGTCAAGACCCATCCAGCCGTCCTGGATGCCATCCTTGTCTTCCGCATAGCCAGTGTTGGCGTTCGCATCGAATTTGTCGGCAGTGATGTAGTCAACTGGGAGCGTGATTTCAACATTCTTGCTCTTGGCCTTGTTGACAAGCTCCTCAACCTTCTTGCTACCAGCCTCATCGAAGAGCGAGTTACCAATCTTCATGTTGTCGAGCACCTTCTTGAAAGTGAAAGCCATGCCACCACAGATGATGAGCGAGTTGACCTTGTCCAACATGTTCTCGATCAGCTGAATCTTGTCCGAGACCTTAGCACCACCAAGGATAGCAAGGAATGGTCGCTGTGGGTTCTCGAGCGCCGCAGCAAAATATTCCAGCTCCTTCTTGACAAGGAAACCGGAGGCCTTCTGTGGGAGGTCAACGCCGACCATCGAGCTGTGAGCACGGTGTGCGGTGCCGAATGCATCGTTGATGTAGATGTCTCCCAGAGCAGTGAGACCTTTCCTGAACTTCTCGACATCTGCTTTGTCCGCCTTGATCTTGTTGCCATCCTTGTCTTTACTTGAGCCCTCCTCTTCAATGTGGAATCGCAAGTTCTCCAGGAGGACAACACCGCCATCTTTCTGTGCATTCACCACCTTCTCGACTTCGGGACCGACGCAGTCGTCGGTGAAAGTGACCTTCATACCCAGGAGCTTCTCGAGCTCTGCTTGGACTGGCTTCAGGCTGTACTTTGGGTTTGGCTTGCCATCTGGGCGGCCCAAATGAGACATGAGCACAACGGCTTTGGCGCCCTTCTCAATGGCATATTTGATTGTTGGGAGGGCACCGACGATTCGCTGGTTGTTGGTGATCTTGCTGTTGGTCTCCTTGTCGAGTGGGACGTTGAAGTCGACCTGCGTATGTGATCATTAGAGTCTCACTCCAGAAACACTTGTTTCTTTACAGCAAGCCAATGCTTTGAAGCTCTTCGGCCTTACTCACTCGGATCAGAACGCGCTTGTCCTTGAGATCAACGTCAGTGATCGCAAGCTTCTTGGTCAAAGACATTTTCGCAGTTCTGTAGAAGTGTTCAATGTGGAGGTTCAGTCGCTTCGTCGCTGTCAACGAATGCGTGTTCGTTGTGATGTTGAAGATCAACGGAAAAAGATGGATGCCCCGCTACCTGCAAAGTGGGCTGTATCCAATAGTCTGACGTATCCCTGCCAAAATCAATTCTGACCGAGATTCTGGACGCAAGCGAGAAAAAAGATCTTAAGTAGTCTTCGTGAACTTGTTCTCATAAGCAAGACGTAACGTACAATGAAGCCCCACTCCCGAGGCTACGCTCCCAAATCAAGACGCCTGATGCTGATTCTCAATATCCGAGATCTTCCCAACGACGCCAAGCTAAGACGAACCCATCCCGAGTGTCTCCGACTGTAGCGTTCCCGTTCCAATGATGCAGCTCGACTGCGCAAAATGCCAAGTGTAGGAGATCATAAGCAAGGAAAGTTCGTATCAAGTGCTCATGCGGCTGGGGAGCGTGGGCCGGCTGGGCTCTCTATCGGTTCATCTGAGGAATTGGTGAGGGAAAGATACGCAGTCCAGAAGATACCCACAGTCGACACGAAAGGCTGTTGCAAGTCAGTCTCGTACTCATACAAGGAGAGCACACGCCCTTGCTTACAATCTGGAACTGAATCGGGATGACTCTGAAGTTCAGCATCTGCACCAACGGCCAGACTATGAAGTTGGCTTTGAGTGCAGGCAAGTAGACGTCCTGAAACTTGCGCATCACAGCCCGCTTGCCACCGCCTTCTGCGACAGTCATGAAGGTGAAGAATGCTGCCAGACCTGTGATACATCGTCAGTACGCCAGTCCATACAAGAACCTATCCCTTCCGACTAACCGCAGGGCGCAAATATGAATTGATCGAGCGCTACGCGCCTGAGCGCATTTGTTGTGCCTTTTCCGCCTTCCACGGGGAACAGTCTTGACAGCCATCCAAACCACTTGTGCTGTACTGGAGCCATTATGAATCCATACGCCATGAATCTTGTCAATCTCTCAAAGTCGAAGGGAGGTGGCCCTCGCTTGGAAACAGGTGTCAGATAATCATCTTCCGGCCAAGGTACCTTCTTGTCCAAATCCTGGATCTCTATTGAGAAGAAATCGTCCTTCGATGCCTCTGGATGCAGAAGTCTCTGTCGTTGGCGGTGTCGGAAAGCTGTGAGTGTCTGGGCCACCGTATCTGCTATACCACCAAGAACCTATGCAAATGCCTCCTATTAGCTAAGTCGGTAGTGGCAGGGTGATGGGATCAGGTCGTACGGCGTTGGTAATCATAGTCGTGAGCACAGGTCGGTTCGCATAGTAGGCATTGAATTTCCGCACTAGTATCGAGACCATGGTCACCTGAAGGAGGGCAATTATGGCGTGTAACAGGGGCTACAAGAGACACAGGTCAGCATAGGTTCTTCACCAAAAGACATTGTCCAGCTCTTTCTGATGGCAAGGTGGTTGCGCCATCCCAGCCTCGGAGGCCATCTCATCTCAGAGAGCCTCTAGGTGAACACATACATATCGTCCATATATATAGCGACTGTTCAGCTGCCGCAGCAGACGTCTCCTCGTTTCGTTCACAACCATCGTAGGTCCAAAAGTCCAAACTCGCCAAATGACGTTTCTCGCGGAGACTGCGCTCGGATTGGCCAAGCACTGTGGAACCTCGACTCTGCGATGTCGCGACTGGATCTCGACCTTGTGTGCTCTTCTGTCAATGTTGTGTAAAGTGTCCAGGTATGTGGTGCCTGGTCGTCCGTCGAAGGAGTCGACCGCTGGTCACATTCAGATCCGCGGCATGCGGCATGCGGCATGGAGTGTGGCTCAGCATGTCTGCACGAGAGATGGGGAAGCTTTCACGCGCCAAAGTTTATGATGAGCACTGTTTGAGAAATGAGCACAACTTGCGCGGGATTTGGTCTCCTTCTCAGAGCACTCTATACATTACTATCTATGCTGATCTTCTGGTCTTTCCAGCTGTGGTATCATCATCCGCTCAAGGCTAAGCATCCATCTACCGCTCTTCCCACATTTCCTTCCTGTGCTCGCACAACGTCCTCGATAACTTCTGTATCGAGGTTAGGAAACATGCTCTGCAATGTCCTAGTCTTGGGTCAGCATTCGCACAAGATTCAGGTGCGAGGAGACTCACTCTACTACGAGTTTGTGCTCCCGCACTCGTAAGGCATGGGCTTGCGCTACTTCTGCACTGGCCTGCTTCGCGGCTGCATCATCGGCGCTCTGTTTCTGCTGAGCGCGTTGACTCTCCGCAGACGTCCTCTGACTGCTACTCTGACTGCTGCGAATCTGTGGCGCCGGACTGAGTCCTCGTGGGGTTGCTCCAGGCTTAGGAGTGCCGCCCTGCCTTGGCTCGCTAGACGCATCGTCCGAAAACATACGTCCGATGCTGCTCAGAGGCTTCTGTATAGTCCGCAAAAGTCCAGTGACAGCATCCACATCATCGTCCTCAGGACTGCTTTGATGAAATTGAGCTTGCTTCTCACTCAAACGTTGACTAGGGTTCCTCTTTGGCGTTGATCTCTCCGCGTCCATACTGTTGCGAGGTGTCACTTCGGGCCTGCTCAAGCCACTCTTTTCAGCCAAGTGCTGCATCGGACCTGTCGTAGTAGTAGAAGAGTGAGACTTTTGCTCATAATCTTCCGCACGATTCTTCTCCGCGATCGCGCTCACTGCCTGCTCGACATTTTTCTCAAATGCTTCGTCGGTAATAGTCAAATTCGTTCTGTCCAGGTTCTCAATGAACGATACTACACCCATCAAAGAAGACATGTAATATCCGGCCTCGCCACCCAGCTTATCGGGATTCCTGAATCTCCAGATGTATTGAACATTGCTTACGAGATTGTCAGGGTGCGCTCGTAGAACTGTATAAATGAGCAAAGGAACGAAAGCGTCGGCAGACTGATCAGCCTTGGCATTTCGCAGAAAGCCAAATATGACTTTGCAGCAATTCAGCACGCAGATCACCTTGTCTCGTGGTGCACGATACGAATTAATCTTCAGCAATTCTTTCTGCGCCAGATTCAGGAACTTTTCGCCTTTCGGGCCCAGAGTCTTGATGTCGAGATGTTCCTCACGAATCCAGCCGTAGATCTTGATCTTCTGAGCAATCACATCATCTCGCTCCACGTCTTCTTGGTGCTGTCCTCTTCTTCCAGGCCCGTGCGGACTCGCTTGGTCGGCCTGAGATCTGTTGGCCCTTTTCCTGGGGCTGGATGAGGTCGGCGCTGGTATGGCGGGAGAAAAGGTCTGAGAGTAAAGCCTGTTCATCACTAGCTTCTCCATTCCTTCTCTGGCGTTGTCGAACTCGGCATCGGAGACCGTACGCCATACTTCACACATTGCCATTTTCTTGGCGATAAACTCCAGGAAGTCACCTATGATCTTCACTTGTTCATGGACCATCCACTGCTTCTTGGCAAACTCGTTCAAGAAGGAGCGAAGAAAGCGCGCGACAGGATCAGCAGTCCTATGCCTTAGCTGCTCCAAGAAACGATGGAAGTCAAAAGGCAGCGCGGGCTCTGGTTCCGGCGATGGAGGAGGCGGCTGAAAGATGGAACCGGCTTTCGCGCTTGCAATTGATGAAGTGTCATCTGCCTTACTCCCTTGCGTAAGTCTGGATGCAATAGAATTGCCGGTGCCTTGCGGACTCAGTGGCGACGGCGAGGCTACGTGCACACTTTGTCCCGTCGTCTGAGGACTGATGGTGTATGACGCATGCGGTTCGAGACTCGACGACCTTGGCGGTAGCACAAGCATGGGCTGGGCGCGCTCTGTGATCGGGGACATGATCTCCTGTTCGCCAATGGAGCCATCCTGGAACTGATCCATGATGGTCTGAATCTCTTCTCCCGTGGCTTCGGCTGTGCCTTGAGGCGGTTCTGGCACGTCCTCCTGGCCATCATCGTTCGCTGGCGGATGTTTCTCATCGTATTCCTCCTCTGCTTGCATAGGCTTCTTCGAGCCACTGTTCTTTCGAGGAGGGGGCGGTGGTGGAGGAGTTTCGGGCAGGTCCAGGTCCCGCTTGTCTTCTGTGGCAATGCTCGATCTCTCATCGCCGCCATGTACCGACAATTCTGTGGCTCTCCTGGCTAAATGCTCACTTGCCTGTCTCTCAATTTCTGCTCTTGACCCAGTATCGTCTTGGGCGACGACCGAGATAGAGGCAGACTGCTCTGGCTCCCGGACGGGTGTGTCCTCGCCCAAATCGATCAGGTCGTCCTGCTCCGAATGTGCAGTGGAGGTCATCGTCGCATTCGTTGATTCGACTTTTCCTTGTCCATGATCGGCTTCCAGGTCAGTCGGCTGTGCGTCGAAGCTGGAGTTGTCAGACAGCGTCTTAGATATAGCAGGTCTCGGTGGTGTTAAAGCGGCATGTTGAGGTGTGTTTGCATGCTCTTCCGGGCCACTCGAGGACATCGACGGCCTGATCGTGTTCTAGTTGTCGCTATTGTATGTATGCTCTTACCCGACATGCCTCAAGAGCCTTATGCCACCTGTACCGAAGTCTTCCTCAGCAGTTCAGTTCACGGCAGTGCAGAGAGACGACCATCATACTTAGAGGGTACGCGCAGCCTGCCCCACCACAACATCCCTGTACGTACCACGATTCTTGGCCCAGTGTCAAAATGCAACGCCGCTGCCGCTTCACAGGGCTTCACAGAACTATTTCTCCCTCACCTGCAAGGACTCGCGGTCAACGCAGTGCGCATGACATCCTCCCTCCCAAGACGACATCCGCGTCATGTGCGGCATATTCTGCTCGATCAGTAGAAGACGATCTATACAGCCATCGGACGCTGTGAGGCAGCATCTGCGGTCGCGTGGGCCAGACGCGTCAAATCAAATTTGCATCACGACCGAGAAGTCTACCCAACAATGCCGCCTCGTGCTTCACTCGACCGTGTTGTCGTTGCGCGGCCATAGCACGACTGAGCAGCCATTTCGGACGTCTCATTCAGACTCCATCCTCTGCTGGAACGGCGAAGCATGGACCATTTCCGGGAAGCGTCCGGCTGGCAACGACACCTCTGCCATGTACGACTTGCTGTGCTCGGCAACGTCTGCAACGACCGACGCTGCCCACCAAGCACGAGCTGTGTCGAAAGCACTCTCGGCTGTGGCAGGTCCATACGCTTTTGCCTTCTACGCCGACTCATCCTCAAGGCTTTTCTTTGCCCGTGACTTGCTTGGTCGCCGATCTCTGCTTCGCAAAGTCACGTCGAGTGGCGATGTCCTGCTCAGCAGCATTGCAGACGGGAGTGCGGATGCATCATGGACTGAAGTCGAGGCAGATGGGATCTACTGTATTGACCTTGAGCATGACCGTACGGCTGCACCCGCGTCAGACGATGGCAATTCGGAAGATCACTTCAACTGCATCAAGGTACCATACACCTTCGTTGATGACGTGAACAATAACAATGTCTCAGTAGGGTTTTCATCCCTCGCGCCGAGTGCACACGCTCATGGTCAGGTAGGTGCTACCCCAGCTCTCGCTCAACAGGCGATTACCACAGTCAATTTCTAAGATCGATCGCTTTTCCTCACCTGTACACGCCTTGGAAGAGTATCTATACAAGTCCCTTTCCTTTCGAGTCACGGATATTCCAGAACCCCCGCAACGTTCTCGAGATCTGTTCGGTCTTGCAAGGGCGAAACTTGGTGTGCTCTTCTCTGGCGGCCTGGACTGCACGACTTTGGCACGGATGTGTCACGATCTTCTGGATGTGACAGAGCCTATAGATCTCCTCAATATTGCGTTCGAGAACCCGAGAGTGCATAAGGCCGCTGGAGAAGGGGCGTTCGAACTCTGCCCAGACCGTATCACTGGGCGTTCGTCTTATGCTGAACTTTGCGAAGTCTGCCCCGATCGCGAGTGGCGCTTTGTGTGCGTCAACGTGCCATACCGGGAATTCTCTCAGCATCGTCAACAGATAATTGCTCTGATGCACCCGCACAACACAGAAATGGATCTCAGCATAGCATCGGCACTGTACTTTGCAGCGCGCGGCGAGGGAATGGTGGCATCTCAGAGTATTGCGCAAGACTGTGCATACACAACATCAGCACGAGTCCTTCTGTCTGGCCTTGGCGCTGATGAGCTGTTCGCTGGCTACACTCGACATGCGACCGCTTTCAACAGGAATGGATACGAGGGTCTGCTGGACGAGCTGGACCTAGACGTAGCACGACTTGGGAAGCGTAACTTGGGCCGAGACGATCGAGTGATCAGTCACTGGGGAAGAGAGGCCAGGTTTCCATTCCTGGATGAGCACTTAGTGCAGTGGGCCTTGGCCATACCAGTGACGGACAAATGTGACTTTGTGCATCAGGATCCGATAAACGAGCAAGACGATGTATCAACGATAGAGCCAGGCAAAAAGATTCTCAGGTGCTTGGCGTGGAAGCTTGGCATGAAAGCCGTAGCCCGAGAGAAGAAGCGAGCGGTGAGCAGACCCGTCCTGGTGCAGCAAAATACTGATACCAAGAATATCCAGATCCAATTTGGGGCGCGCACGGCGAAGATGGAGACTGGAGGAACGAAAGGAACAACGTTGCTATCGCTGTAGGCCGCGGTCTTGGAAATTGATTCGGTAAGTACATTTCTGTCAAGTCTTGGCCACACCATACCTGTATCATGATGATGGAATGTAGCTCTTCGGAGCTGCATGCAGATACTTGCGAGTTGTCACAAAGACTTGTGACGATCTAGCCTGGGCTCACAGAGGCTGTGGTTGGGCGTCACAAGGGCATCGATGATCTTGTTAAAGGCAAGTCTGATCTGTACAGGGAACATAGTCATTGACCACTTGTCAAATTGCCGGATGGGCACTGCTAACTTGATGATGATCTTAGGGCAAACAATCACTGTCATCACCTTTCAACCTCGAGACTTGAGAAGACTCCAACAAGATCAAAAACGTCGATCATAAGATACGTGCTACTGCTTCAGCAAACTAAGCTCCGCTGCAATACGAATATTCATAGCTGCAACGTGATGTATACGAATGTTGGACAACTTCAGCAGACTCGGATCATTGAGTTCTTGCTCCACCTCTCTAAGGGAATCGTATGATCAGCAATGTTTGTGAAAGTCACGAAGGCTTCCACGTGCCGTTTCACATGCCCAAAAGCTTCCACGTCAACACAAACTTGGGGTCGTACTGATCGCGTGAGGCCCACAATTCACGACTTTGTGACTGACACGTCAACGTATCTCGAAGGTGGCCGGTATCATGACGTTAGGACTCGAGCGCATGGGAGATGACTGTGGACGCAGGACTCGCTCGAGGACTGGCTCCAATTTCTATAAGTAAAGGGCTTCTCTGACCCTCTTGTGCACTTCTCCTTGCATCAGAAGTTGAAGCGACAATCGACAAACGGCATTACGACAAGCCATTGACACCCAAAGTTGAACCAACAATTGACAGACGGCATCGCGACAAGCTATCGACATCCAAATTTGACCTCATAACACTTGAGAACACAAGCGCTGCGACTCCAGCATCTACCGGGATTCGATATCTCCTAGGAGTGCCTGTATTCAACAATGTCTTCCACAAAGGCTTTGATGATTTCTACTCTGCTTGCGGCCGGGCTTGCTACAACCGCCATTGCTGCACCGCTAGCACCTGCTGGTATCTCATCGAGCAAAGGCGTTGCCTCACCTGCTGCCAGTGCTGTGCCGCCATCATCTAGTGGTCTACCTCCGAGCAAAGGCTCTGCCTCTCCAGCTGCTCCTGCTTCCACTTCCAAAGGCTCAAGCGCTGGTGCAATCAAAGCATGTCCAGCACCAAAGCCTGTGAGCATAACTCATCGCGATATATGCTGAGTAGTCCACTGACCCCAAGCAGGCCGCTTCGAGTGGCAACGCTGCCGCTCTGCCTCCACATATTAAAAGCGTTGCAGCCTCCAGCAAGCCTTCACCTAGACCGTCATCAACAGGAAAGCCTAAGACTGCCCGCGGCATCAGCTCTGCCGTGGAGGGTCTCTCTACGTCAATCTCCATCTATCCTACGCCGATCGATACGACATCTACCTCCTTCTCCGAGTATGTCGAGGCGAGAACAATCAGCCCATCCAACTTGAACCACAACCGCGACACCACTTTTAACACGGTCGTCAAGCGTACTCCGGGTGCCAGTCCTCTGCAGAGCACCGCCAGTGGCGCCGATATCAGTGACGCCGATATCAGTGACGCCGATATCAGTGACGCCGATATCAGTGACGCCGATATCAGTGACGCCGACATCAGTGACGCCATGTCTCCAGTAGCTCCCTTGACTGATGCCTCGAACCCTTTTACAGCAGAACCACTGCAAGCGGAGCCGACTGTAGATCCTGGAGCAGTTTATGGGTCAGAGCCTCAAGTGGCCCCGAGCGCAACTGACTATGCTGGACCTACAGCATCTGGAGCCATGTTCAACAGACTGGCCTCGGCCTCTGGCTCTGGCTCTCCATACCTTCGTATGTCTAACGGAACAGGGATGGACGGCGTGGCTCCTCCTTTCCCGGCACAAACTGGCGACCTGTCTACCAGTCATGAGGGCAAGCTCAAAATTGGCATTCCTGTGGATTTGGATAGCTCTGTCGAAGCCCTTGAAATGCGTGGTCTTGACAAGAGATCTCCATTTAGCTGGCGTAAGTCTGGCGGCAAGCCAAAAGCGGTTGTTACCTCGACAAAGACCTCTGGATCAACCATGACCGCCGGACCGCACTCGGCACAGGCGACTAGCACCAAGAGTAAGGGTCAATTGGGTTGGCTCACCAACCATTTTAAGGGACATGCAACCACACCTGGTCACAGCAGTGCCACTGCCGCCGCCGTGCCGTATCCTGGAGGAAATCACGTTATTCCTGGCAGTCCTGCTGATACTGGCCTCCAACCTGCTACACACAATGGCCCCCAGTCGAACCAGCACAACAGCCCGAGCTTCGAGCATGGCAACAAATTTCCAGTTCCGCCATCCGGTTTGGACCAGACCGACAGCGAACCATACGCCGGCGAGCAGCACACTGCTGAGAGCAATTACCAAGCACAGCCTGGTACTCAAGTCAACGAGCCGTCCAACGTCTTCCCCAAGAACAGTTTCGAGAATACACCACAGCACCAAGACCAAGCCATCGACAGCACTCAATCAGAGCCTGCCATTTCGCCAAACGCCGAGCCACAGACACAGACACAGAGCAACGACGAGTATCAACCCCAGTCCAATGATCCGAACGCAAGTTACGAGGCAGACGAACAGGATCCCAATAGCCTGAGTGTCCCTCCAAAACGCATTGATTCGGGCTATGAGAGCTCCAAAGCGAAGTTCATCCGAGACGCCAGTGAGGAGGACTACGATGAAGATGCGGATGTCTTGAATGGAGCTTATTCGGAGGATTTCTGAGCAGTCCTAGGCAGGACTCGAAAAGATCTCTCCTTTCCCATAATATCCGAGACGCGGGCGTAAAAACTCACCCGAAGCTGGGACGTTTTCTAGGATGTCATGAATCCTCAGATGAAGTCTGCTGTCCGGCTGCGCAAAGGCTGCAGGGTTCAGATACCATTACATCCCGGCCGTCGGGACATATGCTGCCCGAAGAAGCACAAGATCGAAGCATGATGGCAAACTATCACCAGTCGCGAGAAGGGCAAGGTCTCTGCATACGGCTCATACTTGGTTTGGGTTTATGACATTCTACTGATCGATTCTGGCTCATACTGCTTTTTGTGATGCACATGGTTTGGAGTTGGGAGTTGTTACTATGCTACGATGATTTGCTTTCAAGGACAAACCCCGATGCAGGTTGGAATTGCATGCTCAACACGGACACCAGATTGACGGAGGAGAAAATTCGGGAGGGACCAGACTGCCAGATTTCAGACTTTTCAGTCATTCTTGTGTGCGGCGAGCGAGTGTTTCTGTACCAATACGATGTTTTTGAGCTTTAATGAAAGTCTTTGGACACTCAGCCATTTCACCTCGCGTTCCAGCAGTGTTCACTCAAGCGCCACCTTCTCGCTTCGCATATTCGTCCTCCATCCTCTCTTCAAACAGCTTCTCGGCGGCTGCTTCTGCGCTTCCTGGTTGATTGCTCGTGGTGGTCTCGTTCCTCTGCTGTTCGCTAACTGGTGCGGATTCCTTGGGCTCGATGTTGCCGCCCGCGGCTCCACCGACAGCAGTGTTGCTGGTAGATGGCGTCTCTGTTGCGAGCCCAGCTGATGTGTGAGGTAGTGAAGCCATGTCTTCTTACGATGAATGTATGTTTGTTGATGGAGTTGTGATGGAAACACCGAAGCAGTGACGTATGCTGGGGCAGCGTGGGAACGACTTGGGAACCATTGGCCAGATAAGCGAGTGATCTGTGCACTGAGACTACAGTATGGGTTTCCCTACAATTTCATAAGTACGCACGCAATGGACGTGGAGCAGGCGACAAAGACCGAGGACGAGACAGCACTATAGTTCGCTACTACTTCTCAATATCGCACGTTGGCCTTCCACCCGGCTTTAATCACGCGTACTGCAGTAAAGCAGCCAAGACCGCAAACATAACTCAGCCCAGTGAAGAGCGCAGTCCCCCAGTATGATCCTCCGCAGGCCGTGATGAGAGCTCCAGCCACAGGCAGGCCTATGAGTGTGCCTACCGAGACCACAGTGTATGCCGTTCCAATGTAACGGCCATACTCTTTTGTCGGACACAGCATGGAGATGCAAACTGGCGTAAGTGAAATATTACTGCCCGAAGCAAAACCCATGAGAGCAGCAAAAGCTATCGTTAGTCCCAAGATGGTCTGAGGAGATGAGCTCGAAGTCCTCGCAAGAACTGTAGCGGGCACCCAGAGCCCTATCGAAGACACGGCACAGAGAAGAACTGCTGCAATCTGCGTGTTGAATCGGCCGAGCTTGTCTGCAAGATAACCGGGCGCCCACCTACCGAAGAAAGAGCCGGCGTTGAAAATAGCCAGGAGTTGGTACGCGAACGTCGTCGAAATGGCGCCATTCGTATCCAAAGCATACGAGGTGATGTACGCGATCGGTATGAACAGACCAAGCTCCAGGAAGAAGGAGCCAAATGTCACCAGGGCGAAGCAAGGATCCCGGAACACGCGCACATCAGGGAGCGCACTGCTGCCGGGTCGAGGCGGAAGTCGTGCGCGGATGAGCACGATGGCAAGCAAAAGCAGTACAAGGAAGATGAACGCCTGCACCCGAGTTGCCCACGCCCACCCAACCTTAGGAGACAGGCTTTGCAGCATCAATGGGAAGATCACGCCTCCTAGAGCTCCACCGCAAGTCGCGATGCCGGTCGCATTCCCTCGCCCTTTCAGGAAGTAATGCCCAACAGCTGACACAGACGTCGTAAAAATGAAGGCATTGCCCAGCCCGCCAAGGATTCCGAAAACAATAATGAAGTGCCAGTACTGCGTGCAGATGCCCAGCAAAAAGATGCTCAAAGTCGTGCATATCGCGCCTGTCACAACGAGCCAAAAAGGGCCGTGCTTGTCGAATAATGGTCCGATCTGGACTCCAGCACCAAATGCAAGAAAGATGTAAAGCGAGAAGATCCATCCAATTGCCGATTCCGAGTAGGACGAGAGCTGGTGAGAAGCAAGGTACGCCTGGTAAGTGCCGACTGTGTTCATGTACCCGAAGCACGCCATCATGCCTGAGAAACCGCCAGCGACGACGAGCCACGCTCTGAGACCACCTTCAGGATACGTATTGCCTTCATCATCGGTCGATGCTCTTGCCTTTTCGACGCCATGATTGACTTCGCCCTTCTCTTCGTCTGAGCACACCTGAGATCCGGAGCCATTCGCTGCTGCATTTCCGCTGGCAATCGAAGGAGCTTTCGAGGATGCTCCGCCGTCGTGACTGTTCTCTTTGAAAGACATACCAGTAATTATCCCTCTGCTGGACCGCGTGCAAGGAGAACCTTTCCAATCTGATACAAGAAGAAAAGTGACGTGCCCAAGAGGTGCTCAAGACGAATATGCGGATTGCTAGCAGCAAGCGGTCTGAAGACGGGACAGCGGTGATGACAGAATGTCAAAGTCAACAGCCTACCTGTGACCTGGCGCATACTATGAACGTTAATGGAATAGTTCCTGATCGCCGAGGTGAAAGCATCACAGTTTCACGAGAATAATGATGTTCGAGAAAACGATGGCGGAGATGCAAGACATACTTCTGCAAATCCACGATATACTTCAGGACGATGCTCGAAGAGGGATGCACAAATGCAGGATGATGGTTCGACTTTAGACGGACTACCCCGGAGAGCACCAATTTTACATAACAACATCTCAAATGATCTACAACGCCGGCCTTACCATTCATTCCCAATCCTGCCGTAAAGGCTGGATCTCCACGTAGCTCGACTGCCTATGCATAGCTAAGCGGCCTATCTCGAGACCAGACTAGAGATAGGATTATTTGAGGGTATATAGGTAGGTAGTATTTTGGTATGTGTATATATATGTGTATGTGTAGCATAGTATGTGGCTAAGGTGTGGCAGAGTAAGCCAATTAGCGTTTAGATTATAGTGCTAAAAACTTATACGCAATAGTAGCCCTAGCCTAACTTACTAGGATAGGTAAGTAGTATTAGTCTATATAGTAGACTGTATTACTACAAATACTAAGGACTAGGGGAGAGGAAAAGCGCGATTTCCCCTATTTCCGTTAACTACCGATATATCGGTCGGCCTCGCGCGGTAGATAAAACTAGACATTATAATAGCTATATAGAATAGCTATCGGTAAGGACAAATAGCAGCTAGCTACAAAACGCCCTTGCCGATTCGCCTCCGCTACCTTTCTACTACTATATACTCCTCCGATACTAAAAGCTACGTAAAACATACTATAATAAGCGCTACTACTATAATAGACTTCTACCTCTACCTATCTCGCATCCTCTTCCTTATCTTCTACTCTGTAAGCATCGCTCTTGCAGGAACACAATGCTACGATAATTGTATTAATGCCGGCGATGCCTATACAGTACTTTATAGTACAAGCTCGTCCTTTCTTACCCCTATTCTATACTCCTAAAGATGCGACGTATAAGACTAACCTATATACAAAGCCGAACAGCTAGAAGACCGGGACCTATAGGAAAAATTCATCGAGGGGCGTCTATTATGCTACGTAATAGGAGATTGAGATGGATGTAGAGGTTTTTTCGCGAAAGGCAATGCAGCGGGATGAGGAATGGTCGTGAAATCGATTTCGAATTGAAACTGCATCGTCAATGACCTTTCTGCTCAACCCGATATATCCAAATATGGAGCTGATTGAAACGAGAGTGTGAAGAGTGCCTGCAATTTGAACAACGTAGCAGTCACAGCGAGTCGTGAACGAAGAGCTTGCTCGCTTGGAGTCAGTCCTCGCACCATCTGGGTCGACAAGTTCCGTTGATCTAGGACAAAATCAGAAAATTGTCGTTGCTCCTTGATTGGCCGTACATGTAGACACAGCGCCAGAACCTACGCAAATGTGCCCTGCCAAGGCTTTTGATGATCCAGTGGCGTGCGAAGCGATGCGCGGTCGGTCCAGTACCAGACAGAGATTTACGGATCTTCAACAAGCACCACACTAGTGGCCTTTCGAGTCGCTGTATAGAGAGATATACCATTTCAGCAACGGGATAGTGGGCCTAACATATTTAGGCTTCGGAACTGGTTGTGCTCTCAGTCTTCTAATCTTGGGCAAGATCTCGGATCGCATTGTGCAACGCTTCTCCAGGTCCGAAGAATGGAAAGCAGAGTACCGCCTGATACCCTTGCTCCGGGGCTCTCTTTTTGTGCCCATCGGCTTCTTCTAGTATGGCTGGCCAGCGGAGGAACACGTGCGATTGGAACAGCCTAAGTCGAACTCGGAATGCTGGCGGTGTATATACCTGTGTAGTCTCATCTTACAAACTCCTTCCCACTGCATGCAGCATCTGCTGCCGCTGCGAATACGCTTCTGCGATCTGTGGCGGAATCATTCCTTCCATTAGCAGGCCCGACTCTTTATCAATCTCTCGGGCAAGGTTGCCTTGACGTTCACGCCGACGTGGATAGTTCTAGCGTTCAGGTATAGGAGAGGATTCGAAGCGATATTCAGGAAGGACTCCTCGAGATTGTTCGACGGAGCTGTAGTTAATTCCAATATCAGATCCCATTCTGCTGAACGTTCTATACGCAGCACAATTCGATATCGAGAGATTTGAAGGGACGGGAAGTAAGCCGCTGCCCAGTGTGCACAGAGGACCAGATCAAACGGCTCCTCCCGCTCCATCAAATCAAAAACCATCAAAAACGCGACTCCCCTCACAACCACAAACCCGAATCACCACCAAACAACATCCCTCCCTCCCTCCCTCCCTCCATCCAAAAATGCCAGCCCCAACAGACGGCGAAACCAAACGTCGCGCCGCACGAGAAACCGTCGACATCCTCCACGAAATCTCCACAATTCTCGTACGTTCACGTTCACGTTCCCTTCACATTCAACATCCTCATCCAAACCCTCTTTCTCACACAACGACTAACTCCAAACTCACTACTAGAACACAAACCTCGACCGCCAAGCCCTCTCCTACTGCATTTCCTTGATAGAAAATGGAGTGAATCCCGAAGCATTAGCGGTACGTAACTGGATTGGATTGGATTGCCATGGAAGTTTCTTTTCTGTGATCGTGGATGCTGATATGTGAAATAAACAGAAAGTCATAAAGAATTTACGCGCGCAGAATGAGAAGTATGGGGTTAGTAGTGGTAGTAGTACGAATGAACAGTGATGGTCTGAGGGTTGGGAAGGGCGGGTGACTCCTACGGCATTGAGAGACTATGACTGTTGCTGGCGTTATGCGTTATGGTGCTTGAGATGTGTTTTATGATACCCATGATCTGTCTGAGTGGAGATGAGAACATCAGTGGACTTTGATCCACGTTCACTTCATGCTTCCTATCTCAATTCCAAGCCGGGTGTCTGGTATCTTGCTGCTGGAGTCCCAAGCGAAGTGCGTGTCACAATGAGCGGACCGTTGTACAAAACGAAATACTACCCGCCAAATCTGGACGCGTTAGTCGGGTCCGTCTTCCTCCTCCGCCACTCTCAGACTGGAGACACTATCCGCAAGCCCGTTGGTCGCAGGGTCACGTCGCTTAGACTTCTTCTTCTTCTTTCCGCCCATGCTGAGCGGGCTCTCCCTGATCCATCTCGCGATGGCCTCTGCACGATCTGTGCTAATGGGATACTCCTTACTGTTCTCGTCTTGGGCCCATCGCTTGGGTGGGGGATGGTTCTCGCTGTCGCCATTTGTCGATGCTGAGCTTGAACCAGGATTAGAAGCCGACGAGTCTTTTATGGTGGCCTGCTGCTTGTCTTTGAGAGGACCGGAGAGACCTTGCTCGTCCTCCATTGCACGCTTCTCTCGAGCTCGCACAGCTTTTTGGAAGGACTCCTCATCGACCACGCGATCATCTGACAAAGCTTCGAGGATGGACTCTTGCTTGACCCGCTCCTTCTTCTGCTCCGGGGTCTCGTCCTCGCGCGCCTTCTTTCTTCTTGCAAGTGCGCTTGAACTGTTCGCGGAATTCTCCTTGGCCCATCCACCAGCAGCGTCCGGGAGCGGCGCTGGAGCGCATAACTTCTGCCAAGATACGCCAAGTCCAATCCAGTTGTTTGCACGGCGAAGTACCTCGATCCAGTCTGCTCGAGCAGGGCTCCGGGCTGCTTGGAAGATAGGATAGCCATCCGCAATCCTGGCTAGGCGAGCTGCATTATGCGCATGGCGCAGCAGTTCTGTAGAGCTGGTTTGAAGAAGGGCGTGCGCAAGGAGTAGCGAATGCAACGCATCCGTTAGAAGAGGATGATAGGTGACAGCTTCGCGCGATCCGAAGGCTTCATTAAGCGTCTCGTTGTTGCACATCGCCTCGGTTGTTTCCGCAGTTGGGAACGGCGGAAGATCTGGGGGTGGCTTCTCGGCGAATAAAGCGCTTGATGGATATATCTTGGGTGACGGAAAGCGCGGGAATCCATTCTCGTCACGCTCGAACGGCTCTGACTTCGACTTCGACTTCTGGTAGTTGACAAGTTGCTGGGACGATTTCTCATCGCCACTGCTATTCTCAACTTCCTCGCCATCTCCGTCCAGCTCAACCAAACGATTCTTCGGCAGTGGCATCTGTGTTTGAGATTGGGTCTTGTGGCCACTCGCTAGATCGTACACTCGCCGCATGATCTCGTTGGTGAGTTCGAATGGTAGACCTGGCGTGTAGTCGAAGTGAGACAGAAAGGCAATATAGTCTTTCATAGCCCGCTTTGCGTTGGTCTTGACCACTTTCCTTGCGTCAAGCCTCTTCTGTTGAGCTTTTGCATCAACGCCATTTGTTTCGCCTCTCTCGCTCGCCTCCTGATACTCTTTCAAGCCATCCAAAGCCTCATGCACGCTTTGACATGCGATCGTGAGGTACACACCGGCTCGATTGAACAGGAGTTGCATTTCCAAGCTCGAAGGTTGATCCTCCTCCTTCAAAGGAGGCATCGACTTCCAGTCCCGAAAGCCTCTCTGCCATGCTTCTTGTTCTTGTCTCATCTTACTAGCCAGTTCGAGCTGCTGCTGATTAGGCTTGTGTTGTCTCTTCAACTGTTCCACGATTTGCAGAGCTATTGATAGGTCATAGGCTGCGCCGTCCCATTGCTTTTTAAATATTTGCACAAGTGCTCGAGTACGTAGTGGTGCGGGTTGGTGTTCCTGCGGCAATGCGTTGATAATGTCGTTCAAGGGATCGAGGGGTGTATTCTCTTCCATAGCGCGAGAAGGAATCTTCTCGTGAAAAAAATGAACGTATCTAGCGTCTGTGAACCTCGATCAGTTTTCAGGATCGATTAGACACGCGCTCTCGACCTACCTGTGCTGTTCGGCTCTCGTCTTAGGACCTCGAGGCCCACATTCTCGATCGTGCTGGTTGCTTGCATAGTCGCAACACTAGCGGCGACTTCATCAAGTTGGAAAGCCTTACTGAGAAGCTTGACGGCCTTTTGCCGAATCTTGAATATCCTCTCTTTGCTTAGCTTCGTACTGTGTCCGCCTCCTGTGCCAAAGTAGTCCATCTTGCCATGCATAGCAGTGCTCGAGACTCCAGTTGAAGCGCGGACCGAGTCGTCTGAAGCCTGGTCGACAGACTTTCTGATCTTGACAACATCATAGAACACTGCGGGATCTACCAATCGAGGTGGGGGCATGGTCCAGTTCTGATGAGCAAGGTTGTCGAGGATCTCGGGCGGTAGCTGAAGCCATGGTCCATGGAAGGAAGAGATATATCGCCAATGCCTGAATCGTGGAATATCAGTGTTAGCCATCTTGGATGCGGTTGCATGATTGGAGGAATTGCCCACGTAGTTATCTTGCGTTGTAAAAGGCGACATTTCGCTAGCAATATGCCGTACTGTGCAAAGGAAAACAAGGAGCCAAAAAGAGAGGGAGAGCGACATACTTACTTGTTCCTGCAAATGATCAAGCTTGAGCCTGCTGAGTTTGCATCTGTTGGTTGCGCTGGCTCTGCGGTTCCCTTCTTCTTCGCCATGGTTGCGTCGTTGCGGTCGCATGCAGGAAGCGACCCTGGTTCGAGAGATTGCAGCGTGCAGGTCAAGAGATACGCTCAATGCGAATGTAAGAAGGAAAGTTGAAGTGGGATCTGGAGACCGGACGACTCGGGAGGCGGCAAGTGAAGTCCGAAAGAACTCTCATCAAAATTTAGAATGAAATCAACGTGGACTCCGAGAAACATTTCAATTGCAGTGAGTGAAGCATGTGTCGCGACTGTGAGAAATCGTCTTGAACTGAGGTGAATTGGTAAAGACGGAAAGAGACTCAGTCGAGTACTACTGTGTAAATTACACAATGAAAGTTGAAATGCGCCTTGCCCAGCTCTTGAGAAAGGTACTGTAGGACCGTTTGGGTATCATCATCCCATGAATGCTTTGCTCCTTCGCTCCCTTTCCGAAGCATGCCATCAGCCAAAACGCCATAACCGTACGAAATGATCTTGTTTGAAGCTTTTGCGTAGATGTCGTCTCTCGTTCGCAAGATTTCCCGTTGCTCGAGCCTCTAAGCTCAGCGTTGGCCGAAGGGAACTTCGCCCATTGACCCAAGCATGAATCCCAGGACTGCTGCTAAGCGTTGCGGTCATCATCGCTTCCTGCCCTTCTGGATTGCGTTCTCGTCTCCCTCGAAGACGAAAGCATTTACGACCTGCCCAGACTTCCAGCCTTGTGCTTCCAGAGTCTTGCCCTCGTCCAGAGCCTTGCCTAGATAGACAAGTCTGCAGTGCCTCACGTTGATTTGATCTTTGATTGCACGTATAGCCACAGACACGTTCTGCTTCGATCCAATGGTGACCTCTATGTCGCTGGCACGGTCGCTGAGCCGCACCTTGAGTCGAATCTCTTCACCGATAGATTCTGCCCGACCTTTGCCCTTTTCTTGGCGACGAGCCAGTGAAGCGTCATTCGCCTCGTCTTCTTCGTCCTCTTCCGCTTCAGCATCAATGTCTTTACCCTCATCTTCTACGATGTCCTGAGGGTCTGTTACCACCCAGTAAGGCAGATCATATAACTGCCCTTGTTCGTCGTATACTCCTTCTCGCTGTTTCTCTCTCGTGCGTCCTCGTCCGACTTTACCGTGTGGACAAGTAATGTTGGCAGCATCCAGAATTGCTTGAGCCTCAGCGATGTCGTCCTGCCGAAGACATTCGCATACCGCTTTTAGTGCATCCCAGATCTCTTGTCTTCCAGTCACTCTTGTCTCGAAGAATATACGCCTCTGCTGCTCAAGATGCGATCTGGTCCATGGAGGTGGCCGGTTAGAAACATTCTTTGGGCTCGTTTCGAGAGGTTTAGGTCGTTCAATAGGCTTGTTCGGCCGTACCACTGGGTTTGTCGCATGTCTCCTGGAAGACGATGGCTCATTCCCATCCCGCGAGCTGGTCTGCTGGTGGAAACCCGCTCTCGAGGAATCGCGAGGTCGATTGCCGTCCGAGCTGGGCGCAGGTGAGTCGCTTCTCGATTGACAGCAGCCCTGCAAATTGTGGTCAGCCTATCTGGAAAGCAGCAGTTGCAGAGAGACCACGATGAGTGAAAGCGGCTCCCTGCTCTGTTCCATCCAAGCCGAATATTGAGCATGCCATGTAGACGACAACAATCCCATCCTGCGTCTCCTTTGGGCGCGACGATAAGCCCTGGATTATCCAGGCAATAGAGGGTGGCATGGTGCAACATCGATGATTGCAACCGCCGGCCTGTAAGCAAAAAAGCTGCCACTACAGACGGCAGCCATGTAGTATGGAGCAGAGAGGTATTGCGGTGTGCCACAAGTCGCCATACTCACCATGTTCAACTCAATTCATGCTACTCCTGGCAGCCAGCTAGAGTCCCTCGCAGTGCAGATTTCTTCTTCACGCACCCAATCGTGCTACGCGACGTCGAACCCTTGCTCGAGTGATGTGGTCTACCGTCTCTGGCAGATGAAAGTGGAACAGTCTGCAGAGCAGTCCTCGTCGCCACGTTGTCAAAAAGATATGGTTACTGACGCTTCCGTAATGACGCCAGAGAATGGCCTTGACGCCGAGCTATTATTGATAGCGTATTTGGATTTGGGATGCTGGACCAGGTAGGGCCTTGTCCGAGGTCAGGACAGGGCTTCGTCGTCGAAATGATGAGATCAAGCTGTAATTATTTAATAAGAATACCAATAAAGTGTCAAGTCCCAGTAGAAGACAGAAATGCGCGGAGGCGAAGCGTGGAAGTCGTGATGAGCGGAGTTGCACGCAGCTGTGATGGAACGGGCAGGCGCTAACGTGGAGCGCAGGAGCAAGTACGAATACATGTCTGTTCGGTACACATTACAGCTGCAGCAGAGACCTCGAGGCGTTAGGCCAGACCCAATCATGGATGACGGCACCAGCTCATTATTGAAAGCCGCTCTCGCCGCTACAATAATGAATGTTACCTAACTCCCACACTTCACAAGGTTGACTCGACTTGGCACAGATGCTGCTTGCTTGCTTGCTTGCTGTCCATTCCTGGTCCACGGGGTCCAACGTCCCTCTGTGAAACCTCCTGGATGCTGCAGCTCCACAAGCTCCTCGACGGTACCACGGTGAGTTGTCTCGAAAGCACACACCTGACTCGACATCGCTCTGGAACAGCGCCCCGTGAGACACACCTAAGGCAACCATCATGTTTATTACCAGCCACTATTACCGCTATCTACCGAACCGCATGTTGAAAACGACACCTGGGTATCTCATCGAAATTGATGAATGGGTATTCGCGACTGCCGTCCGACCAGCAAGCTCACCAAGACACGTAAACCAAGTGCCCTGTAGCCATGCTGGTCAGATGCCGGGCAGTAAAATCATCAAAGCATGCCAGAGCAAGAGCTAAACAATGCAGAGTGTGGTATCTGAGCAAGCAAACAAACAACCAAAAAGCAGACCCGCAGTATCCTTCCCAATGCACGCGAAAAAAGCAACAGTGGCTGGCGCAGACCGTTAGTGAGTGATCGGAGTTGGTGATTAGGCCCGGCGCAGCTCCGAGAGGTGAGTACGTGGTGGGTATCTTGGTGTATTTTAGGAGAGACGACGAGTCGTGAGGCCCCATCCGCGTCGTAGGGATTGCGCGAGAGAAAGTCCATCAGAGTTCGTACGTCTGGTAGGTGCGACCTCTCTCCAGAACTGCATCGGACTGAGAGTGTCATCGCGCTGTTCGTGCCCGATTCGCATGTATCTCAACAGCGCGACGTTACCGACAGGCATCTTATGCTGTGGCGGTGACAGTTGGCGTGGTCTGGTGCTGAGGCTGGCCGACATTGACGGCATCTGGAACGACGTCACCGATGCTTTGCTGGGCCTCTGGCTCGGCCTTCTTTGCCTCACCGTTCACGAGAGGAGTCTCCTCCGCTGGCTTGGTCTCAGCAGCCGCCTCCTCCTTCTTGGACTCAGGAGCAGCCGGAGCTGAAGCCTCCTTCTTTGGGGCCTGGATGCGGTTGAGAGCCTTGCTGGCACGGCGACCAAGGCTGCCGAGAACGGATTGACGCTTGTTCGGGGTGGTGGTCTCCGACTTCGGCTCCTCGACCTTCTCAGGTGGAGTCTCAGCCGATGGCTCGACAGCAGCGACAGCCTCAGTGGCTGGTGCTGGTTCCTCAACCTTTGCGGGCTCCGCAGCAGCTGGAGTCTCCTCGACAGCTGGGGTCTCTTCCTTCTTCGCTGGCTCCTTCATCATGGTCGATGGGCTGACACTTCGGTTGCGCTTGATGAAGCCACCGATGCCAGAGAGAAAGTTGCTCTTCTCTTTGCTTGGCGAGGTAGCTGGCTCCTCCTTCTTGACCTCGGTGGGCTCCTCGGCCTTTGACTGCTCAACAGCTGGGATGGCAGTGTCAGCAACTTCGGTCGAGGCAGTGGCTGTCTCTGGGAGGACAGGTGGATTCTCAGAGACTGGAGCATCCTTGGCTGGCTCTGGCTTAAGCTCAGCCTCCTTTTGATCCTTCTCCTTGGCTGGGCTCTGGATCTTGCTCCAAGTCGATGAGACGCGTCCAAAGATACTACCACGCTTGGACGGCTTCAACTTCTCCTCGCCAGCTGGGGTCTCGGCGGCCTTCTCGTCGCTAGCCTGTGCCTCTGCAGCAGCTGGAGATCCCTCAGCAGCCATAGCTGCGGCAATTGGTGCAGACTCGGTAGCCGCAGCAACTGGAGCAGCCTCGCTTTCGGTCTTGGCCTCATCTTTTTCGGCCTTCTCTTCCTTCTTCTCGGTCTCATCCCGGTGGGCCTTCAGGCGGTTGAGGAGGCCCCGGCTGGTGGATCGGCTCTTCTGTTCCTTCTTGTTGTCCGCAACCTCACCATCAGAAGAGTTTGTGCGCTGCTCAGCTGGTGCTTCTGTGCTCTTCTTTGGCTTGGACAAGCTGCGGGTGGCGGCACCAGCAGCAGCAGTGTTTGACTTGTCTATGAAGTTGTTAACAAGGCCCGGATTGACGGTGATGTTTGAATGACTCACTGAGCTTCTCAAGCTCGGCCTTGTAGCCTTCGCTGGTGGTCACCTCCTCCTTGGAAGCCTTGCCGAGCTCGATGGCCTTCTCAATGCTGAGATACCACCCGTCACGCTTGAGCTCGTCCTCAGCCTTGAAAGTGTGGGTGTGGGTGCCGATCTTGAAGGAGAACTCGTGTGGGTAGCCCTTCTTGAGATCTGTGGCGTCGTAAAGCGCGAGGACATCAGCTGGGTGCGTCTTGTCCGAGTCGCCCTTTTTGTTGAAGAACAGAAGACCTTTGCCGGTTTGGCTGGCCCAGGCAGCAACTGGGTGGGATACCTCTGGCTTTTCGCCGCGGAGGTAGAGGTCGAGTTTCTGTGGGGTGACAGCATCGTCACTGAGCCAAAACTCCTTCTTGGATGGGATGAGAGATCTGGAGAGAGGTCAATTTGCGGGTCATGGTGGTATGGCGGAGATGATAACACTGACTTGATCACACCTGGGCCCTTGTACGCGAGCTGGCCCTCAGCAATGGGCTCGACAGCCTTCTCGGCGGCATCGGCCTTGACGTCGTCAGTGGCAGCGGCGGTCTGGTCGGTGGTGGTCGTGGTGTCTGGCACTGCTGCTGCGGGCGCCTCGCTTTCAACCTTTGTTTCCAGCGGCGTTTCTGGAGCGGCAGGCTCAGTGGTGGCCGCAGGCAGCGTGGCGGGAGTGTCCTGAACAGCCGACATGCTCAATTAGATCGTCAGAAAGGTATGTATGAAGAAGGCGGTGGAACAAATCACGTTGGACCGAGCTGAGCTGCGCCTGGTGTTCAGATGGGGGGAGAAGTGAAGGTACAGGTGTGTTTGCAGCAGCTCGATGCAACGGAGGCGGAGGAAGGCAAGCACGAGGGTGTCAACGTTGAGAAGAGAGGCCCGATGCTAGGGTGAGGGAGTACTCCTGGGTTTTGAAGAAAGGAAGCTGGCATCCGTGCGGCAGCTCTTTAAATTTGATTGTCGCGAACGGGCCACCTGCTATACCGCTACAATCTGCTACTAGTACTTCTGACCGCCCGCTCGTTTTGCCCTGCCGCGGCGAGCGCACTGTGCACTGTGCACTGTGCATGCTCATCACTGACACCTATCCGACGCCCGACAGCAGCAGTGGCCTGTGACCTGGCCTGACCCGACATACATACGTCTCGGAGGAAGAATAAGGACCAGAGGGCGTGGGGAGGCAGCGCTGACGTACGATTCGAGAGACCCTACACCATGGTGCATACCGCATACTCTCAGTCGCTGGTCAGACGACGTTGATAACAGCCTGCAGTGAAACGGGAGCTAGTTTATCAGAGCTGCAGCTTTCCTGCCGGGTCCTCCTGCACTCCTGCACTCCTGCACTACTCCTGCACCACCCTCTGCCTCTGCCGCTGCCTCTGGCAGCTCGATGGCCGTGGTGATTTGTTTGAAAAGTTCTGCATCGCTGGCGCTGGCGCTGCCGCTGGTATCCTTGCAGAATCACGTGTCGCTAGGCGCCTGTAATTTAGCGGTCCAATATATTGAATGTTCGTGTGCCAGCCAGCGCGCACAGCTGTTTTGGCCTTCAAGTTCTGGCCTCAGCGCGCCGCCCTCCCCGTCCGCCGCCCGCCATCAGGTCAAGCTTTTCGCTGATTTTGACAAAGTGTTTGGCGCTTTCATTTGGCGCCAGAAGTAGCGCTCCCGAGAGCCGCCGAGACCCTCCAACTCTAAATGGTCGACAAGCAGCAGCAGCAGGTGGCAGCAGCGACTTCCTCATCGCAGCAGGGATGCTCGCATCTCCAGTTGGCACGCCATCAGCATCTCATCACCTGTCAGCAGACAAATGATTCTTGCTAGCCAGTCTCGTGCGTGCGTGCGTGCGTGCGTGCGTGCGAGAGCTCTGGCTTGGCACGTGCTGCACGAATCACCATGCTTATCGCCATTTTGGGGCCCGTTCTCTCGTCCGTTTATCGTACCTTGTTTTTCTAGTGGTATACGATAAAGGCGACTGTTCAGTGTGTATCGTTTATCGTGTTGTTTATCGTGTCCATTTTTCTAAGATAGGTGGATACTCGCTTAGTATACCGTATTTAGTATAAACTACGAAAAATCGTCGTCTTTATACCTTTAATTATGTATCTACTCTTATTATTAAAAAACGCCGCTATTTCTGTTAGATTGCGCTATACTATAGAACGAAGAGGCTCGAGCGAGGAAAGAAGGGTTCTAGAAGGCGTAGCGGCGGTAGATCTTCGAAGAAGGCGTATTAAATTAGCGCAGCGTAATATATTAGTCGTACTCGTTATACTAGCTACTATACTATAGGAATATAGTATACGGATGCTAGGCGGCGTGCGGACAATATATATAGATAGCGAGCGAGGTAAGCGGCTACTATACGACTTGCTAGACTCGAGCAAGGTACGGATATATCGATATTGTCGCTTTACGCCGGTTTAGTTTATTAAGCTATATAAGATAGCGGCCGGCGACCTAAAGGATAGCACTCTTGTTAGTAGATAGCAGAAGTTGTTATTATTCCTTAACGCTATAACGAAGGCGCGTCTATACCGCGATTTAGTAGAAGACTTTTACCGTAGTCTAAGCTAGATATCGTCTATCTTCTATAAGATATTAATAGCCTTAATGCTGTTATATAGATAGCTCGTAACGCCTACGAAGGCAACCGACTCGCTAGCGCTAAGAAGTCGTAGTCCGAAGTACTAGCCTTATTTTAAGAACTATATAGGCGCACTAGATAGCTCGTATCTACCGGCTTATATACCTATACTAGAACAATACCGCTATTATAGACGAGACGGCGAGGTAACGTAGAATATATTAGCGGTCGTCGATTAGTACCGCCGCTTTACCTTTATATTACCTAGATAGGAAGGATTAGCGTACGATAGCCGTATAATAGAAGATGCTATCGAGAACTATAGGTTTAACGCACCTAGAGGTAAATATTATCTCGCTAACGCCGGTTATAGGTCGAGCGATATAACAATAGTGCTATTTCGAGGCGTGCGCTATTACCTATATAAGCAATTCGAGGCCGCTATAAGGCTTTAGAATAAGGATAAATTGTTTAACCTCCGGTACTCGTCGCTACGTAATATCGTCGAGCGGACCTTTAGTATCTTTAAGCGGCGGTTTAAGATATAGAAGACTGCGCTAGAGTTTAATATACGTACGTAGGTAAAGCTAGTTTATATAACAACAGCGCTCTATAACTTCCTTACTAACTGTAGCTGTTTATATATAAAGAAGCTTCTAATTGTCCGCGATAAAACTAACTACTTCGAAGGCTATAGCGTTAGTATAGACGTATTAGATATCGAGCGCGAGGCGACGTAGATAGAGGCGTTTAGAGACGAAATAGCAATAGTAATATAGTTAGCGTACGAGGTATATTGTCGTATCTATAGCGAAGAGGAGATAGAGAGTAAGTAGTTAGTAGAAATTCGAGGCGAGGAGGTAATAGGAACTAGCGGTATTCCGGTATATATTTAGATTATAATTAGAGCAGATTTGTTAGCAGATTGCGTAGCTCCTAGCTCTTACCTACATTTTAGAACACCTTACTACTCCGTCGTCGTCTCTATAGAATTTAAAGTACGCGGAAATATTATAGTCTTAGTAGTTGTCGAAGGAGGAGACAGTAAGGTTAAACGAGGTCGACGATAGTAATAGTAGAGATACGGAATCGAGCTAGCATTGCAATACTAACAAATCTCTATAGTATATAATAAATTATATATAGAAAGTAGACTAATCGTCTCCGCTAGTACTATTAGTCGCTCTACTACCTACTACCCCTTTCTCTATACTGTTTTCTCCGCTAAATATATCTTCTATAATCTCTCTAATCTACTTAATCTTCTTATTATCGTTGCTTCTAAGGAATAGACTAACTTCGTTACGTCTTATTAACTTCCTTATTACAGTACGACGTTGTCTAGATAGCTAGTAAGCATATAGCTCCGTAGAAAGTAGTCGACTAAGCCTCTCGTAGGTATTAGGAGGTTGCTGACTAAGCAGTGTGTTTGTCTATACGAGGACGTCTATTATGCCGTCGATAGTGCTAACTATCTTCTTACTAGTCCCTTTACGCTTCTTGTTTCTATTCTCGAGAGCTAGGTTATATACGGCGCGCTTCTTTAAGGCGATTAAGTTAGTATCTTTACTAGCTAGAAGGCTATTAATATTACTACTATTAGTAGCTTTAGTAGCTTTAGCGGCGGCGAGTCTACCTCTTACGTTCTCGCCGGTAGCGGAAGTCTCTAACTATATCTTATATAATATCTTCTTGTCCTTTAAACCCTCGTATCTAAACTTACCGTAAGTCTTTGCAAACTTCTTAAAGAAGGCGTCTATTACGGCTAACTGCGCGATAGGCAATTTAGTAACTAGATCTTCCTTCTAACCCGACATTGTTATTATAGCCTAATAGCGCTTCGTATTAGTGCGCCGAGCGTTGCCTTTGCGGTAGACAGTATCTAGGTTTACCTTATCTAGTCGATCTTCCGGTATATACGCCTTTACCTATTCTATAGCGCGTTTCTAAGCGACTAGTTTAAATCTACCGTTTCCGTCTCTTTAACTATTACTATAACTCTATAATAGCGAGTTGTCTAGAGCTACTACTATCTCTCGAGTCTAGTTAAGCTGCTTTCTACCTGCCTCTAGCGACGCCGAGCCGGCTGTTCTACTACTTCGACGACCTATACGATTAATAGCGACCTCCGGCGTACCTTTAGGCTCCTACGACGACGTATTATACGGACCTAGCGTTTGCGAGCCTAGCGTAACGACGTCGCTATAAGGAGTTCTATATAGACTATTATAGCGAGAAAGAGGCGAGGATATAGAGGGATCTAGTAACGAGGATAATATCGCTATCGGCGCTAGGTGCTGCTGCTGCTACTAAGGCGCTAGAGTCTTACTCTATAGAATAGGCGTATTATTATCGTCTAAGCTATCTGCGAAGGCGGCAAATTGCTATTACTATTACGCGTCGTTTAACAACTCGCTGCCGCTTAGAATACTAGATATATCTATAGTCTTTACTGTCCTAGTATAGGACGCGTTAAACACGCGAAGTCTACAGCCCTACGAAGGCAAATCTAGCCTAACTAATCTACTAAGTCTACGATAATTAGGGGCACTAAACAGAGGCCATTTATCGTGCAATATATAGCCTTATAAGCGACGATAAATAGTAGAGACAATTACAGTCGATTAGCTAGAAGGAGATTGCTATATTAACTACGATAAATACTACGATAAACGGACGAGAGAACGGGCCCTTAGTCGCTCTTTCGAATTACGAGCGGGAAGTGTAAACGGGCATTAGCATTATTGTTACACCTCTTACTGCCCTACTTATCGATAAGGTAGCGGCAATGCATTCCAGCGTTTTAGTAACTAAACTCTAATAGACTGTATCGATAGATTAGGTTAGTAAGTAAATAACTAGCTTCTAGCCCCTTGCTATAGCTAACCACTTCGAGCTAACCTCTGTAGTTTAGTAGCCCTATCGTACCTACGCCGTAAGGAAGGGTAGGTATAGGTCCGTATCGATAGAATAGGTAGTAGACTAACTAGAAGTAAATACGGTTAGAAGCTTATAAGGTTAATCGTACTATAGAGTCGACTACTACGCGTCTTCTAGTCGCGTATCGATTACTAGACTACCTATAACGATAATAACTATTAGTAATAGACCGCAATTATATACTAGCGCACTTATACGCCTTCTTTAATCTAAATAAAGGGTTGTAGAGCTTACTAGATCTACTTTATAGTACGTACAGAAGTATAGTATAAAGCAGTTAACCTCCGGCTTTATAGCTATCTTAATAGCAATCGTAATAATAGTTATAATAACCGTATTCGTCGCCTAGTATTTATATACTATATCTAGAGACTCTAGTGCTAATATAGTAGTATTATTATTCGAATACGCCGCCGTTTATACTACCGCAGTCGTCGCTATTATAGCTACCGCGATCTAGTCTATTTCCGCTATCTAGTCTACTCGAGAATCTACGCTTTATTAACCTATATACGCATTTAGCTTATAGACTAACGACTGCTTCTATTTACTTACAATCGGCTTAGTAGTAGTTGCAATAGTCGCAACCGGCGGCTAGTCTTACTTAGTAGTCTTTATAGTTTAGTTAGTTTATTAACTATAGCCCTTAGTAACTAGAGGCGACGGCGTAACAGTTATAAGGCTCTTAAACTGCTTCTTAATTAGCGTTAGAAAGCACTTAATCTTAGTAAAGTTTATAGTCGTAGTTTAATTTAGCCTCGTCCGTTCCTTCTAAGCTCGACCTAACGCACTCTACGCCTATAGTAAGACCGGAAACTAGTAAGAAACCTAGCCCTCGACAGGGCGAAGGTATAGCTCTAGTAGCGGCATCCGAATAAGAGGCGATTAGTAAGGAAACTAGTGTAATAGCTTCTACTATAGAAGCGGACAATAAGCGCTTAGGTACTTAGTTAGCTAAGTAAGCGGCTATAGAAGATAGTAAAGAAAATAGTATAGAAGGAGCGGAAGTAGAAGAAGAAGGTAAGGTTAATAAAGACAACCTAGTAGAAGAGGTGCCCGATAAACTAATACCTCGAGGCAAAGGCAAAGGCAAAGGTCTAGTTAAAGGCAAGGTAGTAAAGTAGACAGCGGACATTAAACTCCTCGTCCTTCGAGTCCTTATCTAGCACTCTTATAGCTTCTATTACGAGCCGCTTAGTAGTTTCGTTAATAAGTATAAGACGGAGATAGAACAGACCGCTAAGCGAGAGTTGTCGTTAGCACTAAAGTGTCCGAAGAACCTAAAGCGTATTGTCTTTAGTAAAGGCAAGGTAAAGGGTTAGATTAGTAAGAGGTTAGATAACCTATTAAGGACTACATCTAAGGATAAGAATCCGAGTACTATAGACATTAAGTTAGATAAGTTAATAGCTATAATAGAAGCTAAGAAGAAGGATAAGGAAGCTAGTAAGCAGACTATAGCCGAAGAAGAATAGATAGACAAAGAGAAGGAGGCCTTATTCGATATAGTAATAGGTCGCTTAACGAGTACTAGTTCTTCGATAACGAGTCGCCCTTAGAGCGAGTTTAATACTAAAGAATAGGCGGAGATAGAAGATAATCTAGAAGCCGCCGCTAAGGACAATAATAGTCGTAATCGGAAGGTATAGGCTCGAGTTATAAGCGAAGGCCTCTTACTTAATCGTACGAGTAGCAAGTCGCTTCGATAGGCTAGTATTACTAAGAAGAATCTAATCGGCGAGTATACTATAGCCTCTAATAATCTTACTAATCTTGCCGAGAAGGATATAAAGCAATCTAAGCGCTAGTTTAATAGTATACTAGACCTAGAGCGAGAGGCTAACTCCTTTAAGAAGCGGAAGATCGAGTTATTAGAGGCATAAGCTAGATCGAATACGAGGGTAGAGGATCTAGTAGCGGCGCTTAATGCTAATCGTAAGGCGACGGCGGCGAGGTTTAATAGCGTATAGGTAACGGTAGATAGTCTTAAATTGATAGTATCTAACTTATAAAGGTCGGTAGAAGGTATTAGAGCGACGGCGATAGAGACAAAGAGTAGTATTAATAAGCTAAAGGCGTTATTGTTAGCGAAGTTAGGTTAATAGATTTCGATATTCGGATATATATTATAGAAGAGATTAGGTTTCGCTAAGCATCGAGGTTGTCGCTATATTTACTAAAAGCTAACCGATTATAATTAAACGGCCTTCCCCTTTAGCAATATAACCGAGAATCGTAACCTTAGCGTCGGTTATAGCCGCTAGCCGGCTTTAGAAGTTATCGTAATTTCTAGGATATAATAACTTCTTTACTATTATATTAATATTAGGACAACTACCTACGTATTACCGGTTATAGTATACTCTTTGCCGACTGCCTTTGCCTATCGTTTGCGACCTTAAACGCGAAAATCTATCCGTTACTCGACTAGCGGATAAAGCCTAAGGTAATGCCGGATTGTTAGTGCTATATAGTTAAATCGCTATCCTATAATATCTAGATTTCTTCGACTAATTCTATAACCTTATTGCCTTAAATATACTATATAGTTGTATAATAATACTAATACCCTCTAATATAGTGCGACCGGTTATATACCGACCTATATTAAGCCCTTAAACTAATTCAATCCCTAATAATTCTCGAGTTTACCGAAGCCCTATTCGACGAGAATTCGAACGCTAGCAAGTCGAGTATTTGCTATACGCCTATCCTTAGTAATCTAACGCTAACTACGGTAATTAGCGAATAGAGATATATAGCTATAGAGGTTTAAATAAGCGTTATTACTAGCAACGAAGATAGCCGGCCGGCAGAGCTCTAGATAGCCTAGTAGGTTAAATATTGCTCGGATCTTCGCTAGAACATATATCTATCTATATATATTCTAGTCGTTCGCTAGTCTAAGGAATAGCCTTAACATCGACGGCAATAGTCTATCCGGAGTAGCTATACCTTAGTATTTAAAGCTATTAGCTTTATAATAAGACGAGTATATTATCTTCTACTACTAGTCGTTCTTAGGTATAGATATCGCCTAGAATACGCTATTAACGAAGCCCTATATCTTATTGTCTCCGAAGGAAGACTTTATAGTAATATACTCGGCATAGTACTATAACCTATTATAGTTAAGACCTAGCTACTAATCGACTAAATCGGACTAGGTTAAATATAGCAATTCGATCGTTCTATTAAAGATAACCGAGTGCTACGAGACACTACGACCGAAGAGCCTTACTTAGTAGTACTACCTATCCGGATAGGCTATTCTTTAATAGACTATATATAGCGCTTACTACGGCTCTGCTTTATACCTTAAAGGGCGGAAACGCAATGTTTCTATACCTAGCAATAGCTTAGACAACTCGATAAGCTATACTCGAGTAAAGCGTATATTACGGTAGCAAACCTTATCGTCTATCTAGTCTAAGTACTATTAGAAGTGCGTAGACCTAAAGGATATACGAGTTTTACGCCTTCTCGTATAGCGCTATATAATATAGTATAGGAAGTCGTATCTATAGCCTTCGAGGTCTAAGGCTATATATAGAAGTCGTCTTCTACGCCTCTAAGACGCCCTTTAATAAAATAGTAAGAAAGAGGCCTTTATTTAATACTAAAGTAATAATCTATACTTATATATTTACCTATACTATACTAGTTTACGTACTAATTGCAGGCCTTTAGATATTGCTAAGGTAGCCTAACTTCCTTCCGACTATATAATCTAAGTATCCCTTACTATATCTAATTTTATATACTTCCGGCGATAGCCGTATCTAACTAGAAAGAGACGATAGGGAACTTAAAACTATATAGGAAGGTTTAGGTGCTAAAACGCTAGATTATGCATTCCCTTATCTTAGCTAGTATACCTCCTATAGTAATTATAGTAGTATACCCTTATTAAGCGAGATAGCGGACGGGTAAAATCCCCGTAGACGGTAGCTAGCTTAAATACGTTAGACGTGAACCTTTCAAAGGCGCGGATAATTCTTTTAGGTAGTACGCTAGCTTTGATCAGTTGGATCTCGTTTTCAGGGATCACCCCCTTCCGCTATTCCGCTTAATTAGGGTGTATAGGACGATTAAGCGAGATAGCGGAAGGGGGTAATCCCTAAAAACGGAATCTAACTAGTCAAGGCTAGCGTACTGCCTGAAGGAATTATCCGCACCTTTAAAAAGTCCACGTCTAACGTTTTCAAGCTAGCTGCCGCTTACGGGGATCACCCCCGTCCGCCATCTCGCTTAATCGTCCTGTATGTCCTCCCGACTCCTTAGTCTCCTCCGTATGTAGTGGGCTGGTCATGTTGCACGCGCAATACACATCCTGTCAACCCAACCGGGAGTGCTTGCTCAGTTGCTCTTCTTGAAACACCCCTCCCCTCCACACGCTCCAGGCGAGATCTAGCGCATCGCATCGCCGCATCTCGACCAAGCACAACCTCAGGCCGACCTGTGGGCCGTCTCGCTTCATCTCAGCCACTGGTCGTAGCTCTGGCGATCAGAATCGAAAGCGAAAGGCGGATCCTTCACATGCTGACACACATGTACCGTAGCATGTTCGCACCCTGACTATGGAAAGACTTCTCGCCCACACCAACGCCTTCGCCACGTCCACTGCTACACCTCCTGCAGAGCATGAATCGCTGGCGTTCAACGTGCGTTCGAGAACAAGAAACCTGAGAGCGTCAAGCTGGCACAAGAGTAGTCTCGCGCGTCCGTCGCACCTTGCAAATTCGCTGCTTGGACATGATGTCAACACTGACTTTGGCATATACATCTGCGCTCGGAATGAACGGAGGATACATCGTGCAATGTACACACACTCTGCCATGCCTTCCTGGCTTTGCTGCTGCACTCATCGTCAACCTGGCCAGGAATTCCGTCATTGTCGCATCCTACCAAGCACCTCCGACGCTTCGGGAACTACTCAATGATCAATGCACTCAGCCGTAATGCCCAATCACCATCATTAGTCGAGTCAGCATCGCCTCTCGAGGAACAAGATGTGTGGAAACATGTCCACATTCGCGCATGTTTCGCGCCAGATGTTTGAGACAACGTGACAGCTCGTGCTCGCCTGCATTGGCCTATATCGTCCCAGAGGTACTGATGCATACTTAGACCTCTCTCAAGCTCGCTTTCAGGCGCACACCGCCATCTGAACTAGATCAAGCAGCGAAACGTTCGAAGAAGCTGTCAACAGAGGCATGAAGTGCACAGCGGAGAGTCAGACTTGAACATGGATGAAACTACCCGGTCTGCAGTGCTGTAGATACTCCCTGCAACTCATGCAGGCGCTCTTCCATCTGCTGCCAAATCTCATCGCTGACCTCCTCGATCGGATAGTCCACATGTTGCGCCAGCATCAAAGCATCGCCTCCCTTCGCATCCAGCATTTGCCGGAACACTCCACAAGCTCCAAGGATGGCCCATTTGCACCAGCCCTAAAACACAGACATCAGAATCAGCAAATGCTTTACTAGAGGTCGAAACAAGTATCACAGCTTCATCGCGCCTCGAAACGCTTCATCGACCATCGGCGCTGTCTCAAAGCGACCCTACTCTCCAACCAGACTCACCTCAGCAGTAAATGGATTCTGAATCACACTCGGCACAACCAGACTCCTCCTGCCATTGTCCTGATCATCGGGGAAATCATGGTAAAGCAGTCCCTGCGCAATCATGTCATGCCTAAACATTTTCACCAAAGCCTGCACAATCCTCGTCTCTTCAACCACATCCCCCAAAACCTCCGGACTCGGCCATCGCATCGTGAGAGTCTTCAACGAACAATATTGTCTCGTGAGTCGAGCTGTCCATCTCGAAATATCTCGTCTCGGGACATGGAATGAAGGTGGGAGGTGTTGTTGCATGAGGCATGTTCCGGAATGATAAGACGTTGGAACGGTGGAAGCTGTCGAGGCGATCGATGATGGGGAGTCTACTGTATGCACTTGTTCAGCATTTATATATCAATAATCCGATTTTCGAACATGTACCATAGATAAGCTGGCCTGGGCTGCTGCGACTCCGAGAAAAAAATCACTGACCTACCTGTTTCGGCCTCACCGGTAAGGTATCGACCCACTTGCGCAAACTTGAGGGCTGCGAAATCGACGTTGACATGTTTTCCAACGTAACTCCTCCAAAGATCTGAGAATCCTGTCGATTGTGAGGTGGTGCAGGTTCTTTTGGAGGAAGAAAAGTCCATAATAGTGTAGAGAAAGCAAGCAAGCAAGCGAGAAAATATTTTATTAGGACAGGACAGGACGAGACGAGACAGGAACAGGAACAGGAACAGCTTCGATTATTGTTTTGGGGGGATGCGACGAGTATCATCGATAGTGGTGCTCGCTGGGTAGGGTAGGGTAGGGTAGGGTAGGATAAGGTAGGGTTTGTGAGTGAGCCCATTATTCTTGGATGTTTTCTTACCTCACCTCACCTCCTAACCAGGGATTAGTCCTGCAAGAATGTATGTAAGGAGTAAGTAAGGTATGGAGACTGGGGGAAAAAAAAGCAAGACAAGTGCAAGGTCATCTCACAAAGATCTGAAGCACCAACATTAATCATAATAAGAAGTCTTGGAAGGAGGAGAGCGGCAGACAGACACGCGGCTTTTGATACACAGGACAGCGAAAGTTTAATAGTTCTACGGTATGATACAGGCTGTGCTCGGAAAGCATGGGTAGCTAAGAGGAGTCTGAAACATGATACCTTTCATGTTTCTTCCTTTGATTATTATTATTATTATTAACGCCTCGCTCGATGCTCTGACCTACCGTATTTATTGTCTATCCTAGAACCCAATCGCTCATATACATGTACAATGCAAGTCTACTCAACTCGCCGTAATCAAAACATAAGAAGTAATAGCAGCCATACGCTCCGCGCTAAGTTTCAAACCAACCTTGAGCAACTCTTGCGCCACCTCGATATCCTTCTTCTGGAGCTCCTTCCACTTCTCCGTAGTCAAAAGCCACGCAACATTATGATCGCCTTCGGCATACACCGTACATGTCCGCTCGGTCTCGCTGAAAAAAGGTAGTTCGCCACAAGTGGTACCGGCGACGATGCTTTCTTGATATTGGCCTTGCTCGAGGGAGTACTCTGCTCGCAGAATCCCGGATTGGAGGAGGTAGAAACCATCCGCTGTGTCGTGGCGAGAGTAGACTTTTTGGCCTTTGGTCCACTCGCGCTTTTCGAAATATGGTACTGCTCGGAACCAGAAGTCTTCGTTCTTTTCGGTCAGATCTTGGAAAGCTTGGAGGATCAGCGGTAGGGGCTGCTTGAGATGCTGCCACTTCGTCCTCTCGGGTTTGCCTTGGTCTTCTGTCAGTGTCTGTGCTGCTGCTTCGTGTCGGGCACATGTTCGTGGTGAGCCCATCATTCGCTCGAGCTGCGAAATTGGGGAGGGCTTGTTTGGATCTGGGGATGCCGGGATTGCCATTGGAGGCGAGTCTTCTGGGTTGCGAAGCTCATGCTGCTGTTTCTCCGTGAGTGTGATGAGGAGACCGTTCTCACAAGCCTCAAGAGCGCCATTGAGGTTCTCGTAGACCTTCGGCGCAGGCGCTTCCTCGGCGTCTTCGAAGAGTCCATCCATTTGCAGACTGCGGCCAATGTCATCGTGGAGGTTGACACCAGCCAGCACCATTTCCACATCCCTTCTCCGAAGAATTCTATTCATTCTTCCGAAGGCTTCTGCTGCTGAGAAGTCAATTCCAGTAACGTGGGAAAAGTCTAGAATCAGGTATCGTATTGGTGCAGCGGCAAACGTCTCCGCGTCGATCAGAGCTCGCACTGTCTTCTCTACGTTGACAATACTGCCAAAGAAGAGATATCCGCCAAGCTTAACGACGCGAATCTGGGGGCCCACACGATGCAGGTATGCTCGCTGGCGTGCGTGTCGTCGGACGGTCGACTCGGCAATCTCGCCAGAGAATTCGGCACGAATGACTGTCTTGCGTGATGTCTGCACGACATAGACCAGACAAGCCAGGCCGATACCAACCGCTACACCAACCACAAAATCGTAGATTCCCATGACCAGCGCAATGGCTAGGATGGTGAAGTATTCCAGTCTGTGCAGTCTTCCGTATGTGTCAATCAAAGCCTCTTTGGCAAGATCAATGCCGAGGTAGTAGATCAGAGTGCCGACAACGATGACAGGCACGTAGCCTATGACCGCTGGGCCAACGACCCAAAGAGCAGCCGTCGCGGCAGCAAGCATGTAACCTGCAAGCCGCGAGTCGCCACCAGTGTCCATAAAGAGAACACTATTGACGTAGACCAGGTAGTTCTGAATGGATCCGACACATCCTGAAAGCGTATTGGAAACGCCATGCATGATAAGTTCGCGGTTGATGCTCACATTATCCTCTTGCATCTTCATAGCCAGATTTGGGATGTTGATCGGTACGTGTAGGATACCGAAGAATGTGAGCGCAAACTGCGAGGGGATCGTCATTGCAACAGCTTTCCAATCAACGATGCTGAACTTGTAGTAGCTGTAGAAGTTGTAGAAGGTCTTGTCTGCAGCTGGCGCCTCGAACACCCATCCAGAGCTTCGCAAGACTTCCATGTTGAGGGATGGAACAGCAGCCGTCACGATGTAGAAGATCACGGTGATGCCGATATAATATGCTGGGACCAGGAATGGCCTGTCATAATACCGCTTGATCACAAGCAGAATCACTGCCAAAGCTAATGGCGGTAGCCATTGAGCCAAGCTCATAGGTGCTACCAGCTTCTTGAGCACTTCCAATGAGAAATCCAGATTTCCATCCAAACGGACCGACACTTCGACGCCAGTCAGGAACAAGAAGATTCCGACACCTCCTATGCAGCCCACAAGGATGGAATGCGGGAAGAAGTTGACCAATGTTCCAAGGCGCGCGGCTCCAAGGACGAAGAAGATGATTCCAGTAAGGATAGAACTCATCGCGTAAGATGTAATCACCGTAGCCCGCAAAGCCTCGGGATTCGATGTACCCATTTGTCCAACAATCATATATGTCATCTTGTGGAAGAATGGCACCACCTCGATCATCTCGGAGCCAACTCCCCCACGAAATATGCTGCCTGTGGAATATACGAGTTGAGATATTATGCAGCTCACGTAGAACATAGACACGCCATCCGCACCCATTGCAGAGAATGTTTCCTCGCCGAGTGGAAAGAGAATGATGCCATAGGACAATGCATCAAGCAGATTCAGCAGTAGGCCAAGGAAGACCGAGGGCAGAGTGCTGGCTGGCTTGAAGAAGACTTTGTTCGCAATCGTCCGCGCGTTCCAGGTCTTTGGATGACTGATGGTGTGAAATGCACTCTTCACTCTAGTGAAGTGAGGATAATGGTGACGCCGTCGATTCCAGATCCCGCCCGGAATGTCTTCGCCAGCGCTCGGCTGAGCCTCGAGTTCGCCCGCGCCACCATATCTTGGCTTCCTTCGAGTCGACAGTCGCTCCCGGGGCAAGAGTGGCGACGTCTCCTCCATACCTAACCTGCGTTCATCCTCATCCGTGACAAAAACATCCGGGACTCGACTATTCGTACTATGATGACGTGACCTTCGTGCAGAAGCAGGCCTTGAGCCGTCGTCCTTGTATAGGAGAAGGGCTTCCTCAGCACCGGATGTAGGTGATTGAAAGGGAGGTCGTGAGTTCTGACTTACCAGAGTTGCTTCATCATGTTTGTCGAAATGTTTGGCCATCTCAGAATCGTGGAGGAATGACGATGATAGCTCAGCGGTCTGCTCTCGAACTCCCGACGACGAGTATTGTACATCTAACACGATGACTTAGCATTGTTTCGTGCGCAAAGTCTAGATAAGCAAGGCAGAAGACTAGATGATGGCTGAAGCGTCGACATACCTTGGTTTCCAGCGCTTACATTGTGGATATAAGATCGACTTGGCAAGGAATTGGAAGCCGAAGCCGTGGAGTATGCCCTTGCTCTAGGCCATGTATGCTGGTGAAGGGCAGTCGTCTGTGTCGAGGTCGACGGAAGATTATTATTGTCGCCGCTTTCTGCTTCGTCGTCATCCAGCAGAGCAGCGTGCGAAGACATGCTCCGCTTCTTGAAGAAGCGGCTCGCAGCGGACGACATGATAACAATAGTCTTCGGGAAATGAACAAGCTGGCAGTATTCTAAGTTAGCCGGTAACGTTAGAACTAGCCAGCGGGCTGTTGCTTGGAGACCGGGAGCCGATGCGGGTCTTTAGAGCACCACCCACGGCTATTCTATCATCACATGCTGCCCTGTTTTTGGCGCATTTTGCACATTTTGATGGCTACACGGCAAGGACAGATGCTGCAGCATGTGCGGATACAAGCAATATCATAGTGAACTCTTTGCCAAGCACCTCGACTCCAGAGGTAATAACATATTCTAACGTTACTACGTGCTCCTTTCCAAGCACTAGATCGAGTGATGAAATTTTCAATGACCAGAAAGCCCTGCAGTAAGTCATGCACATCCCTTGAACCTGTTGTCAACATCATGTGCTTCATGTGACATGCAAGCTTCATGCTCTCCGTCTCTGAATAAACTGTATGTCGCTATCATCACTGACCGCTCTTCTGTTCCCTTCATCAACCTTTCTCCGGCATGCGCCAAGTACGACCATGGCATGCCTGCAAAGAGGAGTGCCGCGTCTCATCATCTCCTTTACAATAATGCTGCACCACCTTGATGTATGCTCTCCCGTGAGCCGTCTCGGCTCCGTCTCTCATGACAGCGCCACCTCAATCCCTTCCTCTTCTGCCGCTCGAAGAATGTACTTCCGCACTTTCTCGTCCGGCGCCAGCTGGATTGCCAATTTCCCCGTGGCATCCTTCTGGTCACTCTCCGCACCAGCCTTCAGCAGCTGAAGCGCAGTGTCACCGTGTCCTTCTGCTATAGCATGATGCAGAGCTGTACTTCCATCCATATCTGTGCCATTGACCGGGCTGCGGCTCTCGAGAAGTAGCTTCACGATGGGAACATTGCCAACAGCTGCAGCTCGATGAAGCGGTAGTTGTCCTCTCTTGTCTTTGACTCTCGCAGATGCGCCTTTCGCGATCAGCTTTCTTGCCGTATCGAGATTCGATTTCGAGCATGCGAAATGCAGTGCCGTCTGCCCATTGTTCGTCTTGACGTCGGGATCCGCGCGCTTGGTGAATAGGAAGTCGACAAGAGCATCGCCATCCTTGACACTGGATGCCATCATGAGAGCTGTCCATCCTGATCCATCCTGCGCATCTACATCGAAGCCTTTCTGATCTGAGAGGAGTTCTACGATGGGGAGGCGGTTGTAGGACGCTGCCCAGTGGAGAGGAAGGCGGTCGTCATCGTCGCGACGAGTAGCAAGCTTCTTGTCGGCGTGGAGGAGCGATTCGACTTTTTGTGCTGCATCCTATCAGCTCAGCACATTCCTTGATCCCCGCCACAGCCTACTCTGTCCTTCCCTGCAAGCCGCATGGATTGCGAACTTGCTGCTCTGCTCTTCGATGTCCATCGCGAAATGGCAACGCGACTTCGAACGCAGGCTTGCGGAGAATGACGCAGTCTCGGCGCCCTTCCGTGTCCGTGTTCTGCCCCACCTGCCGCCCCACCCGTGTGCTGCAGTTCCACACCCACGTGCTCCGACGACAAATCCACCTTCACAGCTACAATTATTGTCTCATGACTCTCAGATGTTCATCACGACAGTGACCCCAGCTCCGCGGACATCACTTGGCTTCTGCTTTGCCAAACCAGACACAGATGTCCCTCTTCTCATCGAGCTTCACGCGAGGTCCCGCCGGATGCACTCGCAAATTCTTCTGATAATACGAGTCGACGACCTGCAAGTTGGGCGCAATCCAAAGTCCCTCATTCCCCTCGGCGTTTGGCTCGACGTCCTGGTGGAGCATGAGTTGATAGGCAACATGGTTTCTACTCAATGGCGCAAGGCTGAGCGTCCGGTATTTTGCTCCGCTGAACGCAAAGTCCTCGCTGGCTTCCATGGTCAATGCAAAGGTGAGGAAGTGTGTCGACGGGTTTTCGAGATGATATTGCACATGTAGCGTCTCGGCCGAGCAGGCATCAGGTTTGGCTGTGCAGAGAACTCTGGGTTCGGAAGTTGGGATCGTCAGACGCGGTACCGCGATCTCTGTCGTTGCTCTGCACGAGCTCGTCTCGTGTGACCATTCGACGACAAGTGAAAGGTCTAGATGGCTGGGCCGGCGATCGTCCAGCGAATACTTTTGTGTGGTCAGCTCAAAAGCTGCCATGAGCTTGCCGCCAGCTTCGATGCCCTCCTCGTTGCTGTTGGTGGGAGCCAGAATCCTGCATAGCGCATCGCCTTCCATTGCGTGAACGAGCAGTTCGAGCTTGTGGAGCCTGACTGGTCGCTCTGCGAGAGAAGCTACCTGAGTCCCTAACTTCCAAAGCTGCACGACGCCATCAGGCGAAGCTTTCGTACTCTCGCCAGAGGCATCGAAGTAGCTGCGCCAAGGATCAGGGGGAAGGCGTGGCTGGAATGTGAATTTCGTTTCAAATGGCGCGACAAACACGAGCTCTGCAGTCACACTCTTGGTCAACGGCGTGTTGGCATCCGAAATCAGAGTATACCGAAGGTCGATGGTGAGTGTAAAGTTGGAAGCTTCAGGCGGTGCTTGAATTGCCAACTCTGCTGAAGACGTGGCATTAGCGGCAATCTCCGCCATACTCAGTATTTCGGCGCCTGTGTCATCGTTATTCCATGTGAATGCGAGCACCTCGCCTGCTTGGCCAGTTGCCTTCGCTATGATACTGCCGCTCATGGCTTCCGCTTCTTCATTGACAAGCTCTAGCTGCAGGCGCACGAGTTCGTCGGTGTAACAATGCTTGCGCAAGCCGTTTAGGTGCAATTTCACCTTGGGCGGCTTGGGCAGCACGTTGATAGATTTGGCATCCATATGGGCCAGCAAAAGCTCGTCCAGCTTGCCATCTTTCTCGAGCATCCAGCTTCTGCTTGTTCGAATGCTTTCATCCACGAGTCGATGGCTCAGGCTAAACTTTGGTGTTTGCATGAAGATAGTCACTGCGCTTACTTGCCAGAGCTGAGCTTCTCGAAGTAGTATCGAGAACTCGAAACACTTCCTGATCAACGGAGGGAGGCTGAGGTCTGCCGTGGTATCGGAAGAACCATCTTCTCCTTCGCGCAACGTTGATAAGCGCCTCAAGATGACAGCATCATTGCTATGACTTTCCTGGACATGGTGCCGGATCACAATCGTCTTTGAGCCCACCGTGAGTTCAACTCTGTCAATCACAAGAGGCTCAGAAGCCTTCGATGTACGATACTCAAGACCCAGTTGGCATTCCTGTGGCTCGCCGACGTGACTTTCCAGACTTCTGAACGCGAACGACAGCACCACGGGACATAGTCGTTGCTTGCCTTCAAGTTGCAGATTGACGGGCGTCTCGACTTCCCATGAGTTGAGACATTGTGGCAAGCTCACAGAACCTTCAGGCAAGTCACAAGGCGCAACGCAAAGCAACTCCCATGTCAGAGCTGGTACGAGCGCAGCATTAGGTGTAGTCTTATCTCGTGAAGCACAATCTGATAGTAGTCGCAATAGCCGGCTGAATGGCACGAACCACTCATCTTCTCGCCAGGTACAGGTTTCCCATAGACCAGTCAGCACTTGCAGAGCATCGAAATGGCGACCGGCGCCTACGAAATCCTCGGCCAATTCAAGCTTCAGCTGCTCTGCCATGCGTATCTGGCGTCTTGCCTCGAATTCTCCCGCAGCACGGATGCACGCCGCGCCGAGCTCAGCGGGATGATCATACGCAGGTTCTCCAGACACCGGCTTCTCTTGGTGTGGCTCTGGAACCATGTAAACATCATACGTCTTCCAGCGATTAGCAACGGTGGATGCTGGTGACTGTCCAGGAGGCACTCGATCTTCTTCCGGGATTGCGTCTGCCTTTCCCCAGCGAGCCTTGATACCCTTCGCGAAGAGTCTCAACCAATAACCTGAGTGATGCAACAAATTCCACGGTGGAAGGCGTTCAGCCATCGCGAGTGCCTTTTCGGGCTGCGCATATACTTGGACCTCTGACCACTCGCCGGACTCATTCTGTACCGCTTTCTGCAACCCTCGTATCTGCGCGCGATCTACCAATTGAGACATAATATTCGCCCAACGCGCTTCCCACGCATCCCAGCCGTACGAATTTGTGCCTTTTCCTCTCCTGTCGATCAGGTCTCTTGTCCGCTGCTTGTAATTTTGCCACGACTGCACAGCACCTGTGTGATTGCCGTTCCACAGTTGACATCTAATCGTTCTCAAGGCGATTGAGTCGCACAAGAGGCGTGCTTCATCCCATCTCGGTGACCAGCTCGCTGTCGTCTCAAACACACCCCCTTCTGAGCTGAAGAGTTCCTCAATGGCGGCAGAATAGTGGCGCTCAGCAACGTCCATTTCCTGGCGGAACTCAGCGAACACGCCCTGTTTGACTTCATATCGTACATTCCAGCCTGAGGTTGATGTTGACTGTGAAGCACCTCCTACGGGCGTATGGGCCAATGGTGGTGGTCCTCCTCGAGCCTTCTTCCTTCTCGCATGTTTTGTAAGATCTCTATAGTACTCGACACAAGATGGCTGCAGAGCTTTCATCATATCTTGAACGAATGTCGCTATCTCCACTTGCGAGGTCATAGGAGGCATAAAGAACAGTCCGGTCTTGAGGTCCAGTGCCGTCGCCCTTCGAATTGATGCAACGCGATCCTCCAACTCCGGGGCATGGAGAACGCTCTTATCACTAATCAGAACAGCTGCAAAGCGAGTCTTGAATCCAGACCGAGATAGGGCACCCTTGACAGCATTTATATCGTTCTTGATCTGCTCATCCTGCGCGGCTTCATTCGCATTCAGATCAAAAAATGCCAAGAACACTGATGGGACCTGCTGTTGATGTTTCGTGTACCAGCGAGCGGTGAATATGCCATCAGGAAAAACTGGTGAAGCCGGCGACAGAGGGGAAAGAGGAGAATGTAGTTCTGTGTTTTTGGCAGACGGAACAGCCTCCACTCCTGGAGACTGGGGGATCGGTGCAGCCTTTCTCGCCGGCAACGTATAAGTCCTTCCAATGGTCTTGATTCTAAATCGAATGCTGCCTGTCGGCCCGGGGAGCGATGCCGAGTTCCATGGGAGGCCATATCCATCTTGAGATTTTGCTTCTCGAAGCAAGGCCTGAGCCTGATCAGTCTTGCATTCGGGCGATTCTATCTGGACGCCAGCGCCATATTCTTGTCTCGTCAAGGCTGGACCCGCGTGTGATGGATCGTCCTTTGCGAGTCCCGAAAGGAGAAGCAGAGGAAGGTTATGCTCGACATATTCGGTAGGATATGCCTCCATGGTGGTCAGAAGAACTAAAGCTTTAATCGCAGCATGGTTCCGTCCCTGCGCTCATGCATACTGAGTATCTCGATCGCGCCGTAGCTGGGTATGTGGAGCAGAATGGACTGCGTGTCGTCAAGATGGGAGATGCCAATTGTGGTGCAGTGGCCGAAACTGGAATGCTCCACCCAGAAATTGATGACATATTTGATGGTCCCCTTTCAATTCCTGGCCGCGCTTGGACTTCACCTCCGATCTTCTTCTGCTCGCATGCAAGTTCTTCCGCAAACACCACGACATGAGCGGAGACGATACATGCCCACATTTGTCGTGCCGCATCGATCAGGCGCGCATCGAGTCGCAGCTATTGCTCTCTATCGAGCGCTCCTCACACAATGTAAACGCACATCTTTGCCCGCAGTACATGGCGAAGAGCTTCACAACCTGATCAAAAATCGCTTCCGCGGATTTCGATACGACACAAGCCACCGACACCAGAAGGTCGCCTTCGAGGCAGGCTATGAAGCGGTCGACTACCTCGATGCAGCTGTCAATGGCGAAGTCGGGGCAAAAGAGTACATTCTGGCTCTATTGAAGCGAGCTCCCAGGAACGCGAAAATTGATCCTAGGGAGTCGCCAAAACAATTCCTTAGGCGACATTATGCGTCGCAGGCGTGGCCAGATCATTTGTCGCTCGAAGAGAAAGAGGGGCCGGCTAGTGAACGGAAATCAGACCGAAATGCACTTGCCGAAGCGGAAGAGATGAATGAAAGTGCCCACCAGCTGTTCTCTGAGGAGACGGCCAGTCTCGAGAGAAGTCCCACATCGACGGATGACGGAAACGGCTCACAGTATTCTCAATGTCAGCCTCTCCAGCTTCCGCCGAAAACGCTCTCGGGGGACGAAGAATTATCTCAGGCGATCTTCGGGAAACCACATCAATCTGACTTGCCGGTCGAAGCGCAGGAACAGAATCCTCCAATCCGCAAACGAAGAATCCTCTTCGACCCACCCATCGCGAAAGAAAATCTAGGGGGCACGGGAAAACGACACGTCCCCGTCCTAGTCAACGCAAACGGCATCCCTTTCCTCCGTTACAAAAAACCCATGCCCGCAAACCTCGCCGCCTTCGTAAATTCCCGAATCCTTCAGCGCGACAGACGGCACAAATTCAGAATCGAAATGGAACACAATCTCCACCTCGCACAAGAAGAAGATAGGTGGGATAGTATCCTCTACAAAACAGCTGGAGTAGATAGTAGCGGAGGAGGCGTTGTCGAGGGTTCATGGAAAGACGTGAGTGAGAGATCGCTTCAGGGGATCACTAACATCCTGCAGTCAGAGAAAGAGAATAATCGGATTCATGCGGAGAGGATGCAGGCAATTGTTGATCGGGAGGCGGAGTTGGCGAATTTGGAGATGAAAGAGGATGAGAGGAAAGCTCTCGGTGCGCTTATGGATAATATTACTGATCAGCCTAACATTACTGATCAGGACAGTATGGGAGGAGAACATGATGAGGAATCTAGCCGACCGTTAAGATTATTCTATGACATGAGGTAGTGGATGAGAATTCAAGCCGAAGAGGACAGGACGATGAACTGGGTTTTGAAATTCCTCTCTCCCACTCACCGCTAATAATGCGATCGATCCAAGCAGGAAATATTTCCCTTCTAACTCCAGACGCTAATGCTGTTATTCTTCTTCGTTTCCAATAGTCCTCGTAGCCCTAAACGTAGGTTTCTCAAATCCCAAATCCAACTCCTTCGCCAAGCCCAATTTGTGTGCCATGCCATGGTAGGTCGTAACCGCAAATGACAACGATGAAAAGAAAGAGACTTCATTCCTCGGCCAATTTAGTCCGCACTACTGCTCCTCTGCGTATCCTCCAAAAACCTCACAGCACAGGTCCGTCTACCAGCAGTAGTAACATCCGTCTTACTCTCCTGATCCATTCCAGAATCTGATTTCGTTCTCCTTTCCGTAGCAGCGGCACCGGGAACTGGCAACGAACATCTGGCAGGAGAAGGACTTGTACCTGCTTCAGACTTAGACTTCTTAACTCTCTTCGCGGATCTCTCTGGCGAGTTGCCCTAAAACGCAGATCTTCCCGAATTCGAGCCCGCACTGCTCGGCGTCGCCAAACCACCAAATGAAGATTCCGAAGCAGGAGTAGCAGGAGTTCCAGGCTCGAGAGATAATTGGACTTTTATTCCTACGATCCATTCGTGCTGAAGGAGTTCTGCGGCGGAAGCACGTTTCGCAGGATCACGTTCGAAACAGCGGCGAAGGAGATCGAGACCAGATTCGCTCATCTGTTCTTTTGTGGGCATCAGAGGTGTATTGCCATTGGCAATGTTGTACATGATCGCGAAGTCGTTGTCCATGTTCGCCCAGGGTCGGGACCCGGTTGCCATTTCAGAGATGACGCAGCCCAGTGACCAGATATCTGCTGCTCCAAGACGGCCTCGTGCCGATGAGCCCTGGGGAGCGCCTTTGATGACTTCGGGAGACATATACATTGGTGTGCCTTGGACGCTCCGTTGTCGGCCATTGCCGCCTTGACCATCGGCGACTATGGTTTTGCCTTGCTTTGCGATCACCTTTGCTGCACCGAAGTCGACGAATTTGATGACTCCGTTGTGGTCCAAAAGAATGTTCTCGGGCTTGATGTCGCGATGCACGACGCCCGCTTCGTGAAGGTAGCCTAAACCTTCCAGCATTTGCAGCGCGTACACCTGAACAACCATCTCGTCTTCTACACGGCCGTGCTCGAGTAAACCGGCGATTGATCCACCTGAGCAGTATTCCATGAAGATATATACCTTGTCGCGATGAGGCTCGATACCATAGTATTGAACAATGTTCGGATGGTCAAGCACTTGCAGCACGCCCATTTCATCTCGAATCTGGCTGACGATGGTTGGAATCATCTTCGGATCTTGGAGACGAATCTCCTTGACGGCCATCAGATGACCGCTATCCAGATTAATGGCAGCATACACCGAGCCGAAGGTGCCGCCTCCGACGAATTGACCTTGCTGCCATCTGAGATGTACGTTGCCAGCAGATGCTGACAGGTGTGTAAGTGCTCGATCGGCATCGTTACTGTCTTCAAGAACACGACCTAATGCTTGACGTTCTGCTTCCCGGTCTTTCCGGAGTTGATCGATCTTTTCAAGTTCATCCAGCCATTGCATGCGTACGATCCGAGAGCTTTCTTCATCATCCTTGAGCTTGCCGACATCCAACCGAAGCTTGCCGACCATGGCGTCCATGCGTTGCTTCTCTGCTTGTGCGGCCACAGTACCTCTGGCGCCCATGATGTCGAAGTGTGAGATGAGCAGTGACATGCAGCCAGAGACCTTCTGTCGGAGCTTTGAATACTCTTCATCAGATATTGAGAGGATGTTTTGACCTCGTGTCATGACCATGGCAAATTCTAGAGCAACTACAGCCCATCGGAAGGTCTTTCGGTCGCTTGCCACACAATCGTCGCAGATGAAAGAGACCCAGTCAAGTGCCAGCTTTGTGAGTTTATGCTGGTTGACGGCACGTCGTTGTGCATCCATGTGAATGGCCGAACGCTGACCAAACTCGGTTGCGAAAGCGAAGCAGTTCTGGATGAGTTCTTGGCTCTCGAGCTTGCGACCAGCGGCTTCTGTTTGTGACCGGACAATCGCAACGGAGTCCATGATGGTATTAGAGAGCTTGTGTGCAGTCTTTCTGATTTTGGCGAGCTCTTGATTGACTCGTGGTAGATTTGCTCGTTGCTCGACGAGTATCGTGAGGTCAAAGTTACCAATCGCATTGACGAAAGCCATGTTGGCGTTCGCAAGTCGCTGCTGACTCCCATCTGCAACAAGTCGCATGCGTCCAGTCCTGAGGTCTAACGATTGCGGGACTTTAAGCACTTCTTTACCCAGTTGCATCGCTTCCATGCGATCTCCATCCCAGAGAAGTGGATTTTCAGGTCGTAGGATTAGCACGTATGGGTTGCTAGGGTCTTCAGGGCTGTCTTCGGCGTGGTAACAAGTTCCCAGCATACTCTGGACATCCTTCGGCCGATCTCGAAGAACTGGACTAGCTATGATATAGAGCTTGCCTGCATTCTTCTCGCTGTCACCTTCCGCGATGGCCGGAGGGCTGTCTGCGCTGGTCTCGACGAGAAAGTGGCCCGATAATCGAAGTGCAAGTAGCAGGTCTTCATATTGGTCATTGTCGATGTTGATGTTGTATTCGGTCGCGTTTTCGAATCTTTGACTCAAGATCCTGCCGAAACGGAAAATCTTTCGTTGTCTCACACGAACTGAGTCGAGAATGCTCTTGTAACGCTTGTCCATCTCAGAGGTACCTGCGACTTCATCAGGCGGTCGTTGCAGCTCTTTTTCGAAATGTGCTGCGAGTCGTCCCATTGACTTGGATGTTAAGCTGGAGAATTGTTCTGCAACCTCAACATCACCTCCATCGAGATGCCGTCCGAGTTCATTAGAGAAGTCCCATTCTTGCTCAAGGATTTCTGCCTCTTTGAATGTGTTCTTGTTGGCCATGAGCTTCCAGTTGAGCATCTTGAAGTAGAATTTAAGAGCGTCCAGAATTACAGAATCAAAGGCATCATCGATGCAGGGCGGCAGATCCCAGCCAGGCTCGGGTTGTGCAATAACGTTATATGCTTCCTTTATCCGGACGGCGAGTTGAAGAAGAATCTGAAACTGCAGAATCATTTGCTCGGCAGTCATAACACCTTGCTGGGCCGGGTCTTTCATCTTCTTTGCATAGGATAGTCGCATGCGAATGATCTCCTGTATCAGTCGGGAAGGGAAGTTGATGAGAGTGAGCAATTCCTCAATGTATGGTGGCAGGTGTCGATCTGAGAACGCTTCAGCGTTCGCAATAAGAGTCGCCTTCGCCTTGTGAATGACCGTGTTGACCCCATTCAACAAGCTCTTGTCGCCTTGTAGAGATTTTAATCCATCCTCCTTCAGGATTCGGTCAATAAACGAGCTGTCGTCGAATAGCTCGTTGCGTTCCTCGCCTTCCGGTCGGGTTCGAGCTGCAGTAAAGTCGAGCGATTCGTTGCCGACCCAGCTTTGGAGGATGCCCAGTTCGGTGTTGATCAGCTCGGTCGTGTTGTGCCATGAAATTACAGCATCGCAGGTGTCCTTGAATGCTGATGACGCAGCTCGTGGATGTGCGGCCTCGAAAGCCTGGCGTGTAGGGTATAAGTTTACGACCTTCTCAATCTTCTTTACTATGTCCTCGACCTGCTCGGTCGCCGACTTGCCAGCTTCCGCCTCTCCTTTAATCTCGAATGCGATGATGGATTCTATCGCAGTCTTGATTTTGGACCTGCCATCTTCGATCAATCGCTTCTGAGCTGCTATCGATCTTCCACAGGTCTTTGCTCTTACGCCTATCCACACTTCATTTTTGATTGCTGCATCTCCTTGCTGTTCAGGTCCGCCGATCAATCGCTTCTTCTCTTGCTTCACGACATCTCCCGTCAACACGTTGGCCAACATTGCATGCCATTCTAACCGTTCTCGATTGGCTGGTATATTAAGCTCTTCCACCGACGGCTCCAGATCCTCGCTGCCATAGTATAATAATGTGTCCACCTCGGCAGGATCATGATCCACGTGTGCTAGGTTCGTAGGGCTTTCCTCATCCGACTCACTCCCTGAGCTGTAGTCGAGACTGGGCGTCCGCGGCTCGGTATAGAACTCATTTTCCTGCCCGGTCTGCTGTATTCGCTGCACGTATGCCTTTTCCTGCGCTCGATATTCATCGTTCGGATTCCTCCGTTTTCGTGCATGCGCGGATGAATTCCGGGGCCGTCTTGTATCGATGGAGTTGAAGACACCACGCATGGAACCTCCCGGACCTCGCTCTGGCCTGTAAACACTGCTGGGTTGCCTCGTGTTGCTGGGTCGCGACTGCTTGCTGGGCATTCCTCCATTGACCACGGACGAGCCTGGCGGCAAAGTGGCATATTCGGGAACAGTCGCGTGCGGGATGCTTCCCGTACCTCTCGTGCTCGTGCGCGACATATTTGATGTTGGCGTCCAGCCATAGGTGCTGACATTAGTGAGTGGAGTCACCTCATCCTGGCCGCTATAGCTCAGACTGCTGGTGCTGGGGGAGAAATGGGTGCGCGAGACTCGATCGCTGTCGGAGTAGGAATCGTGGTGGGAGTGGGAGGGATTGTAATGATCATCGCCGCTGCTTCCAGTGCCACTTGAATCGAAGGTCTGCAGATCGGGGCGGGTCTCCTGCTCGGGATCCTCCATGATGCCAATAGCGTGATGGCGCGAGGGGATCTGGGAGTCGGAGGCGTAGCGAATGTGTCTGATGGCAGAGGGTGAAGTGTTGCCGCTGCCGCTGCCGCTGCCGCTGCCAGAAATGGCGCCAGACATGGTCGGCATATTGTACTCGAGGTAAACAACAAGTATTCTGCTAGCGCCGTGATCTCCACCGCTAGTCCGCTACTGCCATCTCATGATGCCAATCCTGCCATCCCTTTGCCAGCCCGGTGGGTGTAGGTTGGCGCTAAACCCATGCTTCCGGTCTCAGAGAGTTCCATTAGCCTAGCAAAATAGGTGGGTCGACGAACAGCCGCAGATCACTGATTGGTGCCCTCCGCCGACCGAATTCGCTAGTAGTAACGATAATGGTTAAGCGGCTGCCTCTTCGAGAGCCTGTCCGGACAGCGGACAGGGGCGCTTCTAAGGGTAGTTTAAACGTTACTTCTTCTATAGAATAGCTAGCAATATAGCAATAGCTAGCAATAGCTACAACACCTATATATATAGCTATATTAAAGCCGCTAGTAGCCGCTAGTAGTCGTTGCTAACTAACTAAATAAAGGAATATAGAGATACTACGACTATAGAACCTAAATCCTCGCTACTAAGGCTAGAGGCTTAATTACTACTACCGGCGCGAGTCAAGACAATAAGGTCTTAAAACAGTACTATAATACTATTAAAGAAGAAGCTAAAGAGGTCTAAGTCGACGCTAGACCTAGCCTCGAGTCCTCCGAGCCTTATAGAAGTTAAGAGGCCGGAAGAGGTTAACTTTCGAGAGTTTATATAGCTGCGGTTGCGGGTAATGTATTTAGAGACTTATATAGACGCTATCTACGCGTTCTTAAAGAATTTTGGCTATAACAACTATAGAGATATGCCGAAGATAAGGGAGCTATATAAACTATAGGTTAACGTTGCGGTATAGTACGCTAGTAGTTAAGAGAGGCGATTAAATCTCGGTAGTTATGCTAGGTATGCTCGCAGTCTTTATATAAAGCCTAACTAGGTCTACAATTAATACAATATCGCCTTATTTAATAGTATATCTACGACTTAATATTAAGTGCGGTATTAGTAAAGTTACAGATATCGCAGCGCTGTTTCCGTAGCAGTCTACCGTCTATATAATGCTTATAGTCCTTACTAAGCCTAAAGGTATCTATTTGCGCTCGAATAACGTCGCCTCGTTTCTACTAGAAGCGCCGAGAAGGACGACCGCAGTGCTAGTTGTATATATAGCCTAATATAAACCTGCCGCGGTTACGAGGTGTTAAGCTAGTATCTCCTAATTCTACTTCTATCTCTTTACTGCCTTCTATTACTAAACTCTAGCCGAGTCGAAGGCGGAAGGAGCGCTATATAGTAAGGTATTCGTCCTTAGAAGTAGTAAAGTCTCGGTATAGAATATAGGCGTTAATTACGGCCGCATTAAGTAAGAAGTAGAACAGCGGATGCTATAGCTTTATAGAACAGTATTATATAGCATAATAGCTTCTTAATTAGTCGTAGATATCGACTCCGCCTATCTTATCGTTATATAGAGCTGCCTATACAGGTATATAGCACAGCTATTAAGGAACAATCTAGTAAGGGCGTACGTGCTTAGTAATAAAGTCGTTAGTAGCCTTAGGTTAGCGTCTTTGTCGCTAGACTCGCTAGAATAGCCGGTAACTAGTTGTAAGGACTTGAACGAGGTTTCGGTCTTGCTATAGTATCGCGGCAACATTATAGTAATACCTAGCTATTAGTATGTCGAAGGGGAAACGTATAGACTTCCGATTAAGTGTTATCGCTTCCTAGACAGTCTTCGGGGGTAGATGCTCGTCCCGCTTTAGTTTTACCGCCTAATCCTTATAGAGCTATACCTTGTAGAATATAGCGCCCTACTATAGCTAAGATTTAGAGCTAGTACGCACCGTGCCTGTCGCCGCGATTCTATAGTGTCGTAGGACCCGAAACAGTAGTACGTTGTTAAATAAATTGTCTATATAACAATAGAAGAAGTAAGTCGAATATAGGAGCTATAGTAACAACCGAAGAACAGCCTAGCTAAGCGAGCTAAGCGAGCCAATAAGATTAGTCGCTATTAGACCCTACGGTTAGCCTTCTGTATATAAGAAGCTGCTAGATTTAGAAGCTACCTACTTTCTCTTATTTTATTACTATTACTAATATTATTAGTTTGCGCTGTCTGCTTTGTCCGTCGTCGTTTAGTAGGTAGACCGTCGTTACTATTTTTGCTAGTATCCGTACTACTATTTCTACCTCTATTACGAGCCCGAGTTTCCGCACCCTTCCTCGCCTTCGTAGCGGCCTTCTTCTCTGCCTTAGTTAACTTAATTAGCACCTCGACTAGATTCTTCTACTCTTCCGCACCGTTAACAACCTTAAACCCCTATTACTTCTTCGGCGACGAGAATAAGAAGTTATACAGATATCTACGCTCGCAGAGAGCGAGAATATAGAACCTAATCGGTATTAGTTTGCCCTTTATTATTATAGTATAGAAAGAGCGCCTATAGAAGCGCACTATTACCTTATCTATACTAATTCCACTCGCTAGTACTATATACTGCTTAAAGGCCTTCCTTAGTATGCTAGTAAGGTTTACGACCCATTTCTATAGTAGAAAGCTACTATTCTTCTCGATAGGTTTACTAAACTATATAGCGGCTTTAATCTGTCGAAATCGATACTTACTTATATATCTAGCGATATTATAAGAGGGCTAATACCTATTAGAGCGCTAGTAATCGGCTTTATCGTCTATTTATATAGCTAACATATATATTATTAGACCGATAAAAACTCGCAGCTCTCTAGTCGTAACTAGCTTCTATTTCCGCCCTAAAACCTATACCTCCTTACTACTGTTTACGACCTTCTTAAACTTAGGTTTCCATCTAGTATACTAGTTAGTATACAACACTATTATCCTATAGATAATAGCCGGCTATATAATATTAAACTACTTTAGTAGTAGTCGCTAGCCTCTAGGGTTACGAGTCGATAGCTTTCGAGGGTTACGGTCCGACCGTAGATTATCGCTATCTACGCCTTCGAATATCTCCTTAACTAGCAGCCGCACCTGCCTCTCGTATTTAATACCTTCTAATAGATAGTAAGAGCTAGCTTTTTAAAACTTAGGTTAGACAGTATCCGGCTTAGACTCTGCTATATAGCAAGTGCGCCTCTAGCTACTAAGGTTATTAGCTATAATTAGAGGCTCAGAGCGCTCGTCTACTATAGGCTCTTTATAGGTTAGAGCCTCGAATAACGACTTCGCTATAGCCTTACGTAGCTTACGAGACGACAGGAACTCGGCGTCTATAATGCTATCGTTAGTAGCTAGAAACATAGTATTAGGGTCGATATCGTATACGTTAAATAGGTCCTCGGTAGTAGCAATTAGCTCGTTATAATCGTACGTCTCGCTATTAAGAAGGTCCGTAATATCTATAGCGATTAACAATACCTTAACGACTTAAATAACGGTCTATACCGATAAACATAGATTCTATAGTAGATAGCGGCGTAGAAACCGAGATCGGACGACCCTAGATTCTGATAGCTAAGGAGCGGGCGGGAAGTCGGGCTCTACACCCAATTTAGGTAGGTGGCTCGATCAGACTTCCTATGTCCCGCCGCTAATGCTCTAGCTGCGTCTGTCCACGAGTTTTCAAAGGGATGCTAATGCTCGATGACAAGAGCTGCATAAGCCTGCATGAGCCGATGAACCTTATCAGCGGCACGCGTGTAGGTAAAGGAAGGAAGAAATGTGGTCGCTGACAGGTCAAAGAAGTGGCATTTGTCAGTGAATATGTGCTGGTATAGAGTATCAGGAGGTGGAGGTGGAGGTGGAGTCGGAGTTGGTCGAGCCTGCTTCTGCGTCTGCTTCTCGTCGCCAATTCCTGGTTCGCGTGCTCCAGACTGCATGGCGTGGGCGTGGGCTTAAAGTGTACTAGCCCTTCCCGGCCTTGACTCCCGTCCCGTCCCGAGTATCCCAGCACCACCACAATACCACAATACCACCACCTCCATACTGCATGGTAGTGCTCTAGTGAGGGAGGATTGTTAATTTCTACTCGACTTAGTTCTAGCGACGGCGTTGGGGGAGTTTGCTGTGCTTTTCGCCTGCTCCATTTTCGCATTTTCACGCTGCCATACACAGCCTCCCTCCTCCACTTCCACGCACAGCACAATGCCTCCTCCACCACGACCTCGTGCTTTGCGAAAAGATGCTGTCGCACTGCACTTTAAGACCGCCAAGCCAGTGCTCCTCTCAGACTCACCGACCTCATCAAGAAGCACTCTTGCGCCCAATATTCGCAGCATATCATGGTCCCCTACCGGCGCATTGATCGCGAATACTGTGAGCACCAATATTCGAGTGTGGAATCCAGAACGACCCGACGTGAAAGCGAGTACCGAGCTGCGCGACAACCCTTCAAAGCCAGGCGCACATGCCAAGCCGGTGGAAAAGATCTCGTTCAATCCGCGCATGGAGCATCTACTTGCCAGCGCAGGGCTGGATGGAATGGTCAGGCTATGGGATGTGAGAGCACCTGGAGGAGCTACAGGACTGGCTGGCGGAGCTGGTCTTGGCGTAAGAACGAATATCACAGGCAAGAGCGGCGAATACGATGTACGCGAACAATGCCTCTTCCTCACATGGCATCCGACTGGCTCAGAATTGTTGGTAGGCACTGGCAAGGACAAGGTCACCTCTTTCGATCTTCGCAGAGCAGACACTACCATGCTTGACACCACCACCACTACCACCACGACTGCCAACACAGCTGCATCCCTCAAATACGAAATGCACCCAAGTATCCTCATGGAAAAGCCATACGAGAAGCCTTACTACTACGAGATGGCATTCACGAATAGCGGCAACCATTTACTTGCTGCTACCGTCGATGGCTCGGTCAAGGTCTTCTCGTATCCCTCTATGAAAACTATTCACTCTCTTTCAGGTCATCCATCCACCACCTACTCCGTCCAGCACTCCCCAGCTGGAAACTACGTTGCTGTTGCTGGCTCAGACTCTGCAATCACATTGTGGGACACCAGCTCATGGCTTTGCGAGCACGTCTTGACTGAAAACGCCAATGCAGTGCGATCGCTGTCCTTCTCCATGGATGGACAATATCTAGTCTGCGGAGGTGGTATCGATCAGGACAAGGTTCACGAGAAAGGCCTTCACATTTGGCACGTCGACACTGGAGAGCTTCTGCACACCGTGGAGACCACTAACGCGCCGACGTTTGTCGAGTGGCACCCGTTCAGGTATGCGGTCGCCTTTGCAGGTGACCCAGGCGGCGTCAAAATTGTTGGTGGTATATCCGGTTCATAGGAAAGCTTGAGCGAGAGGCTAGCCCCCGGTTCGAGACATCAGATCAACTACGAGTGGTGCCCACTTATGCGGGATTGGCCTGCTCGCCGTAAAGGTGTCGCCGTCAAATTCGCTCAGGCCCACGAGGCATTTTGCGAGAGCTTGCAAGGAGGCAATGATCCTTAATATATCGTACCATCAGCTGCAACCGGTCTAGCAGGTCTGCAAGCCTGCAACAAATGCAAACTCGATAGCTATTATCGCCAGAATAATGGCCAAACGTATGAGGAACACCATGCCGAAGCCGAGCGGGGTACATGCTCTATCACACTAAACACTAACCAGCATAATCTGGACTATCATTACCATTGCACAAACATCCTGCTTGTACGACGGCCAACATGGCATCTCAAACATCATCTGATTCTGGCGCTAAACTCAATCTGCTGTTCATCCGCCATGGCGAAACCCAAGACAACATCGACAGAATCCTTCAAGGCCACCGCGATACATCTTTGACCACCAAAGGCCTAGAAGAAGCCAAAGTCCTTGCTCAAAACCTAGAGGCAGAAGAAATCGATATCATCTACCACTCTCCTTTAACACGAATGCTCCAAACCATCGAACCAATCCTCTCCTCTCGCCCTAACTTAGAGCACATTCCCGATCCAGACTTGCGAGGGCAGAGTCTCGGCACCTTGGAAGGACAGAGCTACGACAAGCTCAACATGTCCTCACCGCGAAGCGCAGAGGAACAATTCCCCAATGTCGGCGTGGAACGCTTCGAAGATTTCGTCAAAAGATTAAAGAAAAGTCTGGGCAAGATCATTGGAATTGAAGCTCTCAAAATGCTGTCGTCGGATCGAAAAGGGAGGAGAACAGTCGCTATCGCTACGCATGGTGTTTGTATCACTTCATTTTTCAGGGCTTTGCTCAATCGAGAGCCATGCGATGGATTCAATGGTGTGTTGGCTGAGCAAGGTCCTGAAGCGTATGAGGTTAGATGGACGGATAGTGATGACGTGGCGAGGGTTGAGGTTAGAGGTGTTGAGACTTTGCCGATTAGGAATGGGGAGTTGGAATGGGAGAAGTTAGAGGGCGTGGAGCCTAGGAGATTCTTCATTGAGAGATGGGGAAAGAGGGAGAAGGCCGAGTAGGCGCCGTTCAAGTCTGGCATTGTGGCAAGCTACATGGTGCCCCTCACCACCTCGTCTTGAACTGCATGACAAGCCACTCTGCGGATTCATGCTCTTCTCCAATATGATTACTGCACGCGCGGCGAGTGCCAGTCATTCCTCGATGCCATATAGAGCGCTGAAACACTTTGCACTGGCGATCAAGTAAAATCACGTACGTGCCAACGGTGCGCATCGAGCTCGCCATTGGTAGGCCTCATATTCATTCCTCCATGGGTTGTACACTCATCTCTGCTCATGCGGCGTCAGATGTCCTCCTCTTGCAAGTGCCAGGGCCACACTTTCTTCTCACTTCCTAGCTGTTGCTCCTCGCGCTCCTTGAGCACCTTGAGATCCTCCTCTGCAAATGCATCTGCCAAACGTGACTGTTCGAACTCAATGTGTGACTGCTCGAGGGTCTGCTTGATCTTCGCTGTCTCTTCGCCATATCTTCCACCGGGAAAACTCAGTATGTAGGACAGGGACATCGTTTGAACTCTGCTACCATAGTGGAGCGGGCCTTTGGGGCAATCAAGGTAGAGAGCTGGGTGTGCCTTGAAGGTAGTTAGTAGGCGTACTGAGCGCAGATTTGGTAACACTTACTGCCTTGGCAGAATACTGGTAGTTGATCAATGCGCCCTTTTTTCTTTTCGAGACATATCTTCCTAGGCTTTGGTCGAAACCGTACTGCCTAGTGTCTGCCCGATTGAGCCACCGCTTTAACAGCTTCAAGTCGGCAAAATACGGTCCTGGAAATTTCAACTCGATGAGCATGGTGCGTTGGGGCTCATCGGATTCCAGATCGGCGAGATCGCTCTCTGGTAGCTTGTTGAGGAAAGTCACGACATGGCTGAAGTCGAAGTTGCAGACGGTAGTCTTCAGAATTGGCGCATTCGTCAATGCCCTGGCGAGGAACTCGCTGCGAATCTGCTTGTTGACGCGAGCTAGGCCAGCTGTGCTTGTAAGGTGCTTGGCCCTCTTGGAGAAAGCGGTAGGGCAGATTTCGAGCACCTAGAAGCGGCGAAGGTCAGAGAATGTGTCACAGGAGGGCAGACTCGGCGAGAATGTACTTACAGAGTCATATATCATCTCGCGTAGCTCTGGCGCAAGGTCTAGGAAGCCCGTTTTACGTTCCTGCTCTGCCGCTTGAGGTGGCGATGCGTCAGATGTAGGCGAAGCGCCCGATGCAGGCATTGACTCGCTCTTGCGAGCCTTCGAGGCTTTTGCAGCCGTCGAGCTGGCCTTCTTGCGCTTGCGTGTCAAAGCCATGGTTTGTGATGGTTCCGTCGTGGAATTGAAGAGCGAAGAGACGTGAGTGAAAGGCTCCGCTTGGGGACGGCAGGAACGCCAAGAACGCATGTGCAACTGGAAGGGCAGGTGCGCTTTGAATAATCGGCTGCACTTGCCTTCCGTTCCTCCTCTATGGTCTACATGCTGGCACTCATTGACTGATGCCAATTCTCCTCAGAGTCTCTCTTGCTGTCGTCAATTTGAGCCCGATTCTAGCATCCAAGTCGAAGCTTCCCCATCTCTCCACCACCGCGAGCTCATCGCTGCATTGCTTCAAAGATGTTCGGTCACCATCTTGTCCCCCTGCCTGATCCCACAGACAAATCGCCTTTTCATAGTGCGCAACGGGCAACGGCCAATTGTCTGCGTGATCGCATGCGGTAATGGCAGACACAGGGTGACACAAAACGTGCTCTTTCAACTCGGTCTGGGCTTCCGCGACCTTGCCCAGATTGCGGAGACATGTTGCCTTCAGCAGTGATAGGATTGCTTTCTCGTCGGCCGCTTCGTCCTTCCACGTCGGCTGGCTCTCGGACCACTCCAACGATGCCAGAGACACGGCAATGTGCTCGGGCCTCATTCGCTTCAAACCAGACCAGAAGTAGATCATCTCTTCGTGCGGCGATACACCAATAGCATCGATGAAGTCGCAGTGTCGCGATTGGGCTCGATGTTCCCATTTGGCAATCTTCCGCATGATGAAGACATCGAGCGGTAACTGACGAGCCATGAAGCGCTTCTTGCCGACGTTGGCGGACACGTGATGCAGCAGCTCTGTCGCTTTCTTTTTGTGCTGCTCAGCAACCGTTGGATCGGTGTGCTGATACTGCCGATAGAGCTCTACGTAGCAAGCGCCCGAGATATAATAGTACAGACCATGGGACCAATTGTTTAGGTCGATGCATCGAATGAAGGACTGCGCACATTCTTCGTAGCGATGGAGGAACATGCAGGCCATGGATGTCTCAAACACACGCAGAGCTTCGACTTGTTTCAAAGTGGTAGGCTTGGAGTCTCCCTTTAGCACTTCAATCGCCGTTTCCAGATCCCTTTCAGCACCATGCATCCGTGCTTCTTCGAGCAGCCATAGCAATGAGTTGGGATATATCGACCGCATCTCATGGAGTAGCTGCCGCAGCCGCTCTGTCGGGTAGGCTTCTCGACGATGAATGTCGCATAGTGCCTGGAATTAGGGAAATGGTCAGCAGATGTCACCGAAGATTGACCTTGCCGAATGGCAAGCGAGGACCCTACAATTGCAGCATTGTGGAAAGGCAGGAGGACTAGTCCCGCCATAGCACCGTTTATGTTATGCTTGAACGCCGTGGCTCTCCAAAGCAGTCGCAGACCATTTTCGCGGTCGCCACGAAACGAGAATATGCTCAAGATCTTGCCAAACGCAGGCGGGACCATAGAAAGCAATAGCTGTAACAAGCCGAAGCACATTGCGGCACCTGAGTGGATGAAGATGTCAATTGGGTCGGAGGACACAGACGCGAAGTCCAGCTGATCTTCAGCCTTCTCGGCCGCACTTGGTGCATCTGTTGCAATTTGCTCAGGCTTTCCGCTCTTTTTGGTAGCAACATCGTTCGACGCTGCTCGGTCATGCTCAAGGTCTTTGATCGTTTCCTGTAGCTTAAGATCGTCCATATCTGGAAACTCCAAGTTGCCTTTGTAAACACGCGGAGTCACCTGGTCGGAGACACTTTCCTCAGCATCAACGAACTCAAGCTCATCGTCATCGGCGTCCTTTGCATCGACAGGAGTCAAGACGCCAGAATTGGTTTCTGATGCGTTCTTCCCAGGGGCCGTTGAAGTGTCAGATCGTGTCCCACTGGTCAAAGAGGTAGTAGAGCTGGAGAAATGCTTCTCGAGGTACTTGTTCTCGGCATCCACAATCTCTTGCAGCGTTGTAAACGCTTTGCGAAGGTTGTAGAACCCTCTGAGACTTTCGGACAAGCTTTCATTGAGTACGCCAACGACGGCCGACATGAGCTGCGACTCAGCATGGCACAAGGCATATTCGGAGCCTCTGGGATAGATGGCGCTTTGATGTGCTGTCGATGCATCTCGCAGGGCTCTTCTGTGATACTCGCTTGCTGAATCTTGAGCATCCGCGAGACGTACGCCTGCTTGTTCCATCATCTCCTTCTCAAAGCCAAGAGTGGCTCGCAAGAATAATGTTGTCGCACTTCCCAGCTACTTTGTCGACTCTGGTCAGTCTGATACACTGCATCGAAGCCGTGAGCCTACCTTATGAAAAGGCGAGTTCCCTTTGGCCAGCTCTGCTTCTGCCTTATCTACTTCTACAGCAAGTGTAAGCACGTGGCTCTCTACTGGTGTCGCGTGTCTCTTATACCATCATTTACGATATAGGCAGCCTGCCGCATGGCCTCTTGCACTACCCACTGTCAACCGTTCATGGTTCAAGAAGCATGCCACGTTCTTTTCTCACACGCAGCAGATTCATCGAGAGCCGTCAGACTCCTGCTCTGGTGTATGCTGGCTTTGGAGGGGTGCAGCCATGCTCCCACTCGCTTCATCGCCATTGTAGCGGGCTGAGTGAATGGCGATCGTTATCGAAGTCGAGGGTGCGTGAAAGCGTGTACGGTGGATGCAGAGTCGCTTGAAACGGCAAGAAGCACTTGAATGCACAAGATGAGACCAGGCACGGCATTTCCAGGCCGCATTGTGTGTCCATGACCCGCGCCGATGTCAGTGGTCAGCTTCTGAGGCGTAGGCGTCGGAGGTGGGTCTGGTCCAGAGCTTCATTGCACAGCCCTCGTCCACTCCGAATCCCTCCCATGCTCATCAAGTGGTCTTCTCCGTCTGCCCTTTCGCATCCGAATGCAGCCGGACGTGTTCTCAAGACCGTGCAGCGCATTATCATCACGATTCTGGCAATAATGAGCGTGGGCTAGAACTAGACCTATATTCTAGTTCTGCTGCGGCCCGGCCGGCAGTGGCAATAATAATGACTTGGGACAATACGCGAACCTGACACGAATGATATCATGATATGACCACGGTCGACAAGGCTTTGACTCGCGAGGATACAGTCTATGCTATGGAATTGCAAGCCTACTCAGCGTCCTTCATGCCACCAAATCCAGTCGAGACACACTCTTTCATGCTTGACTAGCGCGTTGGCAGTCTCGAGAGTCTGAGCATCTTCGTCGTCAAAGTGTCTTCATTCTTGCTGGCGTTTGGCTGGACAGGATCAGCACTTCAGGAACTATGAGCGTGATAGAGTTTCTTCCTAGAACAAGGGTGTTTTCGATCATCGTTTTGATCGAAGCTATCAAGTCATCATTCATGACTGGTTCTGCAGGAGCTTAGACATTATAGCATGTCCATCTCGTCACCACCAACGAGTGCAAATCGTCCTTGCTCAATGTCACTCCTCTTATCCAACTCCGCAGCATACTCTCTCCTGATGTCTTCCAACCTGACCAGCCTCCTCTTGGCCCCCGATGGATGAACGCCCTTGAGTGGATCCGCCAGCAGCCATGCTTCGTCCTCAGCGCAGCAAGCCAGTGTGCTGATGAGAAGCACATATACCTGCACAAGTGTCTCGTCATCAGGATCCATCATGATCGACGTCTTGGTTGCCTTGAGATGCTCAAGATGTAGGTAAAGTAATGCCGCTGCTCCTCGGAAGTCTCCGATCTGTGTCCTGAAGGCGAAAAGAATCTGGTGATATGGTGGTCCCGAAATTGCTGCATTTGACGTGCCCATGCTACGTTTCGCCAGCCTGAGGAGCTCCGCATCGGCATACTGTACCAGATCGTCAGAAATCGGCAAGCTGAGCAGGACAGGGACTGCGTCTTGCTTGATGCATTTGTCGATAAGCGAGCACAGACCCTGCCTTTGCAAGTTTGGGTCGCTAATGGTCTCAAGCACAGAATGTGCATCTTCAAATCGGCCCGTCTCCTTCCAAGCATTGAACAGCCTGCTCAGAAGATTTTCTGTTCCATCGCGCACCCTAAGCAGATGTATCTCCTCCATTGCGTCGTCAATCTGCTGTGGAGCTGGAGATTTGTTTTGCGACTTGCGCAGGTCGATCGCCGCCAGCTGTTGCCGCCAGCGAGGGGTCACTTTGATGTTGTTGAGAGCAGCCTGAGCAAATTCTGCAGTGTATGAGAAGACTTTGAGACTCTCAAAGAGCGACATAATATGCTCAAAGTACTTGTCCATGCCGCCTCCGAGCAGGTTGACCTCGGTAGCATCGAGAAGATGAGCAGAATTGTCGCGAACGCCAAGCAGCAGTCCAGAGCTCATTTCCTTAGCCGCGTCTCGGAAAGATGAAGCCGCTAGATCGTACTCGCCTGTAGCAAGGAGTAAACGACCTTGAAGATATGTAGTCCAAGATCCGCCTTGTGACAAGAATTTGATGAAATCTGCAGCGAGGTCGTTTTGTTCCTCTTTCAGAAGCTTGGACATGATCCAATCAGTGATTTCCTCCCATCTGCTCTTGAGGTCCAGAGCGAAGACCCAGTCGCGGTTCCAGGCGGTCAAGAGCTCGGGCATTTCGGCACTTGGTGCCTCCTTAGCAATGTCATTCCAATCTGGAAGGAATAGATGCTCATAGAGCGTCATTAGAGTATCGTCGTTCTTCCGACCACTTTGATGTGCGACTAGCCACGATCGATACTCAGAGCGTTTCAGCTGCGTTCGCAGGTTGTCGTAAACTTCAAGTGGCCGGAATTCCATCGACAGATCCTCCAAGTCGGCGTACATGAAAATCACAAGTGCCATCAAGTCCAATAATACACGCTGGATTCGCTGTATGGTCTCCTGTGCAATGGCAATAGCGATATCTTTGCCGAAGCGTACAAGAGTGCGCTTGAACTCAGCTCCGTGGACTTCCGAGAAGACAAGTCCTTCAGTGACCGCAAGGAACACGTCGTCTGTCAAGCAGCCCAATCCATTGAACGCGGACGCAGAGTCGTTGAGGGCTTGGAAGTCCTCATCCGTGATGTCATCACTGAATGCACAGTGGTCGCAGAGGTCTTTGAGTTGTGAGTCGTCGATCGTGTCGTTCGGTAATGCAATAAGAGCATCTTGTACTGCAGCAGACCGAAGTCGCTCTTGAGATGTTGGCGACAGATAGTGACGAAATTGCTCTGCAACTGCAAACAAGCCGCTCTTGGTCATGTCTTCTTTGCCGTGTGGCCAGATGCCGTCCATCAAAGCATCGTCGTACTGGCTTTCCTCGTTTAAAACTTGACCGTTTATCACGAGCCCAGAATTATTGCTCAGAAGCTCGATCTCGCTGCTCAAGCGTAATGGAGCCACAAAGTCTGCACAAATGGTCCAAGGCAGACGACCCTCGGGATCAAAAGCAGAGCCTATTACTTCGTGCCTGCGTGTGTGGATGTGAGATAGCAGGGAGAAGAATGTCTGCCATTGAGCCTGAAGATCAAGGTGATATGTGTCGTAGTCAGGCTGATCATTCGACGTTCGTCGTAGTAGGATCTTGGATGTGACGGCAGTGATGAGACGCTGCTCCAAGGGCTCTTCAGTCGCGGCAAAGCTGCGTCCAGTAGATGCTGGAAGGTTGCGGCCTTTGCGGTAGATGTGTAGCGCAGTCTCTAAAGAGGCTTCGGTGAATCGACCAGGATAAAATATGAAGGCCAACCACTTCTCGTTTGGCGCTGCAATAGTCCTGACACTTGGATCGAGCTCGATGTAATCTGGACATTGTTTAATGATTTCGATGCTTGCAGACGAATCCTTGACAATGCTCCATCCTCGTTTCCAAAGATCGGCAAGGGGGATCGCAGCGTTTGTGTCGTCAATCAAATTGAAATTGAGCATGAAAGTCCGACAGACGGCGCCACTCCTGGCTCGGATCCAGATTTGGTTGTTCTGCCATTTTCTGCCGGGCGAGACAGTAAAATCAGCCAAATGCCAGATGTTTGTATCTAGCATCTCTGCGATCGGTGCAATGAGAGGCTCCTGATTGGCTTGCGTATCATGAATCTTGATAGGCTCAATGTCGTCCGACTTGATGGCATAAAACTTGAATTCGTGTTCCTTGGGAGACTGCAGCACGATAAAGTAAAGCACATCGGGGACACCCATAGCGCTTACGATTTGCAATAGTGTGCCTTGCTCAGCACCCATTGCATAATTTGCTTGTTTTCTTTTCTCATCGGCATGCCTCTTCCTGTCGTCGAGCATATCCATTTGCGCAATTATTCCTCCAGTTTCCACACTCCAAGCTTTGAGAGTGTGGTTCAAACCAACAGTCCAGATGTACTTTGCATCAGGGCTCTTGGCAATGGCAGCACAGGCATTAGTATCAAGTGTAAGGTCTCCGAATTTGATGGTTTGCCGAGCCCAGGGCAGCGTGCGCCTGAGCGAGCCGCTCCAACCTCCTTCGCTGAAGAACGTGACGCGCCAGTCGCCCCCATTCTGATTTGGTTCTCGTTCAAGACGCATAAGGCTGCCATCTTGTAGCGACACGAATAGCTCAAGGTTGCTGACCGCTATAATTCGATAAGGTCTTTGTCCGTGAAAGGTCGCGGGGGAAAACTTCTTGAATGCCGTGGTCGAGTCGAAGTCGGTGGGTGCTGTCTCCCTCACAAGAAGATGTTTCGGCAGTGCGATCGTAAAGAGATCGTCTCCGCTCAGAATGAAGATGTCCAGCTCGTCTTTACTCGTCGAATCTGCCAGGACCACACCATTTGGCAGTATCTTGTCCTGGAACGAAATCTTGTATGTGAGCCAACATTCGCTCTTGCTGTGCCTGTCATGCACGATGTCGACACAGCGCAGCTCGAGTAATCGTCGATCGTTCAGGACGCGCCAGACAAAACTGCGCGGACTCCTGCCTTTCGACCTGAAGAAAACCGAGCCTTCCGTGGCAAGGTGTTTGCGCGCAAATGCCTCCTCATCATTGCCGCTGATCTCGTCAAAGCCGCGCTTGCGTCCAGCGCTGAAAGGCACCAGAGCGCTGCTGCTGCTGTTGCCGGCAGTATTTATGTGTAGTGTGGTGTTTGGTGACGCTGGCGCGAAGGAGACGCGTGTCTCTTGATAAAGCGACGGGGGCGGCGCAGAGTCGGCGGCCATGTCGAAGGTAGAGCGCTGGACAATGCCAGGTCGTGGTGATGAAAGCGAGGATTTGATGTTTCGTTTGGAGCTTTCGTTTGTAGACGTGAACCGCGTTGGAAGAGCTCGGATCGTGCCGAAAAGCCAATTGACAGCAGTCAACCAATATTTGACTCGAGGCAAATCATTTGCGAAAGTGCAGGTGCACTGGGCAGTGGCCACCGCAATCATGCCCAGTGTACGAGGCCAGGAGTTACATCAAGTGAGGAGGAGAGACAAGATACACTTTTGCGGATATGGCAGAATGCGTTGAAACGCACTTTGCTCTCGAAATGGATGCTTCGTAAGTGTCATTAGTCATGCACTCGAGCATATCTAACAAGCGACCTCGCTCCTCAGTCGCGACGGGGTATATACATGGAACAGCAAGATCGCTCGAGTCAAACCAGGTGAGCTGACACAATTCTCACTTCTGCCTTCAGTCCTTCTCCAAATCCTTCGGCTGTGGGTCGTTGATGCCCTCTTCAGTGATAGCAAACATGCAATCGCTTTCGGGAAGGCATGGCGAGTCGTAGATCTTGCATATTCTGGTCTCGCCGCGACCTTTCTTCAGCGATAATCGAGTTGTCGATGCGTGTGCAATGATGTTTCCACCTATCGGCTTCTTGGGGTCTGGGTTGAACATTGCCGAAGGACCGCCGTCCACCTGTGCGACTACCTGGTTTGTGATGACCACAGCAATACCGAACTCATCTGCCAGGCGCTGCAGAATACGCATGAACTTTGCCAGATGAGTTTGGCGATTCGAAAGCTCTCCACGTCCCATGAAATCAGTGCGATAGAGAGCTGTGGCGCTGTCAACCACGAGCAGGGAGAATCGTGTTTCTGTCATCATCTGTGCTGCCTGATTGAGTAATTGAAGTTGGTGGTCTGAGTTGTATGCACGAGCGTATGCGACATTGTCCAGCACCTCCTCGCCCGAGAGTCCATATCTGTTAGCGACAGCGAGCAGCCGTACCGGACGAAAGGTGCCCTCTGTGTCGATGTACAGACATTTACCTTCTCCTCCACCCATGTCGAACGGCAATTGGCATGTCACTGCGAGCGTGTGACAGATCTGACTCTTTCCTGTTCTGAACTCTCCGAATAGCTCCGTTATACTGCCTGTTTCTATGCCGCCAGCCAGCAGGGTGTCGAGCTGTTTTGAACCGGTCGTGATGGAGATGAGCTCTGATCGTCGTGCGTGCATTTCGGTGGCTGTTGTGAAGCCCATTGGCACAAGCTTGCTAGCCTCTGTGAGGATCTTCGTGGCCTTCTGCTCCGATACGCCTTTTATGCATTCAAGAATCTTCTTTGGTGTGTATGCAACGCTCTCCACAGTATTGTAGCCTGCCTCTACGAAGAGTTGTATGTCACGCTTTGTGAGCCCGTTGATACCCTGCTGAGGTGTCAATGCTGTCTCAATCGCTGCCATACAATGAGGTTACCTCGAGTCCGGAAAGAGGTGTAGGCGCTCCAGGACCGCCGGCCATGCCATCTTCGTAGCCGGACTGTGTCTCATCGTATTCCTCGGACATCTTGACTCTGCGAAAGCGATTATTCAGTGGGATTGATAGGGACGTGTGGTGTTCTGTACACGTGTGTTGAGTGCTTGTTTGCAGAGGCAAGGTCGAATGTCGAACGTCGAATGTCGAAGTGGCAAGGCAAGCAAAGGTCGACGCGCAACGCGTTTGCGCTAGTCAACCCTTATCACGCGATCATGCGCTTCTGTTGAACCCTAACCCTAACCCTGATTATATCTTCACTTCCGACTCTCCAGATCACCTACTTCCCACGCCATCAACTCTAGCAGCATTTCCTCCACAATTGGCATCGAAAACGAGCTTGCGAGCATGGCAGATGCTCTTCTCCTAGAGTCTTCGGAGCGGCTCGACGACTCTTAAGGAGTAGCTCGATCGACTTTTGATAGACCGCTGGAATCTTGACGCGCTCTCTCTCCCTCGTGTGTTCGGCTGCTGATGCTTTTCCTGCGCCGGCCTGTTTCAATCGCTGCTCTTTTGCATAATGCGTTGTCGAAATACTTGAGAGATCTGGCTCGGAGTCTCCGCGAGAGGTCCTTTATAGTTCCTTTCTTAGCACACAACTCCCATGTATCGTTCTCGGCGTGCGGCATTAGTCGATATCAATTTGGCAGGTCGTCATTGTTTTCCTTAAACTCGTTGTTAGGCCATTCTGGGAAGGATACACTCCACGCAGTACTCCACTTGAGCTGTAGCATCTTTGTTAGGAAGCTGACTTCCGAGTCACCAGGAGCAAGGCATGCTCAGAATATGATAGTCTAGACAAGACCTCTGTCCATAATGCGCCACGCACAGCTCGAGCAGCGAGGAAGAATCAACTTTTGGAGATATACGGCAGGGATCCAGCACTTGGGACGACAATCTCAAGTTCCTGCCATCATTTGAGGTCAGCAACGTAAGGGCTAGTCTGAACACTAGCTGCAATGAACAGTAAAGATAAGCGGGATGTCACGGCACTTGGGTTTACTGAGTTCTGCAGCTTGCCTTCTTCGATAGCAAGCAGTATGGAATGCTAGTCCAGGCAAGATCAAAGCGTGTTATTACGTTTGTACGCTGGATTCACGACTTTTGAGCGCCGTCAATTCTTGAGAGAATATCGCATTATGATACCTCTCGTGCGATTGAGTTAACGATCGGAAGTTGCAACTTACCTAAGAGTCGGAATCGAAGCAATTTATCAGCTTACGTTTAGTCCTGGCCCACTTTCAAGGTTGCCAATGGACCAATGGTCAATTAAACGACTTGCGATTTGTTTGAAGTGCAGGCCTCGACTCGTACAGAAAGAGTCGAATGATCATGGAGAAAGCGCGGGCCAAGGTCGAATGCCGGAGCTACTAGCGAAGCTGTTCCAGGATCATGCAGCTTTGCAGAATGTCACAGATCCACCAGCGCGTGTGCAGGAGACCATGTATGTTTATTAATGGGCCGTGAGCGTATTAGCATTAGCATCTAGGAGGAGTCGCCTTCTTTCCAGGAGTACGGCAACACTAGTCGGGACCTTGATGGTTGGCCAGAAAACATATAGTCAGCCAAGCTAGCAGCTTTCGAAAGCTTCACTCCGTACTGTTCACAGCTGTAGTTCTACAAACAAGGCAATCCTTCTCCGGCCAAGCTCCATTCTCAGATTGCCGGGCTTATTGCGCCTCAATTCTAGATGGAGGCTCCTGCCTTGTGGAAGAGATCTACCCCGCTTGGCCTGCCCCGCGTGGCCATGGATTGCATGAAGAGCTCGGGTCGTGAAAGACCGCGGTGTCAGGAAGCATGATGCCATGATCTTCGGTCAAAAATCTTGCAGCCAAGCTGCGGCTAAGCAAATAGCATCCTGAGAGGAGTCAGTAAGCCTATAAGAGAGCCAGGACCTTCGTCTCAGCTGATTTCTCGTGTCGAGCCTTCTTCTCGCGCAATAACGATACTCCTCAGATTTTCCCAATATGGCAGACATCGAGATTCCAGCAAAGGGTCTTGCAGGCGTAGTTGTGAATGAAGGGCCCGACTTCAGGGTTGAAGTGCAAGAGGTGGACGTGCCCGAGCCAAGTGAGTGGTCAATATTTGGAGCCGACAGCGGAGGCTGATATAAATATGTGGATAGAGGATGGTCAATTGCTGCTTAGACTGAATTGCACTGGACTCTGCATGAGCGATGTCCATTTTATGCTCAATGACTGGGCGGTTCCACCTATGTCTCATTTCGGAACCAAATGTGCTGGCCATGAAGTACGATAGTTTGGATTCTTTGAAGTCACCTCGGCTGACGATTAATAGGGCGCCGGAGTTGTGGTAAAGGTCGGAAACAATGTTGAAGGCTGGAAGGTCGGCGATCGAGCCGGCATCAAGCCAATCTGGGATGTCTGCCACAATTGCGAGCATTGCTGGAATGGTCGCGAGAACTACTGCCAGAAGGGAGTGCACACTGGTCTCCTTGCAGAGGGGACATATCGCCAATACCTTGTCTCGCCCGCGATCTACACGAGTAGAATTCCCGATGGCGTGCCAGACGAGGTTGCAGGTCCTATCATGTGTTCCGCAAGTACCATGCACCGAGCGTTGATCGACTCTGGTCTGAAGCCTGGCAATTGGGTTGTGTTTCCAGGAGGTGGTGGAGGAGTGGGAATCCAGGGAGTGCAGCTGGCGAAGTGAGTACTTGACATCGGCTCGGGACCGGACTTTGGCTGACAGCTTTCCAGGGCCATGGGAATGAGGCCAATCGTAATCGACAGCGGCGACAGCAAGAAAAAGCTCGCATCTGAGATGGGCGCGGAAGAGTTTGTCGACTTCAAGGAGCACTCTGATGTAGCTGCTCGCGTGAAAGAGGTCGCAGATGGAATTGGAGCTCATGGAGTCTTGGTCACAGCGTACCAGGGTAAGCATGCAACGACTTGAGAGGAAATGATTGTCTTGAAAGACGTCTGCTGACTTTCTCGCAGCATACAAGGACAGCTTCTCGTACATTGGAGATCGTGTTGGCGGCAAGATCATGTGCATTGCATTGCCACCTGCTGGCCAGGTGACAATAAGCACCGATCCCAACTTCTTGATCTTCAAGAACACCTCAGTCATCGGCACACTGGTAGGCACAATGCAGGACACTGCCGCGGCTCTCGAATATGCCCGGCGTGGCTTGCTGAAGGGCATTGCAGAGGTGCGAGGCGTCTCCAGATTTAATGAAAGTGTTCAGGCTCTTCGACGGGGAGAGGTTGCAGGCAGAATTGTCATCGACTTCAACAGGGAGTAGCTGACGGGGCGACGGGGCGACGGATGTGATGCGTGTAGAAGCATTTCTGTACAGCGGATATGAGCGCAATTCCAGGAATCATGCCATCGTGCTGTTCCCCACTTTCCATGCTCCAAATCGCGAATGCAGATGAAGTTTGTTAGGCTACATTGTCGTCAATGACGATGTATCGGAGACCTCGCTGTCGCTATCCGAGATGAGTGGGCGGGGGGTGGGGAGCTGTGCTTGGCAGGGCGGCGCCAGTTCCGGCTCTTGCTTCACGCTCGGCCCTTACGTGCAATTGCAATTGCGATCAACACCGCAGTGACCGCACCTCACGCCTGTAACTTAGTTGGAGCTTTGACTGTCGACACCTCCGCCCACGCCCACACCTCCATCGGCCGATGCTGCCGTCACCGCTCTAGTGCCTGTGCCTGCATTCGCGCCAGCCTCGCACCTACCCCTTCCATCGCATTACACCGCTCCGCAAGCACGGTGGCTTCCGACGATAGCGCCTCCATCCACACCACACCCTCGCTTCGCGCATACGCGCAACACAAGACCGACGTCGAACTCTTCTTTAGTCTCAGCACTGCGACTGTGAACACTCCAGAGCGCGCCGACGAGCCCTCATCAGCTTCGGCTGAATCTCCTCCCCCATTTCACTCTCACAACTTCCCGGCGCGCTACTACCCAGAGGCCTCGCAAGATCCATACTGCGCACTCACTACCGCCTGCGCCGATTCCCTCACTGCCACTGCCACTGCGCCAGCCGGTCCAGCACCACCATTCGAAGAGACCGAGGGCTCTGCCGCTGCATCCTCTGTCGTTGCCGAGACCAAGGCTGCGCTTCCGCGAGACACCAAAGACGGGCAGTCAAGCAAGGACCTAGACGACGGAGAGCCACCGCCTCCATACACAGAAGGCTCAAGCCCCCTCGAAGGCTTTACGTACGTCATGGCCGCCGCAGGGAGCATTATCACGCAGGTGCAGCAAGGCGGGCCGGCACCCATAAACACTGCACTTGGAGGTATGTGTAGACATCTCACACGCACACGACTCCGTACTAATATCTGCATAGCTTCAGACGAGAACATCACGCTCGAATTACGGTCGGTTATATCCCCGCAGTCTCAAGCGACAACCCGCTTCTAACATGATCCCAGCGGCACTCGCTTTACACTTTCTCGGGATGAGCTGCTCACATTACCTGAATTCGTCCTGCTGTCGCTGTTCCCCAATGGCCTGCTCCCCGATGCTCATATGAACAGCTACCACGACGGCGACGTATATCCAGTCGACGTAAGCAATCCTCGCCAAAACCGCTTGGTCACCCAGGCGAGACCCCAATCATCTGCCTCAATCAACGACATCCAGAATGTCATATCCAACACTGATGTATATTTATCTGACATTGTGTATTTCTCACAGTACGACCCTGTTTCTCTGCAATACATGTTGGAGTTCTTCCGACATGTCGCGCAAACCATCCCCCAAACATCCGAAGAGCAGTCAAATGCTCAAAATGACCCATTGGCTCCCAACACAATGCCAATCGAGCCCATGTCCGGCAACGCACGCGATATGCTTCAAGACCGCGCCGGTATCATAGTACTGAGGGAAGATCTCGACTTTTATGCCATTCCACCACGGAAAGACATTGGCCATCCCGAGATGCAAGACATCAAGCGAGCCGCAAGTCGAGCACTTCTCAAGCAAGACGGCATTTTTTCGGGTCTCCGAAAAAGCGAAGAACCAGGCACTACAGAGCAACATCTTATCGAAATGCTTACGGCTGGGTAAATGGCAGAATGATAAATGTTGTCTTCCTCCAAAACTGACCTCCTCACAGCGGATTCAATCACGACGACACCTGGGGCCATCGAGCCGCAGAGCCACAGAAAGCCGTCATCTGCTCAATTGCTTTGGCAAGGCTGCGAACAGACATTAAAGGTGACACAGCTGGCGCAGCAAATGCGGTAGGTATGGCGCAAAAGTTGTTACTCTTCTGGAGGAAGCCCGCTAGAAGATGTTGGTGGGAAGGTGTCGAGCTGGAGAATGTTGAGGGAGTGGAAGGAAAGCTGAAGGTCTGGATCAGGCGTGTGTGGACTTTGGAAATGGTATGCATCACCTCACTTCAATGATATCAGATCCCCGCTAACGGTGATCACAGAGCGTAATAGGACTGCGCTGAGGACTGAAAGACATGACCTGCGTGGCGGGCGAAGCCTCGTTCCAGCGCGAACAGCTCGGATTCAGCAAGTTTACATTGTTTGCGAACACGACTTACCAGGAGAACGCCTCTACATATACCCCTATCACCTCCTGTGTCAACAGTCTCGACGGCCTCAAATTTGCTTTTCTTTGGAATAACATGCATGCCAGGCGCTATGGAAAGGAGCATGCGCCAATGTCAAACAGTCTCTAGGCAGGCTCCGATTTCATATTGTAAGAATGCATAGCAAGCCACCAAAAAATGTACAGAAGAATCACTAGTGTAAGAAAGACAGGAAACCCGATTGTGCAGAGTCACTAAATCTTGTATGCAATCGCGGCTCGATCTCTGCTATCGACGCTGAACGCCTCGCTAAATTCCTCGTCATGCCATCGTCAGTCATAATCTAAAGGTCAATCGCTGGCAAAAACAGCATCCCTCGAACTTTCTCAATCACCCCACAAGACTCGACTCGCAGGCGTGATAGCTCCTTCAACTCGCTCATTGCCATCCTCAAGCTGCATCTTCTTCTGCACCAAGCCCCGATTAAAAAAGAAACTGATCACCAAAGCACCCTTCATAGCAGCCACAACCACAATAACCGCACTCGGACTCCTCTTGGCCAAAACCGCAGTGCCAATGAACCCCCCCGCTAACATCGCAGCAAAGAACGCCAACCTCCGATTCCGTTTCGTGTTGTGCACTTTGAAGAAGTCCTTGTCCGTACAAAGCTGTATCAAAGCGCCGGTAATCATCGTAGTGTTGAGTTCCGGCATCGATACATTTAACGCATTCGCAATCTGTCCCGATTCCGCGAACGCGAGACATGCTAATATCGCCATGGCTCCAGGTCCGGTGCTTTGCCTACTAACCCAATACCTGATCGCCGCGGCCGCGAGCATGAGGATTGCTTGGAAAGAATTTGAAATCAGTAACCAGATCCTTCGTCGCTGTCTGGAGACGTGACCTAAATGGCCGAAGAAGGTTGCGCCGAAGACGAAGATTCCCATGCTGATTCCGACGTTTTTTTCAATTCCTGGGTCTAAAGCTGGGAGACGGAAGGCGTAGAGGGCGAGGAAGAGGGTGTTGCCGGTCATTTTTGAGGCGAAGACTCGGTATTGCGTGAAGGTCATTGCGTCTAGGGCGCCTGTGACGATTGTCATAAAGAGGAGTTGGGATTCGAGGTATTTATCTCCTGCTACTTCTTGGAAGAAGTAGGTGCGCCAGGCTGAGGCGGATGGAAGGGGTGGTGGGTAGCGGAAGGTTTTGTAAATCGATTGGGATTGGGACTTTTTTTGCGCTGGTTCCTGGTTCTGGCGTTAGTCATTGCGGCAATGGAGAAAGGTGTGGTTGGGCATACATCGGATTGGACATGTTGATGTGCTCCAAGATCATTCAACTTATCTGTTGACGATGCTCCTGATGGCTTTCGTTCTTGCTCTTCTATGCTTTTCAACCTTGAACGTTGCCATTTCAAATCTGTCGACGATAGTTGTTCTAATGCGAGAGCAAGCTCTGGCGCGGTGACTGCTCGTTGTGGTCTTGGTCGGTCAGGTGAAGGTGGTGCTGTGGTCTCGTCGGTGGTCATGGCGGGCGAGAAGCCTTTTATTTCCGCGTAGTCGTATCGCAGAGGCGGATGTCTAATGCCATGAATGTACTCTCTGGAAATGACTTGAGCAATATCGAGGGAGACTGAGAACGAGTGTGAGATATAGCAGTTTATGAGTTAAGCCGAAGTCTGCATGTGCTCTCGCAGCCTCGGGGTGATACGAAAAGAAACATTGATCAGCCAAAACGTTCTCTAGCCAAGACTAAGTAGTTCGGGCGAATTGACTCTTATCAGTGAGGTACTAGTAGTGCCAGTGTGGCAAGGAGAAGGTTTGCCAAACGCTGTGTGTTTCTGCATAGTGCTCGCGTGAACAAAGCGCGATTGACGTTAGCATCAAACCATGCCAGAGAAGGGATCCTTGTGGCGACATATTCATATGCTCGATCGTTATAGAGGCTGTGATAGCGCATCACTTTTGTGTACGTGTATGGCACGTCAGTGTGTCCGGAGCGGTGGTCGCGCCAAGGACAGCAGCAGAAGACTGATAGTGCGATTGACGTATCTGTGCGAAAGGAGGCGGTTTGGACAAGAGAGCTATTTTCCCTGCCAAGCCCACGGCGGGAGAGGCTTCGACTGTCTCATTTGCCTTGCGTCAAGCTGCCTTAACCTTGAGTCTGGACTTGATCTCATCAGATGGCGTAGTTCTTGGCATCTTCGTTCGGTGGGAGCTACTGTGAACTATGCTTCCCACCTCGACTGTGGCAAGAGCTAGGAGATTGTGAGGTGAGTGCAAGCCAATGTCACTATGTCACTTGGACAATGAGTCGGGACAAGAGATCCACTGGATCAACATCACGATATGCATCAACTCCATGAAAGATACGAGGCTGTCTGCGACAGTTTCTGGAGAGATTGATGCGTGCCGGACCTTTTAGTTGTCAACTCTAGTGAGCCTTCCACTAGGCAAGGTTAGTATCCCAGGACATTGGGCGTGCTGATCTACTAGGCCGTGAGACTGCCGGTGGTGACATACAGATAGCTTCTCAACAGCATACTCTGATATCCAGCCCACTGCACGGCGAAGAGGGCCCGGTATGCAGCATATGCAGGCACCATAAAGCTGTATGGACATCGACCAGGTGTTCCGATGGAGAGCAGCTCCATTTCTGATCCTGAGTTCGTCCAAATTGAATGTGGTGTATGTATTCAGCTAGACTGCTCGTGGAGCACCGCCGCGATATGCCTCCACTACGTTCTATATATGCTCAAGGCCTAGCGTCAACATGCCCACTCCTGAGCATTTGTCAGCTCATTCGTATACCGATACTGCAGGTTAAAGTGCAGAGGATCCATCAAGGCATGAAAGATGCAGACAGCACAGGACTTCGTCCCTTCAACTGACAAAGTATGCCTTCTTGGGTGAGTATAGAAGGAGTCTGGGTTCGAAGTCGTCTATTCTTATGACTGCAGGCTGTTAGATTAATGCTAAGAACTCTTCAGAAGATACCTTCGACCAGGGCTCCTGCTGAGAACAATCTTGGTACAAGAAGCCAAGTAACTGCCCTCATGCGCTCGCCATGAGACTCATCGCTTCTTTGATACCTATCTATAGGCTCAAGATGGCTGTTGGAGGCTCGAAGCTTCGTTGCAGCTCATGCTCCCGGCTTCCTGCAGCTTCAACGGCTTTCTGCTTCACCTGGAAGTTGGCCAGCGCTCACCGCTAGACGGAAGCCGGTATCCAGCGCGCTTGTGAACCCTTAATAGAACAGCAATTCCAGGCTGGTGTCAATACAAGTGCTCCGGTCCCGTAGTTCAATTGGTAGAATGTTGGAGTCCGGATCCAGAGGTTGTCAGTTCGAGTCTGGCTGGGATCGTTTTCTTTTGTTTTGCTGCGAAGTCCAGTGCCTGCAGTGATGCAGAGACGTTTCCTTAATCAAAATTGAGTACCGGTTTCAGCCTTCATCACCTCGCTCGTCCACTTCCAAAGGTGCAGCTAGAGCTGGCCGAGCTGCTCTCCACCCGCTTCTTCCCCTCACTGAGATGGAGTAAGAGTTTGGATGGCCAGACGCCAGCATTCTGTCCTGCCGTGCATCGAATGCTAGCATCCGCAGGTTTGATGAGCTTTCGTCTGTGCCATCGTAGCTATCGTCCAACCGGTGCTCTGCGCCAAGTACGTTCTGTAGTGCTTGTGTAAAAGCCTCGCGATCTACATCCTCGGCGGTGATCTTTCCAATGCGGAAGTTCAAGTCCGGCTTTTGTCTGCCCAGCTTCTTCAAGGGCTCTACGATTTTCGCCTTCTCATGCCAGTTGCCAGTATTGGTGCTATCACACCAGCTGACCACGACGGTTCTCAGTTTCGGCGCCTGGCATAGCACATCGCAAGCTCTGGATGCTCGTCGCTTTATTTCCGCACAGAATGCTTCCAGTCCAAAACTCGGATAGTTCTGCAGCAGGAGAAGATCACAGAAGAATACGACTTCCACCTTCCGAATCTGGTTCAGAGAAGGCGAGGACTCCAGACGGCGAAGATCAGGATCGACTCGGAAGAAGTTGAATGCATGAGAAAACACCAGCTTCCAGGTTGAGATGGTATAGAAGTAGTCTAAGATCTCATCTGTGAGTTGAGCATGGATGTTGAGCAGGAACGATGAGGGTGGCCGGTGCGAGACTGATGTTATGCCTACGGACGGCAGAGGGTGTGAGACGTTCTCCGGCGGGAGGAGGTGGGCGTAGATTTGCTGGCGAAGCTCGAGAGGGAGACGTAGGATGGGAGATGGAGACGAAGACGATGGTGGTGTCATTTCGAGACAGCTCTGAGAGGGTGGCGTGGGAAGTGAAGAAGGAAGACCTACAAGTCAGTAAAGAAAAGATGCTCGTTGAAAATTACTGGGAAGCTACGACTGCTGGATCTGTATGTACGGTAGCCATTGCCATCTACGCGTGATCGATTGCAGGTGGTGGTGGTGGTGGCAGCAGGAGGAGTTCGCGTCGGCCGAGGTCTGGATGTCAGCGCCAAGTTCATGCACCCAAGTCGCTTCCAGGCTGCTGCCCAGATGGCACCGCAATAACAACTAAATCTGCCTTTCTACTCTTCTACTCGTTCGTTGCAAGGCCATCCGGAGCTCACACTGCCACGGAGATCTCCCAGCGAGATGGCTATCGGTGCTAGCTGTGACATGATGAGCATCCAGTCACCAAGGAAGGGTCACGGCAGCAGAGTGCTGATTATTACAATGAGAAAGGCGAAGAGTGGCATGCAATCTTCTAGCGCTGGGCGTCAAAACGACCATTCGCGGTTCGAGGAGCCTCGTCTCTACATCTGTCATCTCGGAAGCATGGAGACTCGGTATTGTAGGAAGCTAGAACGTATTCATCCCGCTGCAGCCCAGCGCAGATCAGCGACCAAACGTATCTCCTGCTTTCCTGCTGGCTAACTAAAGACTCTGGTGAGAACGCGAACGCTGCAAGCCACGCCCTGCTGCACAACAGCCATCTCCGAGGCCGTACAACCCTACTATGATGCATTCTGAGTCTTCGGCTTGGTATCAGCTTAGAGGCCACATTGCCAGGCTCTCTTGTAGCAAGCACATCCGACATTCTCGGGCGTGGTTTGGGATTTTGGAGTGAAGACCATGGACGAAGAACGAAAAACCGAGTTCAAGACCGGTGCAGCTACCTCTACGACCGGTGAGGGCAACCTGCCAGACAATCTCGTGTATGATCTCGACGATGAGGAGCCCCAACTGAATGCGACGACATACATTGCAATAGCATCTCTATTCTTGCTAGAGTGGGTTCAGATCATGGCGCTGCAAGGCCCATCCAGCGCTGTATGTCCATGTCAAGATCTGCAAAACCCAGCTAATCAAGCCTGACACACAGCTTTCATTCATCGCGGCCGACCTCGATGCATCAGAGACTGCTCAATGGATACCAAATGCTCTTTCCTTGGTTCAAGCCGTTATAGGTCCCCTCGTTGCTTCAGCTTCGGACACATTTCAAGCTCGTAAAACGATTCTCGTGCTCTGTTGCACCCTTGCATTCATCGGAGCGGCAATCGCACCTGGCTCTCAAGATATTGGACGCCTCCTTGCCGCTACTGTCCTCATAGGATTTGGATTTGCCACTGTTCCATTAACATACTGCATTCCCAGCGAAATCGTGCCAAGAAAATGGTATCCTGCGGTGCAGGGCTCTCTGAATACCTTTGCTTCTATGTCCACAATTACGTCAATCCTCAGCGTCGGTGCACTCACAAGAGATGATGCACATCAAGGCTGGAGACATTATTACTGGATCATGTTCGCTGTGCGGGGAGTAACAATTCTTGGACTGCTCTTTGGATATAGGCCGCCGAAGAGACACGCGCGTTGTGAAACTCTGAGGATTTGGGACAAGATACGACAATTGGACCTTGTCGGCTTCTTTTTGCTCACCACAGGACTGTCGCTATTCCTTGTTGGCATGGGTCTTGGTGGAGTTCTATACGCTTGGGATGACGCGCCAGTGCTTGGGACCTTAGTCACTGGAATCGTGACTCTGCTCGCTTTCGCCCTGCACGAGTGGAAGGGAACAACACACGGGATCCTGCATCACGATCTATTCCGAGGGCCGCCAGAGTATGTTCGGACCTATGTTGGATGTATACTGCTTATCTTTATCGAAGGAATTATGCTGTTTGCATTTGTGATATTCTATCCGCAGTTGCAAGTTTACTTCCTACCTTTCTGCGACACACGCAGCGACTGATGCATCTTCTAGGACGGGCGACCTGTTTGAGACTGACCCTTTCCTAATCAGTGCTCGCACTATGCCATGGTGGGTAGGCGCTACCCTTACCACCTTCGCCTATGGTTACATCAGTACGAAATCCAGAAGCATTCGACTACCGCTCTTGCTCGGCTTTCTGTTATGGACTGGTGGTATGATTGGTCTGGCCACCGTCCAGCCAGGACAGTCTATTGATGCTTTGGTATTCTGCGGTCTTGCAGGCATTGGATTTGCCGGACCTTTGACCCTCATTGTAGCCGGCGTGCAACTGGCCACTCCGCACCATCTAATCAGTACTGCGACGGCTGTAATCACAAGCACGCGCGCTGTGGCAGCAACCGTATTCACTGCAATATACACTAGTGTGGTCACGGCTAGAGCGAAGAACTATACTCGACGATATGTCGGGACCGCGGTGGAGGAGGCAGGGCTCCCAAGATCAGGCGTCGGACCATTCATTGCAGCATTAACGAGCCGAAATAGCACTGCGCTAGCGAATGTCTCTGGAGCGAACGAGAATGTGATTCGGGCGGGAGAAGCAGCTTTGCAACATGCTCAGGCGGATTCAATGCGTGCTGTATGGATTATCGCTGCAGCATTTGGAGGGTTGGCTTGTGTTGTGTGTTGGTTCATGGGAGATATCAAGAAGACCATGACATATCGTGTCGACGCGCCTGTAGAGGAACTGCATGCTAAGGGTCGATGTCGAGCAGAATGAAGCGCTGTTGACTCGGGCGGGGAGGAAGAAGGCTGGAGTCGAGCAACGCACATAAATTTAGCCTAGCAGATTAATGAAAGTGAATGAAATGTAGACCGGCCCAAAGTCTTGGCATCGGTCATTGATCATCGATCTCCCGTCAGACGCGAAGCGAACCGCTCGCTTGCTTCAACGCGTCTCTCTCTTTGTGCTGCGCTGCGCTGCTCTCTCCTCGACTGCTTCCCACGTTATGACTTATGGAAACGCGGCATTGATACGGCCGCATATTCAGTATTTGGTTATGGAACATGTCAATTCATACAGAAACATGCATATCACGCGATACGATCCAAGACCAAGCGCACAGCAACGATGAAGCTACGCGCAAGAGAAAGCGAGACGACAGCAATGAAGCGCCGATTGCCATTGATACACGATCATTCAGTATACGAGTATGTGGACTAGTAGTGAAGCGTTTCGAGTCCTACTAATTGCTCTCAGACCGATTCTTCAAATCCATTTGCGAAGCCACTAATGTTCAAGCCGCAATGTCTGTTACGCCGATCCCAACTGCCACTAGCATATCTGGACTCGACACATGATGGAAGCCGACTTTTCGCGGCACATGTATCAGTTCTGGAAGCTTGTCATGAGCACCGGCACGATCTCAATGTATTGATTGTAGAAGAGGAGGAAGAGCGACGATTGTACGCAGTGGAGCGAGTGCACAAGCGCCAGTACGCATTATGTCGGCTCCGAAGCAATGTTCGAAAAGATGACATGATCGCACGATCGAAGCTGCATGTACAACCTCGCGAATACCAGCAAAAGCGGCAGGCTCTGCAATCCGTTGATGCTGGAAAGGCATGGTGGATGTCTGCATCTGTGGATATGAGCACGAGCATCGATACACGCACCGGCTCCAGACACAAGCTGAAGCTCTCGCTGCAAGCAGCTTCAGGAGGAAGACCCGTGTCAGCCGGTGTGGTGCAGGTGGGCGAGAAGGACTTAGACACAACTTCCTCAGCGATCGAAGACGCGCAGCCAGAAGACGTCACAGCTCCGAAACATACCTCGCCAGAAGATGCCCTGGAAGAGCTCGCCAAACACTACCTGGACACACTATACCTGTCGAGAACACCATTGGCGTACTTTGTCAAAGGCCCGCTTGCTCGTGCTCGAGCTGTCTTCTCTGCCCGACCTGCGGAGCTGATCACCTTCCTCCGCGGTGCCATTCTGTCGGCTTCTGTGGCGGACAAGAAGTACCGCGAGAATGTCTCGGAGCTTGTGAGGGACATGTCGCTGCTTGAAACGCCGGAGAGCAAGCCTAAGACACGGCGCAAGCGCAAGTGGAAACCCAAGCGTGACAAGCATGGTTTCTTCATAGACGAGAAGGACTACGTGGAGCAATGGTGGCGAAAGGACGATGAAAGTGCAAATCCTCCCAGCTCAGTGGAATCACTGGAATCGCACTTGCAACGGCGATCACGGAAGCTGCGAAATCGAGAGACTTTTCTGCAGGTCATTCTAATTCTGGAAACTATGGCTCTCGAAGCATCAGCGCCGCCAGCGTCTGTACTACCACCGAATTTGGAATCGCAGAACGTCGAATCGCAAGCAGAGGATACTCAAGCTGTAACCAGTGAGAAGAAGCCTCGGAAGAAGAAAGAGCTTGATCTCGCGAGCGTAATGCAGACTATGATTGATCGTTTGAGCATTTGGTACTCGCTAGACACGAGCTCTCCGTTGAAGACGAAGAACGAGAACGGCACGGCTGCGCAGGACGAAGCCAAGGATGATCTGAAGGACTTTGCTACGGAAGTTGTGATTCCATTCTGGAGCTCTCGAATCTTTGATCAAGCAAATGCCACGAGCAAGAAGCTTGGTGGTCCGGCTGCGCCGAACCCACTGAACAGAAAGTCCGGTTTAGCATCGAGGAAGCCTGGCGAGCCTGCAATGCGCCCGGCCCCGGAGAAGAAGCCGAGAAAGCCACTCGAGCGTGCCGCCACAGACACAGTCAACCGCAGAAGAGCACCTCCATTGCATCGCTCTGCCACCGACCAAGATGCCTTGGCACCGCTTATCAAGCGGGAGCAAAGTGAGCAACCATCGCTCAAGAGTATACCTCAGGCCAAAGCGAATTCGCAATCGAGAAAGCACGTCAGCCTACTTGACCAGGCAATGGGAAACAGACGGCAGGTGGATTTCTCGGCGATGTCGCAGGCCAGCGAGGCCAAGCTGCGCGAGAAGGCCAAGCGTGAGCAGCTCGTCCGTGAGGCTGTCTCCGGGATCAGGAAGCCTAACAGGAGCCTGGCTACCGAAGAGACCGCGAAGAAAGCAGACGAGAGCTTTGCGAGGGAGCTGGTCAAGAAAAAGTCCAGCAAGTCGCAAGGTCAGCGTAGCACAATAGCCGCGCCCATCACTGCCACGCCGAGACATATCAAAGCCACCCCGGCTCCCCGACGGCGGACGCAGGCAGGCTCCAACGAGCGGTCTGGCGCGACTTCAATCGTGCCTTCGTCTTCCACAAAACTGTTCGCGCAGCATGGTGGTGTGGTAGGCAGCACGCCTGCCGTTCCACAAACTGGCCATCGATCGAAGCACACCTCAGGCATTGAAGACACGCCATCTCGCGGCTTCGCTAAGTATATGCCTGCAGGATTAGGGCGCGAGCCTGGGACATTGCTTGAGTCGCCTTCGGCCACTCGCATAGCGAATATCGAAGCTACGCCTTTGAAGCCAATGCCATCAATGTCAGCCAAATCTCGACTGCAGGCTATTGTTGAAGTTTCGCCGGATAAGAACGATGATTCGGGAATTGGTCTTGATTACACCACAGACCGAACCTCGATTTACAAGAGTCTGGGTTGGGATGATGACGACGATTACGAACCACTACAATAGCATTTTCATAGCGTAGCATAACGATTACACGTTGCTCTTTTTGATCCTTCGGTCGCCTTTCCTGGCGTGGCCTTCTGTACTGTTCTGCCAAAAGTCAAAAGATGACATACATCTAATGGATCTTCTTGCTTATGGTGTTTCACAAGAACCTGCGTGACTTTAGCCCGACAATCTCTAAACACGACGAGTTCTCCAGTCCTGGTCACAAATCCAACATTTGGTCAGAGTGTCAAAGGGCAGATCAACACCAAACCAAAACCACCACATTCGCGCTGAACATTCACTTCTCTTCCCATCCGCTCGACAAGGCTGTAACAGTTCCAGCCAAGCCACTTATGCATACGCTTTCCAATCGCATGAAGCATGACTGGGTCGAGCTCGGGATCTGGATGCGGCTTGTGGAAGATGATCGATCCAGCTGACCCAGATGTCGTTACTGGAGAGAAGGCGACGGCAGCGCCTCCATAGTGCTTGCGTAGCTGAGAAACCTGCGTCTGCCATGGCTGAGACGAATTGCTGTCACTTGATCGACTTGAGTTTGATGGAAGCATTTTGGAAAGGGTGAGCAGCGACTCGCGGCGAAGTGGGATCCGTGGCGATATCACTGGTTCTGGCTGCGCCACTGAAGAAATGGTAGCGCCGTCTCCACGGAGTTCCTCGTCACTCATATCACCAGGGCGAGTCTTGGACTTGATCCGCTCGACTGCTCACACAGGCTTGTCATTGGCAGGGACAGCCCACTGAGATTGCACTTCCGTCAAGGAAGTTGGTATGCTGGCTTATCCCATACCGCTTGGCGTCTAGAAGCTACTTCAGCTCAGTGCCCAGGTGTACTTGCAGCGCTCAAGAGATGCATCTCCTCCTCGATGTCTTGCGGATAGAGGTTGGCATCCTTGAGCACGTCGCGGACAGTATTCCACACCTCAGCCTGACGGCCCCGAAGCATCTACATACTTTCAAGCCAGCGCTCATCCCGCTTGCGCTTTGGAGGAGACATGTCGAGGAAAGCATTCCATGCGGCGGCAAGCCTCTGTCTGTTCTTGTGGCGTGGCTGTGGACCAGCACTCAAGTTGTCCAGATGGGATGCCTTGAGTCCAGCTTGGCCTTCGTGACTCGTCGGTGCATTGCTCGAAGCAATAATGAAATCGGCCGCACGACGAATAACTCTGTAAATGGAGAATGGGAAGGAAAGGACAGTCAATGCCAATGGAAAGCCAACGTTACGCTCACCCAGCCGTGGCACTCTGCTCTTGTCCATGGCACAAGATCTCCGTAGTTTTGATCATTCATGGCAACGCAGTCATCATGGAAGGCTGACGGAAGCATCGAAGGCCACCCAATCCTCAGGGTTCGTTGTGGTGCGGTGATGAAGATGGCCCAGTAGCCGGCCGCATGGGATCATCTCTCAGCGTCTCGACATTCCAGTACGGGACCATGATGGATGCAGGGCCTTGCGATCCTTGAGTGCTTCACCATATTTCCAACCCGATCTTTTGCTTCCTCTGGTTTGCCGTCCAATCCGCTGTGCTGCAAGTCTTGGGACGCGGACTTTCTCAGGCTCTTCGCGCTTCGACGTCAGTTTGTCTGGCACAAATTGGGGCAAGCATATCGCGGAGTCTTGGTTGCAATTCTATCCCCATTTGCCTTGGATCTCGTGCCTGCCTCCTGGCTTCCAAGACGCCGGCATTGGAAGTTTAACGGACGCCAAACCTTGTCGTACTTTTGACGTTATTGTCTTGCAGAAGGAAATGCGACTTGTTTACTCCCCAGTTGATGTCGCACATCGCACAGGATCTCTTCCGCACAGGCCTACTCGCTGCAAGAAAAGTGAATCTGAAGCTGAGAGATTTGGGCAACTGCCTACGCACTCTCTATCACCCAGAAGCCTTGAGAATCTCAAGTTCCTCTACTTCCAAGACGAGTGCTTCAAGTAGCAGCGGGAAACACGAGAGGATAGAATCAACCACCTCGTCCACCTCACCTCTTGTCAGCCACATGCAAGAATCTGACCAACAAAAATAATCACCACGTGTGCCCCCTCACGAGCCACACCGATTGAGATCCTTCCCGACCTGGCATCATCATCATACAGTACAGGCGCCGTGTCCGTACACCACACCACTGACTCAGCAGAGTTTCGGTGTACCAGACAAATGCTTCAAATACAGTGGGGTGTCAAGCTTCAGCAGGAGCGCCCTATGCGGTATGCAGCTTACTCGGCCGCGTACTGGCGCGCAGGAACGGACCTGATGATGGACATGACCATCAACTCTTAGGCTTCTGGAGCTGTTCGAGAGTTGAATGGAAACCTGTTTGGTGGTCATCAGCGGGGTTTCAAACGGGTCAAAGCCACGAATGGTCGCTCTCGAAGCGTGCAAAAGGTTGCCGAGACATCTTCGAAAGGGTCCAGAGGGATCAGCCCTGTGCTTGAAAATGGCTCCTAGGGCCCGTTCTCTCGTCCGTTTATCGTACCTTGTTTTTCCAGTGGTATACGATAAAGGCGACTGTTCAGTATATATCGTTTATCGTGTTGTTTATCGTGTCCATTTTTCTAAGACAGGTAGATACTCGCTTAGCATACCGTATTTAGCATAAACTACGAAAAATCGTCGTCTTTATACCTTTAATCGTGTATCTACTCTTGTTATTAAAAAACGCCGCTATTTCTATTAGATTGCGCTATACTATAGAACGAAGAGGCTCGAGCGAGGAAAGAAGGGTTCTAGAAGGCGCGGCGGCGGTAGATCTTCGAAGAAGGCGTATTAAATTAGCGCAGCGTAATATATTAGTCGTACTCGTTATGCTAGCTACTATACTATAGGAATATAGTATACGGATGCTAGGCAGCATACGGACGATATATATAGATAGCGAGCGAGATAAGCGGCTACTATACGACTTGCTAGACTCGAGCGAGGTACGGATATATCGATATTGTCGCTTTACGCCGGTTTAGTTTATTAAGCTATATAAGATAGCGGCCGGCGACCTAAAGGATAGCACTCTTATTAGTAGATAGCAGAAGTTGTTATTATTCCTTAACGCTATAACGAAGGCGCGTCTATACCGCGATTTAGCAGAAGACTTTTACTATAGTCTAAGCTAGATATCGTCTATCTTCTATAAGGTGTTAATAGCCTTAATACCGTTATATAGACAGCTCGTAACGCCTACGAAGGCAACCGACTCGCTAGCGCTAAGAAGTCGTAGTCCGAAGTACTAGCCTTATTTTAAGGACTATATAGGCGCACTAGATAGCTCGCATCTGCCGGCTTATATACCTATACTAGAATAATACCGCTATTATAAACGAGACGGCGAGGTAACGTAGAATATATTAGCGGTCGTCGATTAGCACCGCCGCTTTACCTTTGTATTACCTAGATAGAAAGGATTAGCGTACGATAGCCGTATAATAGAAGATGCTATCGAGAACTATAGGTTTAATACACCTAGAGGCAAATATTATCTCACTAACGCCGGTTATAGGTCGAGCGATATAATAATAGTGCTATTTCGAGGCGTGCGCTATTACCTACGTAAGCAATTCGAGGCCGCTATAAGGCCTTAGAATAAGGATGAATTATTTAACCTCTAGTACTCGTCGCTACGTAATATCGTCGAGCGGACCTTTAGCATCTTTAAGCGGCGGTTTAAGATATAGAAGACTGCGCCGGAGTTTAATATACGTACGTAGGTAAGGCTAGTTTATATAACAATAGCGCTCTATAACTTCCTTACTAACCGTAGCTCTTTATATATAAAGAAGCTTCTAATTGTCTGTAATAAAACTAACTACTTCGAAGGCCGTAGCGTTAGTATAGACGTATTAGATATCGAGCGCGAGGCGACGTAGATAGAGGCGTTTAGAGACGAAATAGCAATAGCAATATAGTTAGCGTACGAGGCATATTGTCGTATCTATAGCGAAGAGGAGATAGAGAGTAAGTAGTTAGTAGAAATTCGAGGCGAGGAGGTAATAGGAACTAGCGGTATTCCGGTATATATTTAGATTATAATTAGAGCAGATTTGTTAGCAGATTGCGTAGCTCCTAGCTCTTGCCTACATTTTAGAACACCTTACTGCCCCGTCGTCGTCTCTATAGAATTTAAAGTGCGTAGAAATATTATAGTCTTAGTAGTTATCGAAGGAGGAGACGGTAAGGTTAAACGAGGTCGACGATAGCAATAGTAGAGATACGGAATCGAGCTAGTATTGCAATACTAACAAATCTCTATAGTATACGATAAATTATATATAGAAAGCAGACTAATCGTCTCCGCTAGTACTATTAGTCGCTCTACTACCTACTACCCCTTCCTCTATACTGTTTTCTCCGCTAAATATATCTTCTATAATCTCTCTAATCTACTTAATCTTCTTATTATCGTTGCTTCTAAGGAATAGACTAACTTCGTTGCGTCTTATTAACTTCCTTATTACAGTACGACGTTGTCTAGATAGCTAGTAAGTATATAGCTCCGTAGAAAGCAGTCGACTAAGCCTCTTATAGGTATTAGGAGGTTACTAACTAAGTAGTATGTTTATTTGTACGAGGACGTCTATTATACCGTCGATAGTGCTAACTATCTTCTTACTAGTCCCTTTGCGCTTCTTGTTTCTATTCTCGAGAGCTAGGTTATATACGGCGCGCTTCTTTAAGGCGATTAAGTTAGCATCTTTACTAGCTAGAAGGCTATTAATGTCACTACTATTAGTAGCTTTAGTAGCTTTAGCGGCGGCGAGTCTACCTCTTGCGTTCTCGCTAGTAGCGGAAGTCTCTAACTATATCTTATATAATATCTTCTTATCCTTTAAACCCTCGTATCTAAACTTGTCGTAAGTCTTCGCAAACTTCTTAAAGAAGGCGTCTATTGCGGCTAACTGCGCGACAGGCAATTTAGTAACTAGATCTTCCTTCTAACCCGATATTATTATTATAGCCTAATAGCGCTTCGTATTAGTACGCCGAGCGTTGCCTTTGCGGTAGACAGTATCTAGGTTTACCTTATCTAGTCGATCTTCCGGTGTATACGCCTTTACCTGTTCTATAGCGCGTTTCTAAGCGACTAGTTTAAATCTACCGTTTCCGTCTCTTTAACTATTACTATAACTCTATAATAGCGAGTTGTCTAGAGCTACTACTATCTCTCGAGTCTAGTTAAGCTGCTTTCTACCTGCCTCTAGCGACGCCGAGCCGGCTGTTCTACTACTTTGACGACCTATACGATTAATAGCGACCTCCGGCGTACCTTTAGGCTCCTACGACGACGTATTATACGGACCTAGCGTTTACGAGCCTAGCGTAACGACGTCGCTATAAGGAGTTCTATACGGACTATTATAGCGAGAAAGAGGCGAGAATATAGAGGGATCTAGTAACGAGGATAATATCGCTGTCGGCGCTAGGTGCTACTACTACTGCTACTAAGGCGCTAGAGTCTTACTCTATAGAATAGGTTATAGGCGTATTATTGTCGTCTAAGCTATCTACGAAGGCGGCAAATTACTGTTGCTATTGCGCGTTGTTTAATAACTCGCTGCCGCTTAGAATACTAGATATATCTATAGTCTTTACTATCCTAGTATAGGACGCGTTAAATACGCGAAGTCTACAGCCCTGCGAAGGCAAATCTAGCCTAACTAATCTACTAAGTCTACGATAATTAGGGGCACTAAACAGAGGCTATTTATCGTATAATATATAGCCTTATAAGCGACGATAAATAGTAGAGACAATCAGTCGATTAGCTAGAAGGAGATTGCTATATTAACTACGATAAATACTATAATAAACGGACGAGAGAACAGGCCCCTATATTGCTTAGAGTGCGTCTACTTCGAGGTCGGTAGGTCGGTAGATAAGTCGTACTAAATAATCGGCTACCGATGCAGCTTTTTCGTATTAACCTGTTTTTAAGGTAGACAAATCGGTAGTTTTCGAAGACCGTGCACTACTAGTCGCTAAGGCGGTAATTTAATAGCGTCTACGTCGCGTACTCCTATATATATCTTCCTATTAGCATAGTATTACTAAACTATAGCTCTAAAGAAGGCTATAATAACGACAACGACGCCTGCAAAGCGCAAGACTACCGCTTAGAAGATACTAGCTAAGAAGAGGTCTAAAGTAGCCGCTAATAAGCCTATTAGTGCCGACTTTCTAGAGGTTATAAGATAGGAGCTAGAGTATAAGGAATACTTCTTAAAGGAGGTAAAGAAGCTAAAGGACAAAGGCTTAATAAACTATAGTAATAGCTTCTATATTAAATACTATCGTCGGATCGCTACGTAGATAAGTATAAAGTTTAAGCTATTCTTTAAGGAAGAAGGCAGCAAGGCTCGCTAGCGGACCTTTAAGACGAAGTATTATCTATATGCCGCTTATTTAAAGTATATAAGCGGCTAGAATAGACACTCTACGAGGCCTAGTAATAAGGAGGTCGCTAACAAGTACTTTCGAAAGCATCCGGAGTATAGTTAATAGCGTAACAAGTGTCCGGAGTTTGCAATATAGCTCTTTAAGATTATCGAGTTAAATATAGCGAGCGGCTTCGAGGTAGGCGTAGGCAATAATCTAGCGTAAGATAGTAACGCGGCGATTGCAGATAGTAGATTAGATAAGGACGACGAAGGCAGCGGCAGCGGCGGCGGCGATAGTAATAAGAAGGAAATCGACGAGGTACCCTTCTAGAAGGAATAACTATAGAAGAACGAGATATACTACTAGCGGCTAATACTAATAGTAAATTGGACCTATTACTATTATTAGAGTTAGAAATATAGGTGCTAGTTGCTACGCGTTACGCGAAGGCCTATATCGCGTAGCGTAATACTATTAAGAAACAGGCTAAATTAGATACTAAGAATAAGGGTAAGAAGGATAATAATGCTATCCTTAGCCTTATAAAGAAGAGCTAGATTCTACTATAACAGACCTTATCGGCTTTCCTTAAAGCTATAAGGGATAACGCTTAGTAGGCGCGCGAGGATGCTATTGCTAAGCGTAAGAGGGTACGCAATAAGGAAGCTAAAGCCCTAAAGAAGCGCGTAGAATATAGTATAGATATCGATACTAGGGATGTCGCCGATCGTCTAATAGATAATAATATTCTAGATAGTATTAGTATAGCCGATTGTGCCCTTCTTGCCTTAGAAGTAGGCAAGCCTAACAAAGGGCATATCGCTATCGTACGGAAGTAGGTACGAGATAAGAATAAGAGGTCTTATTTAGATTAGTATTTCCGCTAGGTGTTATAGGATATTAAACCTAGACTACAACTAATGCCTAGCCTTAATAACTATATATATCCTAAGTATCCGCATGTTTAGGATAGCTATCTGCCGCATAGTTATAGTCGTTATTAATAGTAGTAGTGTTATAGTAGATAGAGATTGTAATCGCTTAAGAAGTATACTTTGTATTTGCAGTTTTAGGGCAGAGTTCGGATAATTATATCACTTTTTTATTAGAAATGTAGCTTAGTGCCTATACTATTGATTTATATAAAGGTATTATTAATTTTTACTAGCAAAATGGCGGTTACGTGCGGGGTCTGCATATGCTATAAAAGGATATATTACCGTATCGAATCTTAATCTATACCTTCTAGCGCTAAGAAGTCGATATTTAGCTATATACTAAATATTAAAGGAGGACTAGCGATATATATATAATATTAGAATATAACGATCTAAGCCGTTTCTTACTAAATTCCTTATACAATCTGCACTATAGAACATTTAATTAATATCGCTAATTCTCTAGGCCTAAAACTCCGGATCTTAGACCTCTCGCTCGTCTATACTATTATCTTCTAAGTATTGCTTATAATTATTAAACATCTCCTACGTAAACACCTTACGAAACTGCTAATACGGGTCCTTATTATCCGCCGCGAAATCTATATTAGCCTCGTCGATTTCCTCGTCTTCCGCTAGCGGTTCTACTACTTCCTTCGGCTCTATTCGAAGAGGCTGTTTTCTGTAATTAATAATAAAGTTATAGACAACAAAGCAGGACATAATAAACCTAGACTGCGAGCGGATAGAATAGTGCTCGTAAGCGCTAATACGGACGATTTCGAAGCGCTTCTGTATTACTCCGAATAGCCGCTCTATAACGTTGCGAAGCTAAGTATACCGGAGGTTATATAACTCTTCCTTATTATTAGGCCTTCGTCCGGCGGCCGCCTATTTACGAAGGTAATATCTTGTCCGTTTATACGGTACGAGAAGTCGCTTATCCTTAAAGGAATATCTACTATCTACGAGGTAGAATTTACTAGGAGGTATATTAAATCCCTTCTAATATGCCTTCTATAGTACCTAACCGTCGTTTCCGGCTCCTTCGTAGCCGACAAGTACGTAATAGACCTTTATATTAAAGCTATAGGCGGCTATTATATTCTGCGCAATATAGTTCTTTTTATAACGATATAGACCTTAAACTAACTACGGTAAACTAATAGGTACGAGGCTTCCGTCTATAGCCCTAATAGCGTTCTCGAAGTACTTAAATTTACTAGTATCTCGTCTAGTTACGAGCTTCTTAAAGGGCGACAAATCGTCTAGTTATTATATATATATATCCGCTATCTAATAGAGCGCTTTGCTAACCTCTTTAATAACTCGCTCGAAGGTTAACTTCGCGTATTAATAGTGCCGTACTAGCTCTCGAATAGTCGGGTTATGCCTAATAAAGTCTAGATAGATTATTACCTTCTTAGTAATAGGTACGTCGTTGCGATAACCTCTATTCCGTACGAGCCCTCTTTCTTCTAATTCCTTAACTAGACTCTTTAATACTAGCTACTTTAAACTAGTTATATTATAACACTCCTACTCCGGACTATATAGCACTCGAAACACCTTATATCGCGCCTTCTTTAGCTACGTTAACGTCCTTATAATACTAGCTAGTCGATACTACTTCTTGCGCTATTTCTACTTTAGTAGAGGCGCGAGAGCCGCGTACTAGCTCGCTATTACTATATATACTATTACGCCGACCTGTATCTTTAGATCTATTACTTTTGAAAGAGCTTAGAAGAGGATAGTATAGAAGAGATAGTCAAAATAGACTATATAGGTATAGAAGCTACCGAAAACGCGGTTTGAAAACGCGTTTTCGGTTTACGTATATACCTTCTAATAATAGCATACCGCGCTCGGACGACGCTATAGTAATTAATTACAATCTACCGACGTTATACACCGGAAAGTGAAGTAGCTAAGGCAGTAGATATTAGCGGTAGATAAAGCGGTAGAGATATTATATAGAAAGCCACCTATCCACCTATCCACCGGCGCCGAAGTAGACGCACTCTCAGTTGGTATTGCGAGGCAGGTGCACTCACTCTACCGTCCTGTTGTCTCTCAATTGGCAGTCGCGAGTTGAGTCCGCGGACTCCTGCGCCAGCTTCATCTTCGGTGGCGCAAATCCACTCTTTGCGCGACTGCGTAGTAGAGGCCGCGACAGTATCGCGCAAAGAATGCTGAACAGGATCTGCTGGTCTCGACCCGCAGAGGCCCTTTCATCTCGTGATCGAGTGTCTCTCTCCTCCCGAGATTGACAATCTGAAGCAGCGGTAGGCGTCGGCGGCGTTTACCTTTTGCTTTGCCGCAAGTCTGTCAGGCTGTCAGTAGGCTTTGCGATGCACACACACCCATGCTGCGAACGCAGCCTATCCGGAGCCGTGTTCCTGCTCCGCAGCGGAGGGTCTCATGACCAGGTCGCTCTTATCATATGCCAAGCTCGAGCGGTATCTCAACGTGACGTCGAGTTTCAGGAATCATTTCTCAGGCCGAACATTGCTTCGATTTCGGAAGACGTTGATGAATGGACGACCCTTGTCAGCATGCGCGGCTGAAGAGAAACCTCGACACGTGCAACAGACATGGCAAGAACGCATTGTAATCGCTCGATCAGGGAGGCTTGTCGCATCATGCAGTGTTTCACATTGCATGAAGTCCTGCAAGGCCCAGAACGAATGCCGAGCTTCGAGAACGACTAAACCGCGCGGTTGCGGCGGCGCGATGGCAACATGCAGGCATATCGCAGAGTGGTGCAGCATGAGGCAGCATGAATGAAGATCCGTAACTGTACAGTCAATACATAAACTTCGGACTTGAGATAGCGCTGGATTTATTATCCACCCATCCATGCCGAAAGGCGACTCCCACCAAAGCTTGCCGCAAACCGCAGACCCTGCGAGCCCATAGGGAAGTAACTCACGAGGTACCAGACCAGTGCGACAAGCTGGACTATCGATGTCAATAGCGTCAAAATAGTGCTGCGAAGCTGCAAAGGTCATGTCAGCGTGTGTCTGAATAGCGGTAGGTGGCGAAAATCATGACGACAGTGAGTAGTAATCGCGGTGTGCTTGTTGCTTTCATGATGGGTGATGAAGTTGTGAAGCAGGATTGTGTCCAGATAGGGCAGGCCAGTGAGAATGCGCAACACATTGCGTGTATGGCGGCATGAACGGGAAGGGTGCATGGTACATCTGGGGTCATGCTAGGCGCAGCAGCTAGAGGGTGCATGCGCCGCATGATCGACCTCGCATCCGCAACAAAGATATTGTCGACGCAAGCTGTATACGTAAAGGGTGTGTAGTTGATGGTTGTGTGGCAACGGCTCCGTAGTGTTCCGACGAGCGGAGATAGGAGAAGTCTACTTACTCCGACCGCAAAGTACAATGTGAGCGCAATGCTGCCAAAGTAGGTTGCTGTAAAGGGCAGGCGTTCTTGGGACACCAGATGGCGTACTGTTGCGTAAGATCAGCAAGGTATCCCCCTTTGGTAATATCCATGAAAATCGGCTGTAGTCATGCAGCCTCGCGACACAAAGCTCTTGCACCATCCGCATTCAAGCGTCTTGATTGACTGCTCGAACAGGCGCATGCGAAAGATAGCGGGGTGGGAGGAGCATCAAGCTTGCACAGTCGCTTACCATATTGTAAAGGACCCATCATGACGGCCCATGAGCCCAGAAAGAGCGCCGACGCCATAGACCATCTGACCAACCGTTAGTGTCTCGTTTCGTTTGTGAAATCTGCTTTCTTTGTGAAGGGCAATATGGATGTTTTCGTGTCTAGAGTGATTGTTTGAGAGCTCCCATGGTGATGTGCAATCAAGTGCGACCAGGATAGAGTCCATTTTAGAGAGTTGAGGTGCAGGAGATCGAGAAGAGCTCTTTGCATGTTAGCAACGGGCGGATGCGACCATCTCGTTGCATTTCGCTGCAAGCACCCCGGGCCGCAACTACCTTGTGATCAGGCGGACGCTCCCACTGCATAAGTGCCCGAGGAAGAATGAACTGCATCGGTTGCGCGTGGCGTCGATAGCAAGTATTGATTCGACGCGCCAGTAAGTGATGATGGTGATGAGATAGATCGCTGGTGAATAATGTGCTCGAGGAGAGAGCAAGCATGACACCCTCTCGAATTGAGCAGGCAGGGAACCGTGCTCGGTAGCAGCTGAACAAGGGTACAGATTTGAAATTGACGAGACAGAAGAGGGAGTGATACGTACAGTATCGCAAACTTGCGTGGTCTCAGGCTTAGTATAGGCAGAAGCGTGAAGCAGACGACGAAGAGAGCAATGGCAGCGAGGTTCAAGCCACCAAATAATAGTAGACGGTCCCATCGACTTACTGTGAGCATACGTTAGCCAATGTCTCGGCTGGAGATCCCGGATGGCTATGCTAGGCAGGCCAGGTGAATGACCACGGATGGAGAACGGGCGGCGGCGGGTAGGTGAGAAACCTGCACGGCGCATGCACGTCGGAGTAAAACGCAGGAACTCCACCTTGTCACGGTGATGCTGCAAGCAATACTTCGCGTGGCGGAGTCTGAGACCTAGCTGCGGCTCTTTGTGAGGAGAGCATCGATACTCATGCGCCCCCACGGCGCCCGTATGCATGATGCGAACATCTCTGTAAGAGGAGCAGGCAGAGCAGGCGTTTGAGACACAGCCGAGCGATGTAATGGATGCAGTCGTATTGGATGGTGCAAACTTACGCGCAAACCACCCTTCTTCCTCTTCTCTTCGTGTCCTGGCGGGCAGTGGGGCACCAGGGCCTTCGCCCTCTGTTGTAGGCAGCCTGACATAGCCCTCGCCGCTGAAAGGGTTGAGCTTCGAGAGTGTGCCCAGCAGCGGGTTTTGGGGATTGGTATTGGCTGTTTGTTCTCGGCGCGACCAGCCCAGGCTGTTCATGCTGTCGCGGAAGGACGACGAGGCCATGGTGGTGCGGAGCGGGAATGCAGTCTTTGTGCAGTGACGAGTAGTGCGTTTGAGGTTCAGGACAGAGCTCCAGGTTGCGGTATGTGCTAGGGTCGTTGGTGATCTCGAGATAGTTCTAGCCTTCTAGGATTTGAATGGTTTGGAGTGCTGAATTGTGCTGCCTATTGGCTGGCCGCGTGGCCTGCTCGCCGACGGTGCCGATGCCGATTGGAAGTGTATCGAGCCGCTCAGTGCTCAGTGCCTCAGTCGCAGGCTGGAGCTCGATGCAGGTTGTGGCGACGGTGCCGTGCTCTGAGGTGTAGAGCTTTGCGTGCGAGCTGGCGCGCTGGTGTGTTCAGGGAAGCGAGCACAAGCCAGGCAACTCAAGCAAACTCTAACGTGGGAGCTTCCGTCGGCGCCGGCAGCGGCTCTGCTCTCCAGCCTGGCTTCTGGCGGGCTTCGCTCTCTCTCCTCAGCCTCCCTCCCACCGACGTGCACAAGCGCCTCACAGAACAGCAGCACGCAGCACGCAGCACGCAGCACGCTTGCAAAGCAGGGCAGGGCAGGGCACCGCAAACTTACAGCACTGCAGGGCGGGAAGGAAGGAAGATTGCTTGCATGCGAGATCGACGGCTCGGATTAACTCCGTTGGCCATGGCAGCGAGGTGTGCCCAATGACTTACGTTTCAGAGCAGTTGGAACCTGGGGTGGCGTGTGATGCTGGCCTGTTCAAAGAAGCCGCCTTCTCACTGGGCGAGGCCGACGTGCGCCAGGCGTTGGCTCCGACAACGAGTGCAATGACCAGAAGCGTTCGCATCTGTCTAAGATTCGCCGCACGCCCAAGAATGCGGCAAGGGCTGTGGACAGTGGGCTCTGTGGACGCCAGGCTGGGCCGTCTCCAGCTGTCAACGAGTGTCTCACAGATCTGACCCGGGTGAATGAGCACTGGTTGCTGTGGCTGAAGCTCTGCTCTGGCCAGTGCACCATATCGATCGATATGCCTACGCTGCCACCATATGATATGCTGCCCACCATGCTGCGAGAGTCGGCCTGGCAGGGCAGGTTCCGGCAGCCTGGGACAAACGAGATAAAGACAGACGGTGCTTCGCAGGAGCAGGAGGGAGGGCGACTAAATGACTCACCTGGTCATCAAGTGTGTGAGACGTATTGGCAGCAGCCTCCCTCCGTCCCGCGCGATGATGCTCGCAGAGGCTTGTAAGTTATGGGGTGGTGGATGAGATTCTGCCTTGGCATCCGTAGACAGCCATATACAAAAGACTGCTCTGCTCTGCTCTGCTGCACGTCGCCCCGATTCTTGACCGCGCTCTCGCATCGCATCCCCGTCACATCGTCCAGCATTCGCCCGTCCTCTACCTGCATTGGCTGTCTTGCTGCCCAGAATAAGCCGACCGGAGGGTGCTGCGAACCCTCATCCTGCCAAACCTTCAATTCGCCGCAACAGGAATCCTTGTTGCGCAGTAGCCGCGCTCGACCTCTCATCCGCGCGCTCAGCCAGACGATCCGCAGCTCAGCAGAGCTCGTCTCTCGTCATCGCCCGCCTCCACGCCGAGTGCACCGCCATTGCAAGACGAGCAACACGGGACTCCTGGCCCTGCTCTGTCCGAATACAGGAAGCCATCCCACTGCGCCGTTCACCGACACTTGCGCCTCTGGGAGAACCGCAGGCTAGCCTGACATCGTCCTCGAGTCTGACCGGCCTCCGAACACACACCGCACACACCGCACACACCGTCACTTCTCCTGTCTCGCCGTCATCTTGCGAGCCATTCTGCGTTCTTTGTCGCCAGGAACTGAAGCGCGACACAACGCCAGTCTTTGACACGACTGTTGACAGAGCGGTTGCACCACGCCGCCACACTTGCAAACAAAGCTTGCCATCCTAGCTGCCAGCCTTGGATTCGCTCGGCAGACCTCCGGGCACAATTCCCCGCCATTCATCTGCGCGACATCCTCGACAGTCGATACCTACTCCACGTTACACCAGTAGAAGACCCCACCAGTGCTCTTGCTGCTGGTGCGCTCTGCTGTCGACCATCTTTGTCTGCAGCAGCCGGTCTTAAGCGCCGGCGACGACGGCTAGGCCAGGCCAGGCCAGGCCCGAACGGAGCGGAACTGAGCTGAGCTGAATAGCTTGTGAAGAGACACGAGCCAGTGCTTGCTTGTGCGTCTTCTTGACCGCCGCGAACAAGGTCAAGTTCGTTCGTCCGACTCATCTTCCACAACCACCGCGAATCAGCCCGACGCACGCTTCCGTCCGCACCTACAAGCTACACCAATCGATACCATCTCCCGCCCTCAGCACCCTACACTCCACCAGGAAGGCCACGGTGAGTCCTGCCATCTCCTTCTGCGAAGCTGTCCACGTCCGCAATCGGCGGCGTTGCTGTCAGAATGTACCTACCGCTTGTGCACCACGGAAAGCCGTACCGAGCGCAGACCGCTCGCTGTCAATGCCTCCTTCATGCCTCTTAATGCCAATTGCGCTTGGCATTCGGCTGGAGATTCGCATCAAGCCATCGCATCGCATCGCGGAAATTCATGCTGATGCAGGCTGCCGTTGATTTGATTTTGCCCTTGCCAAGTTGTGACTGACGCCTTCTTTCCTCCAGAAGTACCTTCCTTCCCTCGAAATACACCGACCCCGAACGTCATACTCTAGAACACGAGATTCTGCCTACTGCGGTGCACGCGCAGGCCGATCAGCCATTGGGTCTACACACGTCGCCACGACACCCTCGCGTTCTTGGGTGGGACAGAGAGGAGCGGATCAGCTACAGTGGTATGATCGCATACTTGTCGTCCAAGGAATGCCTGTAGACTGTAAGTACCCTCCTATACATATACTGGCCTGCTTTCCAGCTGCTGCTCTGAGGAGTGAGACGGCGTTTCGACCGCACGCTCGCGCGCGATTTCGCCCAACTGCGAGGCGAGGCACTTCAGCGTAATTGCAGCATGTCTTTGCTATGCAGTGCGTTCGAAGGCGTGCCGGCTCTGAGCCGAAACTGCCCGACACTGCCCGATTGCTTCACTTCACGCCCACGAAAGCATTCCAAGCTAATGCGACTGTGTAAAGCACCAGACAACCTCACCATATTCCCGCCCTTCGAAGACCAGTCGAAGGAATCTCCACAGCACAAGCGAGACTCCCCACTCGAATTTACCTTTGACGACCTAGGCGGCGATACCAACGACATGGCAGGCGCGACTTCGCCATACATCAAGCCAGAGCCAAACGACTTCAACTTCAACGACCCCAACATGTTCCAGCAATACAACACCCAGCAAGGTCACATGGGCCAGTCATACGGCGGTGGCGTCAACATGAACGTGAACCCAGCCAACCTGACTAACGGCAATGGTCCCATGAGCAACAGCTTCATTGGCGATGACGAGCTTCTAGATCTACAAATTGACAGCGCTCCATCGACCAACGGCGAATTCAGCTTCAACACAGGCGTGCAGAACTTCATGCAGCAGCAACAGAACACCTTCTCACACACCCCAGACGGAGCACCAATGCACTCACCATTCTCGAATGACGGCTTCAACTATGGTCAATTCCGACCAGCACCAGGCCAGCAGCAATTCGGCGCTCACAGCGTGCCGACACAAGCCGCCTTCCGCCCTCACATGCAGCACATCGACAGGAAGGTGTCTGACTCGCGGTCGCCTGCCACACCAAACACTCCCGGCATTCAGCACCTGCAAGTCAGCGACGAGTTCACACACCCAGGTATGCAACCAATTCAACACAGACAACAAGGCTCGATCGGCAACGGCTGGGATAGCACACCAAGCGGACATAGCTGGGACGCCTCCTCGCCATTCCCATCTCCTCACAACGGCCAGCCACATCACCCACAGATTGCCGAAGTTCTGAAGAACAGCGGACACCACCACGGCAAAGTCGCCTCCTCCCTACCGACTAAGATGGAGCCAGGAGCCGGCCCACCTTTCAACACTCAGGAAGCCAAGCGTAGGCGGCGTCGCGAATCACACAACATGGTGGAGCGCCGTCGCCGCGACAACATCAACGAGCGTATCCACGATCTCGGTACGCTTGTCCCACAGCACAGACTCGAGGACGAGAAGGTCCGAAAGCACCTCCATACAAATGCGCCACTTTCACCATCAATTGCAAACGCCGGCATGTCACCTCCAAATGCTGCCTCCTTGCTTGGCACATCCGCGCGCCGCGCAGCTGGATCTATCACCCAGGGTCTCCCCATGGAGGAGAAGGACAAGGGCCCAAACAAGGGCGACATTCTCAATGGCTCAGTATCTTGGACTCGAGACATGATGTGGTTCATGCACATGAAGCTGAATCAGGAGCAACAGCTCAAGCAGCTTGTCTCCGAGCTCGGTGCCGAATGGCCTTTCGATCAGACCGAGGATGAGAAGCGCATGACTTCCGAGATTTTGGAAGTCCTGAACAAGCACGCTACCGCAGGTGGCTTCACTGGCTACTCTCGACAGGCTGGGTCTGGATTACGGGTGCCTGGATACACGAACCTCGCCGGCGACTCCACTAACAGCGACTCACCACAAAGCCTTACCATTCCACCTCTGAGCCCTGGCTTCCAACCAGGTGGCAGTGGCATGAGCAGTGGAGGTGTCAGCCACAGTAACTACAACTGGGCCACTGACTTCAAGGAAGAGGACGAGTACGGCATGGACACTCAGTAGCATGGAGTGTTCCAAGCCAGCCAATTCTGATTCCGATTCCCGCCGCTCTGAGCCGAGATCCACTGCGGAACTTCTCGAGCGGAGACTGTCTTGAAATAGATCGACTAACACCCTACTTCGACAACGTTCCGGCCACCACCCACTCCGGTTTGTCACGACCCGCTTGCAACTCGATGTTATCTGGGCCTTTTTGAAATCTATTACCATATTCGGAGGCGTTTCGGACGGGCGGCCAGCGATGATTCACCAATGATACCACTATCTGTTCTTGCTTTCTTGCTCTGGAATGCCACTTGGGCACGTCTTATCTCAGCTACCCAACACATTACACATCATGCATAGTTTGGACTGTGGGAGGCACGCGATCACGATACAACATGAAGCAGAGGAATGATCTAGGCCTATTGCTGAATTCTCTACTTTTCTTAGGATGGATGTCCGATTTTTTCACGATGTTGATGAGCATCTGTTTTAATGGGCCTTCGGGATTGGCGTTCTGTTTGACTGATGCGTGCATGCATGATTTTCGGAGGTATTGTGGAGAATCAGAACCAGCAGCTTGTCAGGCAAGAACGGCGGATGTGCGAAGAAGGAATGACTACTGCCGAGAGGGAACCTCATAAGCTGACGTGCTGGCACTTGATCATGCTTATGACTGCATTATTTGTTTCTATGGGTAGCCGAGATAATGGCCAATACATTCAAACTATACACCTTTTCCCTGATTTTCATGTTGCCAACTCCGCCGCTGTACAAAAGCTGATTTGCCTACATCGCAGACAATAGCTCAGTGTCGAATCCGATTTGGTGAGTGCGCATACTTCACATGGAGCAAGGCGAGGCCCATAAAGAGCACACAAGCCTCAGCTATGTTCATGGCAAGGCTGGTGGGCACAACATTCGCGCGTAGAAACACGAATCGGGCAGACAACGCTGCTACTTCGCTAGGGTAGCACAGTCTCGAAGGCACTCACTATTCGGAGTGTTGGGCGTCTTTCGAAGTGCAGGCATGAGAGACGAGGCTGGGGGGCATCTGAGGTGTGATGGATGGTATCACAGGGAAGAGGAGGCCCATGATCGGAGATTTTCCGCATGCCGAGTTGTCACAACCGGTGGCACAGAACCACTGTCATCGGCTGTCAAAGCCCTCACATTGTGGAATTCTAAGCAGTCTCAGATACAGGCGCTACCTACCTGACCTACCCTCGTCCGCCCATCGCCCTCTCGCTATACTACGCTACCGCCACACCAAAGTCCCTTTGCACGGTGGTGCTCGGTAGTTGAGGCAACGCTGCGACGACAAGGGCAGTGCTCTTCGCTCATGTCTTGCCGAGTTCATGGAACATGAGAGTCTTGCAAGACAAGACCTACCTACCTCATAACACCAGCCTTCCCTGCTTCCCATCCTGAGACCTTCCAATCTGCACCCTCCTCAGACTGAGCACACTCCCAGCACAACCGCTGATAGCAAGGAGTTGCTATGGCAAACAGCCACACCTATCACCGCTCTATGCGCATGTGCCAAAGTATACCACTCTCGATTCGCCAGCCGGATATTTGGAATTCTACTTTTCGACCGAACTCCTGGATCCCAAGTCGTCCCACATCTGAGACATACCACGGCGTTGGTATTGGGATTTCCCCCAAGATCAAGGCAACCTAAAACATCCCTTGCTTCGCTCCCACGGCTAACGGAAGAGATCCGAAGGTGATCATGTACTCGAGTATGTAGGTGTGACGGATGTGGCATATGCACTCTCTGGCCCTGATACACAGATTCTGTAGGTGTGCTGCGTCGTTCTCGTTCTTTCCAGACGCCTGGTATGGTGTGTGTCTTGTCTTTGACATTTCCCAGGGATTCGTTTCCTTCCACCGCTTTGCTTTGTTGTTGATCCTTCTGTTTGTTCCTCACATGCGGGTTGATGTCGACCAACTCATTTCGAATTCGAATTCGAATTCTTGCCAACCTCTGTCGTTGCTGCTGTCTTGGAGGGTTCATCCTCTTGAAATCCTAGGTTGCGCATGGAATCGGGAGCCATGAGATTTCTGCAATTTCTCATCATCAGTTTCAAGCCGGGTTGCATGCGCCAGTCGCCGTACCTGTCCATTCTGCATTGCAGGTAGTTCTTGGACAGCTCCCTGCAGGCCTCCGTCGGCACGCCCTTTGCACTCTTGATGCATTTCAAGTACAGTTTCATGATGGGCTGACACTCGGCCTCATGGTCCAAGGGAAACGAGCCTCTTTCGGGCGGCGTAGGCTTGGAGAAGGTCGTGCGGCCGCCAGGACCCCCGAAGGAACTCATGATTCAAAAGGCGCGCAGCGTGCAGTAGACTGGGGAAGATCGAAGTGATGTTTGATGTAAGCTCGAGGGGAGAGCAAGGCGTCGATCCTTGGTGGGCAGCTCATTGGATGGGGATGAGTTCGGGCTAGCTGAGGTACTGCATCGGACCTTCCGCTGACGCAGCCTTTGTCCAGCCATGGTATTTAGCAGTTGCGCGGCTCCGCCGTGCTGGAAACTTGCATCCAAGCGCTGCCTTGATACAGGTTGGATTACCCGCCGCCGCGACAGCATCGTTGGCGTCTACTTTTGCACGGGAGCGAATCGCAAGGTTATGGAGCATCGACCAACCACTGATACTGCTCCGAGCCAGCCGGAACAGGGGCCAGGTCGTCCACTATAAATTTATGGTGCTGGCTGGATGCCTATGATAAGGTGTAACGTTACCTTCTCTGTCCGCAACCCATCACCCACAAAGCAAGACTAGGTATGAGCCAAACCAAATCTTGAAAGATCAACCTGTCATTGCACATTGCTACTGAGTCTTGTGCACTAGAGTACAGATTTTTGTGGACATCGGTTGCAACTTCACTCACATGGGCCAGAACAAGTCCGGAAACTTTGCTGCCGAAAGAGGAGATGGAGAAGTTAGGAGAGTTTGATAGGGCAGAGTCTGGAAGGAAGACTAATAGGTATTCGGGTGCTGAGGGCGGCATTGAAGGCTGCTGAGATACGAGCATAGATGAAGATGAACAATGCTTGATTATTGCCTGGATCATTATGAATAATGCCGTGATGAATGAGTAGAGCGGGTAACACTTTGCTAAAAAGAAAAAAAAATTACATCGCATGGCTCCACCGAAGAGCTGTTAACTTGATCCTTTTGCCGGCACTCATTGGCATTATGCATCTAGTATCACTTCGCTTCCTCCTCACCTTCCTCAATGAATAACACCCCTTGCCTTCGCAAGTCTGCGTAAGTACTCTGGCCGTCTTAGCTCTTCCTCGGCATCATACGCCTTTTTCCCGATATCGATCATTCTATTCGGCCTTCCCAGCTTCTTGTTGCCCTCTCGATATGTTGCAGACGTTTTTCTCCCAAAGCTGCGGCGATGTCAGGTTCCTTGTCTCCGTGCGGAGTTTCACGCGCTCTGACATCTTCTTAGGAGGCTCCTTCTGAAGCACTTTGTTCTGGTCATGCTTGTTCTCGATGAGAGAGGTTCGCCATTCCGTGTTACTTGTTGATCTGGTCTTGCAGAGCTTGGCACTTCTTCTTCCAGCACTCGCTTGGAAACTCCTCTATTGATGCCGGGAGCACGGAGTTGGTTGACGTAGCCTCGTTGTCTCTATCAAAGTTATTCGTATACTGCAACATTTCAGTCGAGTATACATGATCAACTTGCAGTCCAGTGAGAAGCACTATCAAACGTATATGCACGCCTCCCCGCAAGTGGAGCAACTTTCTGAACTCGATATTCTCATAATCCGCAATTATGCGATGATCACCGTATCAAGGGCAACGACTTGCCGCTCTGTGACATGCGTCCATTATGTAGCCTTGATGCTCTTTCCAAGTCGTGCCAAATGCCCAGCAATGGACATCATCCCGGAGTCTCCTCAACCCTCTCCAAGTGTCGTCCAACACCCTCTCAACAAAGTCCAAGGTGGCGGGAAAAGCACCAAGCTTTGCAACAAAAGCAGTACCAAACATGATAGCTAGGGCACATAGCATTTCTGAGCGGTAGTCTTGATGGTCCTTGCTTGTCTTACGCTGCCTTGCGCCCTCGCGCGCAAATTTGCTTCCACTCCTGCCCGATCCTCGATCTGCGGGACGGAAACTGCTCCTGTAGTAAGCTACTGCGCACTTGCTCATGGATCGCCTTCCAAAACTCCTCATGGCGTCTTGTCTTCCATAGTGCGACTTCCTCTGAGTTTTAAGTATCCAGGACCATAACTGTCTCTCAATGCTTGTCGATCTCTAGCGTTGTGGACGCGGTAGCGCTCACACAATATGCTGCTGCTGATGGCAGGGGAGCTGCCATGAGTGGCGTGGTCTGGTGTGTTTATGTTGAGGTAGCTGGATATTGAGTCCGCTAATGTGCTATCGAGCTCGGTGTACTGCTAAAGTTCTTACGCTTTCCCTCGACGACACTGCTGCTTTCTATGCCATGCTGTGTGGGAATGTGGCCCAGTTTGTGCCAGTGAACGATGTGCTCGTGCTGTCGTATAGCGTAATGCAACCAGTATCACTGGCAAAAAGCCTTCAGCAGCTGTAAAATTTGATATAAGGTTGCGCGGCAATGTCCACTGGGCAATCTCACTCAAAGCTGCTGTGGATCTCTTGTTTTCTCTTGTGATTGTTGCCCATGTCCTTTTGTTCAGGCAAATGTTGTGACCTAGATGAGCAAGACCACAGGATCGAATTTTGCCAGCCTATGTGCCTCATCGAGATGACTCCAGCTCAGAAGCTCTGGTGCGCGCAGCTATCATTGACCATTGAGTATTTGTGTCCTTACCTCTAATTTTGTCTTCGTTGGTACCGTGCCAGCTGACTTGGCAAGAAAGCGTATTAGAATTTTTAACTATTAACAAGAAGCTCGGTGCGGCACATTCGGCGGCGGGTATGGTGTTTGTTGAAGACGAGCGGAGCAAATCGGACAATTTCAACTTCCGTTCTGTGTGCCGTGCTTTTGGAGTCAGCTCGCATCGTACACCCCTTCCATGCTGTCTTCTATTGTGCCTGCTTGGTCCAGCCCATCGTGTCGAAAGCTGTTGTGACTTCAGGTGGTTGAATGACCTGTTCATGACTCGCTCTGAGCTCACTCAGACTGCCATTTCTTTTCTCGCACGTACATATCACGGCCCTCCTTCTTGCGAGTGCCTGTCACTTCCTCTTTCCAAGACCAATACTCCTTTAATCTTCCTTCTGCATACTTGACGTAGTCGAAGTCGATTTGACTGATCGTGGCTTGGATGAGTGCCCAAATTCCCCAATAGAAGCCAGGGACTCCACGCCACAGATCGACCTGTACATTGAGCGTGTCGAGGTCTTTCTGGAAATCGATGTCAAGCGTCAAAGTGTCTTCGTCGGATATTGAGTGGTAACGGTAGGATGCGACATAGTGTTTCAGGAATTCTTTGCGTTGTGACTTCGTTGGCACGGCTTCGTGCTCGCAGTCGTACCCAGCCCATTCAGCAAAGTGATTTGCAATGTCGAAGGCTGCAGGTCCAGGAGTAGCGTACTCGTAGTCGATGAACTGAACAGGCTTCTCTTCCTCTTCTGAATGGATGTCGACAATCACATTGCCGCAGAGCAAGTCATGGTGGGCAAAGACGAAGTCCTTGCCGTCGAAGCCTTTCGTGTTGCCGAGCTTAGACTCCAGCCAATCGAGCTCAGTCCCTAGCATATTCAGTCGCTCACGCTCTTCGTCAGTGTTTTGCGGCAGAGCTTGTAACCACATTCGCATGACACTCCACGTATTTGGGTGCGGCCGAGTGTTATTGCCGTTTTTCGGAGCCAGGAGCTTTTGGGTCTCCGGCTCGCTGTCAAGGATGGGTGTTGTCGCTATGGCAGATATGGGAAGGCTGTGCCATTGGCCTAGCCTCCAGGCGACTTGGCGGTATATCTCAGGCTTCGCAAGGTCGGTATGCGAGCACACATGTCCAGGGATGAACTTGTACATCAAACCATTGTCAAATCTCGCGAGCAGAGGAGGCGCAAGACCAAGATTTGCCAGAAGATTGTGTGCTCGCAGCTCTCTTTCACGGTCTATCAACACGTCTGTGCCCTTGCCATAGGCTCGTATCAAAATGGCATTTTGGTCTATTTGGAGTTCTGTTAAGCCCGGTCGCCTTTTGATTGCTTTCATCAATGTGTTTGTAATGCCGTCGGTGAAGCGGATGAAGTGCACTGGTCCTTCCTCGCTCTCCCACGAACGGTCATATTCTTGCACGAGTTGCAGGGCGCTCTTCTCGGGATCCGTGGTATCGAAGGTGATTGGTATGTGTCGTAGGGCGAGAGGAGAGTCGACTTGGTCTGCTCGGTGGGCGGCAGACGCGTTCGGGGGGCTTGCCATTTTCTGCGATGTGATAAACGAGCCGTCGTGGCCCAATTTCTCATTATAGACAGCTGGCAGGTGCAATAGTGGACTGGAAAGCGCCCACTGGTGGCCAGTGCGCTTCAATGAGGTGATGTTCCAAGTTGGCAGAGGGGAGGGGGAGGGGGAGGAGGAAGGGGGGGGGAGGGGGAGAGTGCAAAAAGGCGGCAGTGAGCAGTGATGAAGATGAACAGTGTGCTGTGGAGTCTGACTTTCTCCTACCACAGCGTGACTCGGCATTCACTTCAGTGTCCATTGCCATTATTGCGTTCGTGCCTGAGAGCACCCTTGGACCCTTGGACCCTTGGACCCCTGCCACTTGACGACACACTGCAGCACTGCTGCGAGCGGGGACGCACTCGGGTGGGGCGAGGCGAGGCCGGCCGCAGCGTTTCTCGCATGTGAAGATCGTGCCGAAAATTGGTTCGGAGCGGCTAGTTCTACCGTACATATGTGCCTCGCCTTGCTACCAAGAATAATGCTAAAGGCTTACTGGAATCTAAACGACCGACGCTGCATGTCCGCTAGATACCACTGCACCTAGGGCGGCATTGAAACTTCTCCTAGCTTGTCTAGTTGCCTTGATGATGCTCGAAGCTATCCGGCTGGAGGACCCTCCTGGTTGGAGGTTGAATGCTCATGGTCTGCTAAAGAAGTCCTGGTCACCTCGCTTTCTGGCGCATGCATTATTTCTGCTTGGTAAGTTGGAGTCCAGCTTAGGTCCTCATTCAAGACGATGCTGCTGCAACTATGGCAAAGTGGATATTCACTGTTTCTTCACTGCACTTCCATTGCCTTACAGAACGCTGCAAGCAGGATGTGGCAGCTGCCTTCCAATCTCATTCATTTTGCTCTTGAGCATCGAGGCCACATGTGCTAGTTTCAGCGGCCTGCGGACCGGCCACTCCTTGGCTACATCCTGGACCTGGACCACGACACGACGACACGTTGAGCAGGTGGTCTCGTGAGCACAGACAAACACCAAAGAATCTCTGAATCTCTCACCTTACGGCACGCCATTTTCTCCGCTCCAGGCACAGGCGATAAAAGGAGACCAATACATAACAGCACAAAGTTCAGCTCCACCATCTGTTACTGGCAAAAGCATGTACATGGCTGCAGGAAGTGGTATTCCTGAGATCAAACCCCATCCTCTCAGGCTTCGTCATTCCGGGATTCCTTGATTTCAAAGTCCTGCTGGTCAAAGCCACAGGTGCAGTCTTCACCGTAGCCACGGGCATGTGCTTTGGGAAACAAGGGCCTTTCGTCTACATCTCAACTTGCGTTGGACACCTTGTTGCGAGACGCTTCCACAAGCACCGTGACAATGGAAGGAAGATGCGAGAGATCTTGTATGCAGCTTGTGCGAGCGGCTTGAGTGTTGTATTTAGAGCCCCGATGGGGAAGTAAAGATCTATAGCAACTATAGTAATAGTATAGAGGATTGCCTATCTAGGGTAATAATAAGTAGAATAAATAGCTTCTACCCTCCTAGTATATACTAATACTCTTCTTCCTATTTAATAACAGAACTGATATGCTTGCTAATCCTTCATAGAAAATCACCTATAGGAAGCTATTGCAACTACCATTGCACAGCAACAACGTCTTCGTCTTCCTAGGAGTCGCAGGCAGCATCTTTGGAGATCTCTTCTGCAGACTCGGCGATCAGTTGAGAAGGAGAGGTTTGATGGATGCTGGATTGGTGCTTGTGCAGAACGGTGGGATGTTGGGGGAATGGGAATTGGAGTTTAGACTTACGGAGCTGGAACAACTTTATAGGGAGGATGCGGAGGTGAGGATGTTAGGGGAAGCTGGGGAAGGAGAGTTTGATCTGAGCCATTTTGTGCATCGAACACCGCTTGGTGTTTCTGCTGCTGCGCCGATGGAGTATGCCGCGTTGTGGTGTATCTGGATCATCTGACGCATGCTTAGTAAATGTAAATAGGACTGTAGAATGGCGTGTATATTCTGAAGGAAGTATTGTATTGCAATTCCGCTCAATGCCGATGTCTATCTGCCAACATTCAGATGCTCGCAAGAATCCCGGTGCCCTTCTCAATTTGTCTCAATGCTCCGCTACCCGCTCGCCAAACCGCTCAATGTCCATTTCCAAAAATCGAAGGAGCTGAGGAGGCAACAAATAGCCAACCACTGCCAGACTTATGTGTAATTCCATATCAAGATGCTCGTTTTAGAAGCGGAGTGATGTAGATATCCTTTGCAAGATGAGCTCAGGACATGTATGCTTATCCGAGCTTTAGAATACCGACCTGCTTGGGTCCATGGCGACTTCTGCTGCGCTTGCGGTAAAAAGCGAATTCTGGCTTCTCTTTCTTTGGCTCCAAAAGCAATCTACCGCTTCGCAACCTCGTAGTGTGCTCGAATAGCAAGTCAGTCTCTGCCTTCTTCATGTCTCTCAGGATGATGATGTAGTCAGGATCGGACTAATGTTACAAGATGTGGTCAGCTAATGTACAAGGTGTATTTCGATCGAGATCGCTTGCGTCGCTGGGGCATACTTACGCGATCGTATTCCCATGGTAGGTCGTAGTATTTCAAGGTCTCGGTCGCGAGGTAGCTCTTGTGGACTTTCGGGTAGATGGGAGCTCGTGGACCTCGGAATTCTCCGATGCGATTGTCGTTGATGACTGTGGTGTGAGAGGAGCTGTTGACTTCGGTCTTGAACTTCTTGGTCTTTTCCTTGTCGACCATGACATCGATCGTCTGTTCGGTGTAGCCAAGGGCTCGTAGTCGATCTCGCATTTCCTCTTGGAAAGCTCTCTCTTCATCTGCTTTCTTTTTCTTTTCCTTCTCTTCTTTCTCCCTGCGCTTTCGTTCGTACTCTTCCCATTTACGCTTCTCTTCCTCCTCTTCCTCCTTCTCTCGGCGCTTGAATTCCTCGTATGCTTTCTTCTCTTTCTCCTTCTTCTCCCTAGCTTCGCGATCAATCTTTTCGCGAAACGCCTGCTCCTCCTCTTTCCTCTCTCGTTCTGCTTCGGCCTTCTTCAACTCCCATTCGCGCTCGGCTGCCTTTTGCTTGGCTTTAGCTTCCTCTTCTTTTCGCTTCATGTCAGCTAGAATCTGCTTATCGTGCCTCTCACGCTCAGCTTCCTCTTTGTCTCGCTTGGCCTCTGCTTCCAATTGCTCGATCTTGATTCTTCTGCGAATGTTCTCCTCCTCTTCCTTTCGCCTTGATTCTCGCGACAAATCTCTAAGTTGTGCTTCTCGCTGGGCCAACTGCCAAGCAGCAAAGTCGTTTGGATACCCGCCCGGCATTTGTGGTGGACGATCGAAGCCCGACGCATCTGATCGACCACGAGATCGCGAACGGAAACGGTGCTCCAGTGCCATTTCGGCAAGGTCTTCCGCGAGCTCGTCGCCCAGTCTGTCTCCGAGCCTGCTTCTTCCACGGCCACGACCTTCCGGTGATGCTCGCGGCGATGCTCTTCGAGAGCCCGGGGAAGGTGGGTAAGGGTAAGGTGCATATGGCATTGGCATAGGTGAGCCGTCCTGCTCTACGCGATTGTAGACATTGATTGTCGGAGCTGGACCGTGACCTGTAGATCTGCTCCTATGAAGTCCACCTCCAGCAACTCCAGCCATGAGGAATCCTTCGCGATCTGTGGTGTGCATATGGTGAGGTGAAGGTCGCCGTCTCTGCCTACGACCATAGTAGTCGTAATCGCAACCGTCGTCACCCCAGTAGTCACCCATCTTGACTTCCTCCTGTCCTGTGCAACCTCTCAAGAGATGGGCCTGCTTGGCTGTTTAGAGTTGTGGCAGTTGGGATAGCAGTGAATGGTCAAGAAAAGGTATGACCGCTTTGCGAAGAAGTGTAGTGGGGCAAGACCGGTGAGGGCAGGCAGGAATGTGAATAGGTGGGCGGCCCTAGATTACGAAATATTCTTGTTGCTTGGTGGCGTGTATGAGACGGGCACCTCAGTACCGTGAGCCTGGTATGAGGATAGCGGAAGGAAGAGGAGCAGAGAGGACAGCTGAGGAAAATTAGAGGCGTTTAATCACCCGAAGCGTGTTGTGTTCCCTCTCGTCCAGTCGCCGGCCAACTGTGCCGGCTGTTTGTTGTCGAGCTAGGCTTTCAGCTGCAGTGGGGGCCCGGAAGGTCATGCACGAGCGGAAGAGTCAAAGGAGGGAGTGCTTGTTGCAGGCGTCGATGGAGGGTCAGGTCAGGCGAGTAACGTATGAAGGATCCTTCCACTGGACTTACAGACCTTTATCAACCTGGCCAGGCCAGGCGTGTGGCAGACTGAGCTAGGCCGGCATGACACACTCACACTCATTATTCATCGGCCAGCTGCGTGCCAAACTGCATATGTCGCGGCGCGGTGTTGCAACGGCCGCAGCAAGCCGCAGCATGTGCATCGCTGTCTCACGCCTGCCCTCGCCCTCCACAAAGCATCGTGCCTGGCGTCTTGTCGTCTGCTTTGTGCGGCGGCAATTGACAGGAACAACAAGGGACGGCCAGAATAATCATTTGCAGACCGGCGCGAGGGCGATGTGCGGCGGCGGCGGTGTACTGCATCTACGGAAGTTAGCGTAGAGGAGGATTCAGCTATCCAGAAATAGCGGCATATCGTGATGCCAAGGCCAGCTTCTATTGGTTGAATAGACGACCTAGGCTGCTGCCCTACTGCAGACGAGATGTGAAGGAACTTGGTTTTTCTGCTTTTCCCGCTCGCGAGCAGCAACATCTAACAGTGCAGTGGGGACACACCATCATCGACCATGATCATGGCATCATGGCCCACGTCGTATGGGCCCTGTACCCAGCCACCATGCGACTTTCGACATATTCCCGTCCTTCGTCGTGCGGCTGAGATGTGTTAGTAATTGCTAGTACCTCAGGAGGACAATAATGCCGGAATCGTTCGGCATTGTCGCTTTCGAAGGCCGTGTCCGGCCAGACAGCGAGCATTGCCAGCCACTACTGTCGATTCTTCTGGCGCTCTGCTTATAGAACATTGGAGGCGCGCGCGAGATCTTTGGTACCGGCCAGGGTTGCACAGTAGCGGCGCTTGACGTGTCCATGCTAGCATCATGGTCTGAACACGAGTTGTCCTGTCCGGGCTATCCTTTGTTGTCAAGAGGACCCCGACGTGCTGTCGGACACTTGTGTCGAAGGAAAGGGATCCATGGATGCTTCTCCAGCTTCACGCGCTCAGAATCACCGCTCAGAATCCTTCGCCACGTGTGAGATGCAAGGGTGATGGCTCGGCATTGGTTTGCATCGCAAGCCTTAATATGGATGTGTATAGTAGTAGTATGCTTGAGAAGGAAAAAGATCGGAAGGTTATGGTGGATCGAACACTCTGCCTTCAATTTCGTAAATATTTGCGCAAATCGCATGGCTTCTGCTTGCGCCACGGCTTGGTCCTTATAGCTACCAACTACCATCCTCCGGGATCCTATAGACGCCGTTCTTCCTCCTGTCAGCAGCCCATCGCTCACACCACGCCTTCATCCTCTCTCTGCCTTTCGCACTGCCGACGTTTACAGTAGGTATGATCTTGTCAATCCGAAGAGCGCAGCAGAACATTGTCAACTCTCGGAAGCTCGAATGCTCACTGTATGGCACACCGAAACAGCTCGCGCGACTTGAGCTTCCGCGTTGAGGAACAAGGTCGCGCATGCTATAAGTGCTCTTCCAATTATCTGACTTTAGCACGGTCTGGACCGGAGGGCTTTCCGTGAAACGACTATTTGGTGGCCGATAGTTCCATCCACTTGGACGAAACCCAACTGCACGCGTGAAATGCGGAAAGAAGTCCTTGAGGTAGTCGTCCAGTGTCTCGGCGCGAATCTCGAAAAGTGGCGTCATGTGCACCTGAGCAGCTCGTGGATCATCGGTCATGAGCTCATCCAGCGCCGGGTCTTCGAGAGCTGCTACTATGCGTCGCTTCGACGTCGGCGCGTAGATCTTTGACTTGAGAGCGCGTGCTATGCCCAGGCAGATACGTTCTTTGCCGATGCTATACGTACCAACAACGACAAGAAGCCGACCTCGAGTCTGCTTTCCGTTCACCGATGATAGGATCTGCTGACTTGCGTGTGGGTTCTTCTCTACCCTCATGTCATCCTTGGTATCTTCGTCAAGTTCCTCCTCTTTGATTTCGGGATTCGAATCTTTCCGGACAAATTTGGTCATGCCCTCGCCAGCGCGTTGACGTTTCATCGTCTCCCAGCCGTCATCCTCGCCAGGGCTATCTTTGCTCAAGCAGACACACATATCTGCGCAGGCTTTGATCACGGCCTCTTGGCTTGGAAAGGCATACTTGGGATTGAGGTATGTTGTGTCCAGGTAGCAGACATCAATCTTTTGCTCTCTACTCTTTCCAGACACCTTGTCCTGCACTTCTGGCATTAGAAGTGGGTGTTGCACGTGCATCTTGCAAGCCCGGAAATCACCGCAATGCAGAATGCGCTGCAGGCGAGGGTTGCCATTGTAATGCTTGCCCATGGTTTTCTCGAAGAGGTATAGGGAGCTACCGGGACAGTGGTTTGCGGAGATCATGGTAACACGAACACCTTTCGTGCCGGGCACCTCGATTGTCTTCTCAAACTCCAAGGGAATGACATACTGCGGGTCGACACGCAATTGCTGCTTGACTAGGTTGGCAGTGACTTTGGAGCAATAAATTGGTCCGTGCCTCCAGGAGGATGTCAAGCCGACATAGTGGTCGCTGTGGAAATGGCTTAGAAAATATGCCTGGCAGCCTTTCACGGCGCCATAGCGAAATGCATCAACGCAGATAAATAGTCCAGGCAGAATCTTGTAGAATGGGCATGTGCGCTGATATGACGGCTTGCCACGAGCAGCATTCTCGGATGCCGCCGCTTCAGCCCATGCAGCTTCTTCCGTGTGGCCAGACATGAGCTTGTTGAATGCAGACTTGCCATTGCTGCCGCTAGCTTCGCCAAAGTCGAAAGGATTAGCTTGTCCAGCTTTGGGAGCACGGATTGGTCGATATTGCTTCGCAGAGGTGGAGTTCTCAGATTTCAAGGCTACAGGTAAGGATCTGGGTTTGGAAATGGGCTTCCTTCCCGGCAAGGGAGTAGGATTGCCATCGAGACAGTTGTTGACATGAACTCCAGCGTCTTGCTCGCTGACGCCACCAAGATTGATGCTGCAGATCGGGCATGATGCGCCTTTTTCAGATTCTCGGTTCTCGTCTGCTGGCTCGATCTTGACATCTTGATCTTCTACTGGCAATGGATCATAGTCCTTTTCGCCTTCTTCTGCCTCAAGCCTGGCTTGTTCCTCCATATAACGGCGTTCACGAAACTCATCTCCTTCTTCGAATGGGTCCTCGTCGAAATCTTCGTCGCCAAAGTCTCCAAATTCGTCTAGACCTGGTTCATAACTGGTTTCCTCTTTGATTAGAGGCGGATGATGGTCCTGATCCAGATAATTGCTTGTCTCACCTGTATCGACTTTGGGCGACTCTGCTGAAGCGACATTTTGCTCCGGCATGGTGCCTGCAATCAAGCTTCCAGCGCTATCTTCAGCATCGCACACTCCTATAACTGCAGCCGGTTCTTCTTCGTCCTGTTCACTGTCCGACTCTTCAAGAAACGGTCCAGGTTTACTGTGGCTGACCTTATTGATCGGAACTGATTGTCTCGCAGTTGGCGAAGATGCTGCTGCTTCGCCCACTGCATTATCTATGCTGACTTTTCGTCGCTTGCTTGACGCTTCGCTCTCGTTGTATCGGAACTCATCATCTCCGTCCTGGTAGTCTCGAAACGAGTCATGAGTAGCCTGTGGTTGCGAGCTTCTCTTCTCTACCACAAACAAGTCCGACTGTGGCCCATCTTCACCGTCGGTCTTCTTGAAAAAGCTCAAGATGCTACTGTTTCCCTTGCCCTTGGCTGCTAGTTTGTTCTTCGGCGTAGCAGACTTCTTGGAGCTGCTCGGTCCTTGACGACCAATCGTAGGCAGCGGTACAGGCTTGCTGGTCTTCGTCTTGGTAGCCATTTTAGGTGGCGGAACGGTTGGTGGTACTGCTAAGCTGAAGGGAGTCTTTGATGGTTTGCCCGGCGGCGTTGGGCTTCGACCCAGGCGTGCAGCATCGTCTGCAGACTCTCGAGGCTTGCGAAACATGTGCTCATCCCATACCGATATGCTTTGTGGCGATGTCTATGCAGGTCCAGGTTCAGGTGGAGGCAACACGAAATCGCCACGCTGGGAAGGGTCAATGACGGAATGCCAAGCACTTTGTTCGCGTTGCGCGTCAACCTCTCAACTCCATCTGCTTTGGATCCCTTATAGCCTTATGCCGATTTCGTCGAATCCGATTAAAATGCTTGAGCACTGGCATGCTCCCTACCAGTCGACATGCAAGCAGCTGAGCGACGATGACTAGTTTGGCCACGACCAACACAAGTTTCGTCCTGGTTGCTTTACATCACTCCACTCGACATCGCGTTGATGGACGGGGTGATCGAGGCACATTTGGAACGCGGACGCGAGGCTGTGCTCGATTCACGAAGCCATGAGAAAGACGCCGAACGAAGCCAAATCACCTTATGTCCTGGGGTTCGAGATGGAGAACTACTGGCGCCGAAATTTGCAATCTACGCACTCAGTCCTGATTATCACCTTCTGCCACTCTCCACTCCTACCACCCTCCGTTCCCATGCAGATACTGCCATAGACCGATCATCCTCCTGAAACCATCCAGTAAATCTCTTGGATGCAGAACATCTAACACCGCCAAGACCACACCCACTCACTCCGAGCATACCGTACTGTTATCGCTGTAGTCGGCCGATCTATAGGCATACCAGAAAGTCGCAGAGAAAAGCACCATCTCAATGTAAGTCAAAAGACATGGCATACCCCACAAAATATCGTTGTGGCTGAATTGGTCTCCCATCGTAATGCTTCCATATTGGTGAGCGAAGGAGAAGCCCCGGGCTTGAGTGAAGCGAATGAACACGATGATCTTGAAACAGACAGACCTCGTGAATGCTCGTCGGACTCTAAGGAGAGAGTTCGCATGCGTATAGAAGCGTATCAGAGCATACATGCAGAAGCAGATGGATACAGTCTCGATAGCTTGCACCCAGAAGTGTGTGTAGATAGGATTTAGGCTGTTGACGCAGTAGTGGCCCGTGGCTTCTCTGTTTTCCAGGATTATGGCGGATGCGACCTCGAAGATGGGATATTGGAAGATGAGGATCCAGTATATTCGTGAGTATAGACAGCAAAAAGTCTAATGTTAACAATAGCATCAGATCTCATTCCGCATTACGGAGAGATACACGACGCTCAACCAGTCGAAGCCAGTCTCCGAATTTTCAACACTTTTGACGCGAGCGAAAGGTATACTCTTTCCACCCGAGATGCAGGTGCCGCGCATTGCACGAACAGAAGCAGAAGAGTAGTGGAAAAGTCAAAATAATGCTCCGGCTATGTATTGATCAGGATGCCTCACCATATTCCTCTACGTCTCCAATTGGATCGACATATTGAGCGACTGAGTAGTCATATAGCTCGCCGAATGCCACGAAAGTGTAGATGATTAAGCTGAATACAATTCGTATAATTTGTCGTTGATGTGCTGGCAATCGATATTGTCAAAGGTGTTGTGATAATGAGTCTCGTCGAAGAAAGGACTGTAAGGACTGTGCATATGAATGACATATACAAGTCCTGCCCATCCTGAGCTGCAGGTGCTATCATCCTCTGAGCCGGCTGATGCTGGGCAGGTACCCATTGCTTCTGTGGTGCTTTAGCAGAACATGTCGTGAAGACATACGAGGTGGGAGAGCGCTGGGGTTAAGATGCGATTGTACTCAAGTCACCAGAAGTACGCGTGTTGTGTGTGGAGCCATGGCGAAGAGACCAGGCCAATCTGGACGAGACTGATTCGACCACTGGGGCAGTAGTGTTGTATTCATGGTCGGAAGGCTCTTGACCTCTCCACTTCGCTCTGAGTACAAGCACACAATACAGTCAATGGCTCGACTAATTGCATAAGCTGTGTTAGCGAGCAAGATGCTAGAGGGTGAAGTGCGCAGATGTCGACCGAAGCTCTCGGACTCGGAGGAGACTTGGAAGGAACGGAGCCAAATCCTCGAAGCTTTTCGGATTCGGGATCCAAGAAACTTTTGATGATAGCTCTGTCTACGCATCGCCAAACGTCGCGTGCGCTCACAGCTCTTCGGCGTCATCTTTACGATGTCATCAACTGACAAGTCGAGCACGTCGGCAGCAGGCGACGCTGCTGGTGCCAGCTCGACCGCAGGTAATGCAGCCAAAAAAGCTGCAGCCGAGCAGAACCCAGCATTTAGAATGATGGGTCTGCCTAGGCTTCGTCTTCCTTCAAGAAATTGGCTGATCTTCTGGACGATTACTGGATCATTTGCTGGCGCAGTGATATACGACAAATGGCAGACGAAGCGGATGCGGGAGAAGTGGTGCAATCTGGTCTCACACATCGCCGACGAGCCATTAGACACCAAGACACAACCGCGCAGAATTACGATTTACCTAGAGGCCCCGCCCGGTGATGGCCTAAGAGCAGCGCGCGAACACTTTCACACCTATGTCAAGCCGGTGCTTGTCTCCGCAGCAATGGATTGGGATGTAGTGGAAGGCAGAAAAGAAGGTGATGTGCGGCACAAGACAGCAGAGAGGATCAGGAAGCGGAGAAAGAAGAATGGCGAAGGAGAGCCGCTGCCGCCTGAAGACGAGACAACTCTGACTGTTGAGAAGCTTAGAGAACAGAACGGCGATGTTGAATATCCAGGAGTAGCAGGTGATATTGTCATTGGGAGACATACTTGGAAAGAATACATCCGAGGACTACATGAAGGTTATCTGGGACCACCAGACCCACCGAAAGAGGTGCTCGTCGACACGATATTCGGTGAAGCTTCAACAGGCTACAAACCGGACACCGCTTCACATGCAGGCTCACCAGCGAATTCATCTGGATCTTCGTCAGTGGGAGATGCCGCGGTGAAGGGAGCAACGCAGCAAAATGCCCAGGATGAGCCGTTGTCATCGCTGGACACCGTTGTCGGAAGTGAGACTTCATCACAAACCCAGGAGACTCCAACAGAAGCTTCCTCGGAAGACAAGCCGGCCGAGGAGAAGACGGAGGAGAAGAAAGAGGAAGAAGAGAAGCCAAAGAGACGCTTTCCACCGTCATACATCGTGCCCGAAGACTATCAGTCCGCAACCCTTTCACCTTCCACTCCCGAAATTCTCGGGCCGAGCGTAGGGATTTGCATGCCACACCTGCTTGGGGTCAGGAACACGCCTGTTCGCATTTACCGGTTCCTGACGCGACGAAGGCTGATGGACGACATCGGGAGACAAGTTGCTGCAGCTGTTCTCGCTTCACATCACCGGCCGTATGGAAGTGTAACCACTATAGATGAGAACAGCTCCTCAGATGCTCCTTCCCAGGCTCAGGAGCAAAATGCTGTTCTCGAATGGGAAGAGAAAGATTGGTGGAAGACAGTGCGACAAGCACGAAAGGAACATGAGGAAGACATCTGGCTCCAACCAATCGCGTTTGATGAGCGGATCGCAAGTCGGATGAGGGCGTTTGAACTCACCTCTGAAGATGACGAGCGCGCCAATAGAATCGCAGCTGGAATAGAAAAGCCAAAGAGAACAGACGAGGACCCCTGAACACTTGAGGCGGAATGATGTCTACCGCCATCAGAAATCATCTCATCTCCAACGGATTCGGTCAGTACATAGTAGGAAAAGGCTTGGGCCATCGACAAACATGTCAAGCGAATGTGTGTCAGTCGGGAAAGTATGGCCTCATCCTGAGCGTTCCGCAAGGCTCGCGTGTTTCAGCATGGAAGGCTAGCCTGAGTGCACCGCAATTGTACCATAGCAGTGTATAGAACGCGCGAGGCCTGAGGTCCGGCGTGCAATCGTTGCAAACATAGCGATCGTATCCAACGGGCCCAGGGGACCATTGTCGGGACCCGGCGTAAAGTAGAATGATCGGATGAGGTGCTGAGGCTCATCGTCCTGGGTTGGAGGCTTGGAGAGGGAGACAGCGTGCGAGCTGGCCAATGTTTGAAGAAGATGCTGTCTAATACAGTGCGTGCTCTGCTCCATGCCTGCGACGATGCAGACCCTGCAGGCTGTTGCGATATTTAAGCTCAGCACAAAGCGCTTCCCCGACCAAGCCTTGCCCCGCGCTGTCTGGCCGGTCATCCCGGTCTGTTAGCATGTCGGGAGCAGATGTGTGCCTGTGTGATGAGAGCGAGCGTGTCGGTCGGACGATGTGCTGTGCAACGAGGTGCAGGTACGGAAACGAGCTGCACGGCGGCGGCGAGAGGAGGCGTCAGTATATGTTCGTATGCTTCCGAGGACTTGCCGCCGTCAACAATGATAACTATCGAACACACGACGATTAAGCGAGATGGCGGACGGGGGTAATCCCTAAAAACGAAATTTAACTGTTTAAAGCTAGCGTACTGCCTAAAGAAATTATCCGTACCTTTAAAAAGTTTACGTCTAACGTTTTCAAGCTAGCTGCCGCTTACGGGGATCACCCCCATCCGCTATCCCGCCATCGCTGTGTGTTCTTACACTGCGATTAAGCGAGATAGCGGACGGCGGTGATCCCTAAAAACGGGATCTAACTAGTCAAAGCTAGCGTACTGCCTAAAGGAATTATCCGTACCTTTAAAAAGTTCACGTCTAACGTTTTCAAGCTAGCTGCCGTCTACGGGGATTACCCCCGTCCGCCATCTCGCTTAATCGCAGTGTACACGCAGGGGCCGAGGCCTCACAAGCGCGGCATTGCCCGCCATTGGTCCCCTCGTTCCCAAGAACTGCGCCGCAACGATCTGTCTGCGCCCAGTGCGCCGCCGTCCCAACGACCGTGGACCTGGGCCTGGGCCGAGTCGACCGCCCGGAGAAGTGCAGGGCAGCGCTGACCGGCCATGGGCAAGGCCTGCTCCGCTTCGAAAGACTCACATGCAGAGGCATCGACCAATCTCCAAAAGCATGTTGTCTCACTCTCCTTGGTCCGCTCGCACACGTACAGAACGCCATCTGCAGTATCAGGACCACCCTTCCCGCACTCCACTCGCTGTTCGACAATTCCTGACCTGAGTAGAATGGAGCAGCGGCATGGCTGCCGATTCAGCAATCGCAATTGAGCGCCAGAGGACGGCCTCTGTGTGTTCCTCGAGCAGCAGCAACGGCACTGCTTCGTCGAAAGACAAGCAACTGGTGAGGGCGGAGCGCAGGCCTGGCCACCAGCGTCGCTATGCCCCCAAGACCCGTACGGGATGCATCACGTGTAAAGTATGTCCCTCTGCAACCCAACCTGTTATTCACCTACTTCAGCCCCACAATTGTGCGAACGCACCTTGAGAGTGCCTCCCCCTTCGGGATCATCGTGTCTCTCCCTCGTCTTACACACTTGCCTATTCTTAGTCAACATGCTTGATAGCACACGCAAGCTAATGTGGTCCTCGCTTGTGCGCAACAGATTCGAAGGGTGAAGTGCGACGAGGAAAAGCCCTTTTGCAAACGATGTACCACCACAGGTCGCAAGTGTGACGGCTACGCACAGATTGGAGAATCTCCACCTACCAGGCCGACATATTCCCCGGAGCCCTTGAGCTTGGTATTGGTCAACGATGTCTCGTCGGATGCCCTGGAGCGAAGGACTTTCGACTTCTTCCGTGCTCGCACAGTGCCAGCTTGCTCAGGCTACTTCCATGACTCCGTTTGGGATCGATTGGTCCTGCAATTGAGCCACAGCGAACCAGCAGTACGACATGCAGTCAACGCATTGGGTGCCATCCACGAGGAGAGATCGCTACGTCGGTCAGCCTCTCGTGGCGGCATCGACGTATCCCTCGTCAAGACCGGCTTCCCAATCCAGCAATATTCAAAGGCTCTCAACCAGATGCAGGATTTGCTGAGAGCAGGCACTGCATCACTGGACGTCATTATCTTGTGCTCACTGTTATGCATCCATTTCGAAGCACTACGAGAAGCATTTGTTCCGGCCATCATGCATGTTGAGAATGCCATCCAGCTATTACATTCGACCGGGTCGCCTCTTGATGTCAGAAAGATCAACCCCAGCCTTGTTCGGGCGGTAATGCGCATGGATCTGCAATCGACCATGTATCTAGGCTCTCGGGTCCCTGGCCTGCCCTTCTTTACAGCATCAACAGATTCACAACTACCACACACATTCCACGACCTTGTGCAAGGCCGAGATCTGGTAAATACCTGGACCAGCCGAATATTCCACTTTACGCGCACCGTTGCCGACAGCTATAAATTTCACGAAGCAGGAGATATTCCGCTCGAAGTAATTGCAGCTGCGCACGATCTGGAACATCAGTTCCTCAAACTTGATACCCTACTTTGGGAATTCATGCACAAGCCAACGGTCAGACTGAGCATACGAGAGCAGCATGGTCTTGGTATGCTGCGAAGTCGAGTGAAGATCAATCGGATCTTGGCAGCAACATGCCTTTATTCGGAAGCCTCGGTCTTCGATCGTTATCTGGAAACTTTCGAAGAGATCCTGACGATATGCATGTATATCATGGGATCAGACAACGCTGATTACCGCCTCTTCTCCGTCTCACTTGACGAAGGACTCATTCATCCTTTGTTTTTCCTGGCATGTCAATGTCGAGAAGGTCGAGTACGACATCAGGCTCTTGCTCACCTCAAGAAGCTTCCAGTGCGAGACGGAGTCTGGCATGTGGAAACAACCACTCGAACTGCAGAGATGTGCATACGATTCGAAGAGGCACTCTTCGCAGCAGCACATCCTGACCGACCACAGTCTGCCACTTGCGCGGACATACCGGAGTGGAGAAGAATACACTCGGCCGGCTTCGATGGCTGGGATGACGACGGCCCTAAGAACCATGTCAAAGTGCATTTGAGAACGCGGCCGAATGGTACTGACGGAGAGTGGCTGGACTTTGAGGAGAGCATTCAGTGGCACGTTCCGGTGAGTTGGCCAGTTCCCCAAACGGAAACACAACTAACCAAATGTGTGTTTTCAGGTCAAGAACAAGAGCTTCCACGAGAGCTTTGCTGCCCTAGTGCCTAAGTTCTCGAAACAGTTCTCGAATTTGCAGATGGCTGTAGCGTAGGAAAATTCGCTCAGGCTGAGCTTTCTTCAGTTGGAGGCCTGTTGTTTTATTCTGGCAGGAAACGGCCATGGTCCGGTGTACAGCTGATGACGATTGTGTACGATTGAACGTGTACCTCTCTCTGCACTCTCTTGACTTGGTGCGGGGAGGGGAAAGACGGAAAGTTCTTCTGGGCTGTTTGATAATGCATAGCTGGTGGGTGGGTCAGGCCTGGAGGCCACTGTTGTTTTCGTGCGCGGCGTCGAGGCGTTGAACATATGGGTGGCAAGACAATACACCGTCGGAAATGTCATAGCAGAAAGCGAGAGAGAGGCATCTTTTGTGCCATAACATTATCCAGCGTTCACGTGGGTGTCTTTTGTGTGAGTCTGCACGGCCCAGGCGTGAGTGCAGGCCAGGCCAGCCACTGCGAGAGAGTTCTGAGGCTCACTCAGAATCATTGAACGTTGCAAGGGTGCGCACCACCGCACCAATACCGAGCTCGACGTGCGCCTCTCACCATCTCGTCCAGCAGATAATGCCTCCGCCGCGCTCGTTGACTGCGGCGTTAGGATGCCGGTTGACACCAAATATGCCATCGCATCGGCCATAGTTGCGTTCGTCTCCTGGGCTTATATCACAGACTATCTGCCGCAACTGCGATTCGTCCCTCAGGCCTTCGCCGTCGGCGTGATCACGACCCTACTTGCTCTGCTATCCGTAATAGCCACCACTGCGCGCGGCAAACACCATCATGAGTTCGGCTATCGCAGCGATGCTCTCCGGCGGTACGGCAGCACGGCGACGGCCTTCACCGCGAATCGACAGATATGGGAAGAAGAGAAGGCGACGCTGAAGGGAAGAGAAGAGTACAGACGACCTACCATATTCCCGGATGCAGAGAAGTTCTCCAAATCAGTGGACGGGCTGCTGGACCTGATATTGAGGGACTTTGTCACCAGCTGGTATGGCAACATCAGCAAGCGTCCGCTCTTTCAGAATGAGATAGACAGGTGCATTCGTGCGGTCTTGCTATCCATCACAGCACGTCTGACGGATCTGGAACTGGACCTCGTGGAACTCGGTATCGCCAATGTGCTTCCAATCGTGACGAACCATATGAAGGAGTTCTACGATGCAGAGCGCTTGGTGCGGGGGAGAGACCTTGAGAACAATGTCACCGAGAGTGACGAGTTGAACATGGCTATCGCGGGCAAGTACATGAATGGCAAACTGCATCCTGTCGCATCGCTCTCGTATGCGGACACCACGGCAAGCTCGCAGGAGTATCTGAGGCGCCTAATAGAAAAATTACTACCGGCTGTCCTACCATCAAACATGAAGTCCAGTCCTGCTGTGACTGTCTTGGTTCGAGAAATTGTGGCGTGCGCAGTGCTTGGACCGATCATGAATATGCTGACAGATCCGGACTTCTGGAATCAGCAAATCGTGAACGTGGGAGGTGCCATGCTGCAAGATCGCAAGTCAGTGAGAAAGGTGCGAGCTGCGCTGGATCAACATGCGCCAATATCTCCTGCAAAAGTCGCCAGGAGCAGTCAATTCCCGCGCCTGAGGCCATATGATAGCGAGAGGCAATTCGAGAGGTTCATCAGGTCGATCCGACACGTTCCAACTTTGAACGAGGCTCGACGATTTCGCAGCGAGATTATGACTCAGCTCAGACGCGATGCGCAGATAGAAGGCCAAGATGCTGCGTATTTGCGCAGATTAGAGACTGGCAGAAGATTACTCGATCAGCGTATCACGAGTCTGTCACAGCAAGCTGCCAGCGGAAGTGAGAAGCCTCTGCCTGCACCAAAGGTGCAAATGCCAGGGCAAAACTCCGGGTCCGAGTCTCGGAAGCAGCAGGCTTCTTTGCGTGAGGTCATTTACGACGCTGCGGGTCTAAGTTATTTCATGGAGTACATGGATCGGCAGAAGTTGATGAAGCTGGTGCAATTCTATCTTGTCGTGGATGGGTTTCGTGGGCCTCTGGAAGGCGATAATGACGAGCCGACGCCCGCGGTTGCCACAGATCCAGACCAGATGAACATTGCTCAAATGTACTCTGAGTACCTGTCGCAATCGGAGCTGCAGACACCAGATGAGGTAATGCACATTGTCAAGCGCTACCTCAAAGCAGGCTCTAAAGCTAGCACATCTGAATACCTCTCTGCCAGACGGGAAGTGCTTCGCATGCAGACACGAGTGTATAACGTCATGAAGGATGTTCATTATGAAGCCTTTAAACGCTCTGACTTATACTACAAATGGCTTGCTATCGACGATCAGCCCAACTTCGGTCAGGCCGTGACCAGAGATTCTGATGCGCTATCGCCAGACAGCCCGAAGAGCAGCAGTCTTTCGCCCAGCATGGCCCGAAGACCACAACTTGGAGGATCAAAAGAGTTGGAGTTGAGAAGAGCTGTGCTTTCGACATCCGATCTGAAAGCAACTGCTCGCGCCGCTCAAAGTAGTCTCTTCTCGGACAGCCCCCGTCGTTCCTTAGACGACGCGAACTCCAACAGCCGCCCAGCATTGTTTGGCCACGATCTTGATGATGACAAGATGGAAAACTCTGTCTCGAGCCTGCGAAGCTACGAGTCGGACGGCGAGACTGCGCAAAAGCTGCAGGAAGCCAAAGCAGTCAGCGAGATGCAGCGCGCCCTGGACAACATTGTCAGCGATGATCATGACAAGGCTTCTCTCTTCTCAGACTCTGCGGACAGGAAATCGATCGATGATGACGAGCGTAGGTCATCTGTCGACATCTTCCAGCGCCCGCCGCTGTCTGCACAGAGCTCTGCCATTGGAAAGCCAAGTCTCGCCTCGCTCGGCCTGGTTGGAGCACCTTCGGCACGTGGTGTGTTCGTGGACGATCTATTTGGTCATGAGTCGCAGAAATTTGCTGAAGACGAGCGCGAAGACTCTAATGGACCAGACACTGACGAGGACCAGATCCGGGAAGCTGCTCCTGGCGACCTCGGGTTGGCTGAGGCCATTGACGTCCTCAATGCAGAAATCGAGAGACTGAGCGCTCAGCGGAATGTGCTCGATTCTTTGAGTGCCAAGGCCGAGCTCACCAATAATCAAGCCGAGTTGCGAATCCTGAGGAAGTCCGAGCAGAGTCTGCAACGCGAGATCAAGCGTAAAGAGATGCAGAAACAGCAGTATGTTGTGCAAGAGAGTGACAACAGTCTCTATGGTCGCACAGCTTTGAGCATCAAGTCGGTGCTTGTTGGACGTGAGGAGGACGGACATGAATACGCCATGTACGTGATTGAAGTACGACGGCAGGCTGGTGACCAGCTTCCTGCTGCGACCTGGTCAGTCACTCGAAGATACAGCCAATTTCATGAGCTGCACAAAAGGTTGAAAGCACAGTTTCCGGCCGTGAAAGATTACGACTTCCCGCGACGACAGACACTGTTCACATTACAGAAAGACTTCTTGCAGAAACGGCGCGCAACTCTGGAGCGATACCTGAGGTCACTTCTTCTGGTCCCTGCCATTTGTCGAAGCAGAGAACTTCGTGCTTTTCTATCGCAATCTGCGATTGCATCTAATGGCACAAATGGTACCCAGGCGGATGCCAAGGACTTCGTGACTAGAATCTACAACTCTGTCTCTGATGGCATGGAGGAGTTCCTTGGCAACATTCCCGTCCTCGATCAGCTTTCAGTTGCAGGACAAAACCTCATATCGGCAGCGACCTCTCAGATCAGTGGCGCTTCTCCTGTTGACAGTCTGGATCCCGCGGCTCAAGACCCGAGCACTGCTGCCGAGGCTGAAGCAGAGCTCGCTGCGTACGAGACGAAGGAGGTTGAGCCATTCGTGAAACCTATCGCTGATCTCTTTTTGGAGACATTCGAGCTTTCCAAAGGCAACAGTTGGCTCCGAGGACGAACCGTGGTTGTAGTCCTTCACCAATTACTAGGCGGAACAATTGAACGAAAAGTCAAAGACGCAGCCAATAGCGCTCTCGAAGATCCTAAGCTAGCAAGCTATGTGGACATGCTCAAGACCACGATGTGGCCGGATGGCAAGATGCGGCCTCCTGCTGTACCACGTACTGCAGCTGATAAGGCCCGAAGCAGGAAAGAGGCTGGAATTCTACTCGGTGCTCTGGTTGCTGATCTTGCCGGGAGTGTCGTTGGCAAGACGAATTCGCAAGCCGCAAGCCGGAAGATCGTCTCAATGTTGAATAATCCACGACTGAAGTAAGTGCCAGACCTAAATCGTGATTGATGGAGTACCGTACTATGAACTGACGTCTGCCAGTACCCACCTCGTCTTCACGCTTATAGATGAGATTATACATCTTGTATTCCCAGAGATCATATTCGACAAGTAATGATTACATGTTTACAGCATTCACACGAATCGTTATTTTTCGTCTCACTTCGAACTTTTTTCATGTACCAGCACTCTGTCATATCCTGGGTGTCACAGTTTCGGCTTGGCCGCAATAATCTTATAACACTTCCCACCTTTCCCAAACATTGTGAACAAATCCTTCATGATCTCCTCCGGAATCTCGTGAGCGGCAAAATGACCACCTCTCGTCTTCCGACTCTCGTAAGCTACAGGACCAAGGGTATGAGCCCAAATGCTCGGCGTCACAGAAATCTCCCTCGGACTGTGACACAATCCCAACTTCACGTACGGAATCCACTCCTCCGTCCTCGTACGATTCACAGCATCAGGACCTTTGGGATGAGTAGCTTCGTAGTAAATCCTCAAACTCGCCGCAGGACCGGCTGTCGAGAAGTAATAAATCGAAACCCACGTCAAAATCTCATCGTCCGTCCACGCATACGAATCCGTCCAGTCGACCAATTTCTCGTAAATCCAGGCTAAAAGCGCCACAGGACTGTCGTGCAATCCATACCCTACCGTCTGAGGCTTCGTGCTTTGAATCGTACGGTATCCCGACCCTTCGGTCAGAAACCAATTCGAGCGCTCGAAACCTTTCCTGTCGGCTTCCGAAAACGGCGTCAAGGCATTCTGGAGTGCGAGAATGGGATGTTTCGTCCAAGACGGTTTGTGGCCTCTCACGAGATTTATGTGGGAAGCTTTGACGCGTTCGGGGTACAAGAGGCCCATGGTACGTGTGATCATGAACCCCCAGTCTCCGCCTTGAGTGACGTATTCTTTGTAGCCCAGTGCTTGCATGAGTTTGTCACAGGTTTCGGCGTATTGTGCTAGACCGAAGCCTGTTTTCTTAGGGCCTTGGGACCAGCCGAAGTTGGGGAGGGAGGGGGCTACGACGTGGAAGGCGACGCCGTTGCGGCCTGTTCGGAGGGCGTTGAGCATTTTTTGCACTTCGATGTAGGAGCCGGGCCAGCCGTGGACGAAGAGGAGGGGGATTGCATTGGGGCTTTCGGAGGGGGCGTGCAGGTAGTGGATGTCGAGGGATCCGAAGTTGGAGATGGAAATTTGTTGGTGGAAATTTGGGAGTTCGTTCAGCTTCGCTTCTTGAAGTCGCCAGTCGAATTTTGTCTTCCAGACGTGCACCAGACGTTGGATTTCTGCTAACGGTGGTCCTAAGTCTCGGCGTGCGTCTTCGAGTTCATCTGGGAATTCGGCTTGGGCCAGCTTGATCTTGAGAGTCAGGAGGTTCTCCTCTGGGACTGAGACTCGGTAGGACGACATGTCTAGTTATTGGAGTGGAAAGTGTACGGCTGTAGGAACTTGTGATCACTATGTTGCTATGTCAGCATCAATTGCTTGGGAGCGGGTCCGTGAGTGCGGTGTGGATCTTGCTCTGGTATTGCAACACAACCTCCGCGGTGGCAGCGTACCGTGTGATATTCCAGTACTTCCTGTGGCAGTCATTGACCGATCGATTGGTTACTGGCCTGCGCTGCTCACAGCTTGGAGCTCGGAGAAGTGATGTCAATGCTAGCTAGCCACACCCACCTGCTTCGGTAGGAACTCTCTTCGTCACCGACGGAGACTCGCGCATCATCAGCTTCAAACCAACCAACAAAATACATGGGCCTGTACATCCTGAGTGATTGCGGTGCTGTTCTGCTTCATCCGTTCCAGCCTTGTTATAGGCTACCGTAATCTCGGTTTGTGGGCCTTACAGCCTTGCACACAAATCATTATTAATAGCTACCATACTCAATCAACATTAAGGTTTTATTCAAGGCTATCTCAACGTCAAACGCCATCACGCACGAAGGGCTCCGTACCCATGTCTTTGCTAGGCTTGGGATAATGACCTCTTTTGGGGGTTCGAGGACTCTGACCCATCTCTTGATCCGCCAAAGGAGAATATCCACCAAGTCTCACGCTCTTCCAACTTCCTCCTCTCCTCTGCCAGCGGAAAATCAAGACAACACTGACAACGCTGCTCAAAGCTCCCAGCAGAAAGACGGCCAGTGAATATCCGGCAAGCGCGCTCACTGACGCGGCATAGACGTTGCCATAGGAAGGGTCTCCTTCGAGCTCCTGTAGCCAGTAAAGCTCGTCTGCCACCGCACCACTCAGATCTTCTGATCCGAGTCCAATGGTTTGAACAATTTCAGAAGTTGCCAGGACTCTACCATCCTTGTCGATAGCTTCAGCAATTACAAAGCTTGCAAAGCCATCCCAAACTACGGCCGTTTCGAAGCCCGTCTTCTGCTTTTGGGTGATCGGGATCTTTGGCGAGCCCTTCTCGGTGGTCTTGTAGACCTTCCAATGATCGATCTCGGTCGCGCCGTTCTGGCTCATGTGGATTGTGGTCAATGTCGTGTTCCTGGCATCGCTTGCGTGTGCGACTGAATGCACGGCTGGTGGCTCAGCGGGACGTCCTACGAATGGAAACTTGTAGCTGCGATACGAGCCTAGCCACTCCGTCGCAAGTCGAGCCTCCATCACCATTCTTCCATCAGGAGTATGCTCGCTTTGAGTGGCTTGTTCCGACCAGCCGATAAAGATGTTCTTGCTGTCCAGGATCTGGTAGCTTCCTCGACGAGGAGCGTAGTGGCCGTGGCCGTATGGATGCTCGATTTGCGAAACAATGCTGGCCCTCTTTGGTTCCGCGCCAATGTCCAATGCAATGATCATGCCACGAGAGTTCTCGCTGGTGGGTTCTCTCTCGTCCTGGCCATTTGCATTGTCGAGCAGAGATATGATCTCGTGAGTCCCATTAAAGCCACGGAAGCGGACGTTGTGCTGGCGACCGAACCTCACAGGAGGCTCACCCATATCAAAGTCGTTCGTTGGTCCTCCGAGACCATGAAGCTTCCACATGATATGCCCATCATGCCTGGACACTTTGTATATTGTGTCGGTATGCCTACCGGACACGAAGAAATCGTCATTGTGGTCCGTATCCACGGAGTTGGCATGTAGGAAGTCCCAACCCCAGCCGTTAGTACATTGTTTGTGCACGCCTCCGTCCAGCTTCGAGCTCTCCTCCAGGCCGATATGCCCATTCGAGGTCCAATGAAAGACTTGCTGCCAAGTCGAGGTATCTAAGACTCGAAAGCCGTTGAAAAGGATGGTGCAGTTCTTCTCGTAACCCACGGCTTTGAGTTGCTCTACAGTTGCTGGCCCTCGACCTTCGTCCAACACAAGAGCTTTGGAGCCAGCGTCGAAGAAATTAAACTCGTGCGAGTTGAAGTCTACGCCCAGCGTACCGACATCGACCGTCTCCTGGAGTGTAAAGGTATTGTCCATAATGATGCCATCCCCGGTTCTTTGCACCAGCCACGTCAACATATCCTGTCCCCGGACGTTGCTTATCCTGAAGTCGAGAGCATCCCAGCCCTCGGCTACGCTCACTCCACTCCATATCAAGTCTCCTTTCCCGTCGTAAATGTGTGGTCCGACCCAGCCATTTGCGGGATGTTTCTGATCGATATATTCGAAAGGTGCTACGAACCAGTAGCCTGGAGTGACAGCGCTCTCATCTGTTACATTAACGATCCATTTCGGGGCTTTGAAATCGGGTCGCTGAGAGATTTAGTATCGTGTGATTCGTTCGGCGCCTCGTCTTATGCGTACCGTCACGAATTTGAAGAGCGAATCATCGTTGTCGTGTTGATGGTCGAAAGGCTGCTCGCCTGCAAATGTGCAGAAAGGGAAGTATAGTAGCGTAGGTAATACAAGAAAGCGTTGCAGCCAAGAGGCAGCAGCCATGACGGGTACAGTAGATGTGCTCAGGTTTGAAGGTCCAGGGATTCGATGTAAGGAGAGGATGGTGCACAATCAGAAGGAGTTGAAACGGGTGGAAAGAGAAGGCGTGGAAGACGTTGGAGCAAAAGAATGTTGCCCTGGCGAAATTGTGAGAACAAAAGAGAACGACGTAGCTCAGTCCCAAGGACGTTGTATGGCAGGATAGCAATAGCAGAGAAGGGGCGGCGAAGCATTAAGATAAGTATTGAGGAGGGCAAGTGATGAGCAGCATGGCGAGTAACATGGCTCGCAGCAATTGGCGGACTCTTGATGCGAGGTACGGAACACACTTTGCTCCTTCGCAATAAAGACCAACGGATAGGAGACAGCCACTGGCCTCGCCAAGTCCCCGTGGCTGCACGGTAGTCGAATCAGAAGAGGATAAGCAGAGAATCCTTCCGCAACAGTTAGCGATACTTGTCTTCGGATTTCGCGAATAATGTCAGATCTGACCGCGATGAGGCTTTGACTTACGAGAATCCTGCATTGCTTGCTATAGAAAGATTTTGCGCATGTGGCATGTGGCAGAAGCAGGTGGAGTGGAGGTGAAGTCGTGGGAGGGGGGGTGGCATTCGAAAAGGGACCCCTGAGAACATCAGGCGCAGGGGTCGGCGATGTGTGCGATTTAAGGTGAATCATACGCGGTTTACCGCGAGCGACCCATTGTGGGTTATTTGTATAGCGTTTTCGGTCAGTCGCTCCCAATATAACTCGTATATAGTATAGTATGTAGATATTAGCTAAATCGCGTCTTTTTCGCCTTGTTTAGCTTCTATAACGTAGTCTTACTATATACCGTATAGATTAGCCTTATTCTTAGTATATAGATAGCCTATCGTCGCTATACTATCGCTATACTATCGCCTCTTGTTATTACTATAATAGCTAAGCCTAACAACCTCGTTTATCGCTTTTTTAAGTAGTATAACGACTACCGAGCGAAGTAGCGCGTAGTCTATCGATTCTACGGCTACGACTCGGTTAAGGACCTTAGTCGTAATAAGGACTATATCGAAGGGTATAAGAAGCGGCTAGAGGCGATAAAGAGTAGTAAAATACTATCGTTACTAGAATAGATTAAATTGCCGTAGGTAGCACTAATAGATACGTAATACGACTATCTCGAAGAGCTCTATAGCGCGGTCTATTTCGAGGAAAACGAGCCCTTTACCTTCTTCGAGAAGCTAGTAGTATAGGCGTTGTTCGCGGCCCTATGTCTATCCTTCGAGCCCCTAAATTCGACGCGAATTCGACGTGTTCTACTACCGCGGGCCTTCGAGAAGGTAGAGGATAAGGTAATAGCGAAGGTCGCGTATAGTAATAAGCTAAACCTATAAATCGATAGTACGTCGGATAGAAACGGTATAGGTATTATAACGCTATCGCTCGTCGACTCGACTAGTTACTATACTATCGAGACGCGTTAGATAGAGACGGTAGATAAAAGCAGTAAAGAAGGCGCGCAGTAGACGAAGGCGAAGTGTATTTAGCTTACTAGCGGTAACCTATCGAAGGTTAGCTTAATCGCCTTCGATATATACGCGATAAACCTAAAGATAATATACCTTCTCGAAGAAGACGACGCGCTTAGTTACGTTATTATAATACCGTGCGACTCTTACGGTAGCGCGTTACTAATAAGAGACTTCTTTAAATACCCGGAAATAGCGGTCCTTTACGAGCAAGTATAGTATATTGTCGCTTACCTATCGCGGAAGAAAGCGATATATTAGCTTCTTAAGCGGAAGTAGAAGGAGGTCTATAACAAGACCTTCGTACTAATTAGTATATATAAGACTCGATAGCCGACAATTATCGCTCTATTTAAGTTACTTAAACGTAGCAAATACGCCCTTTAAGAGCTCGTCCGCGACCCTCTTTATATACTAGATTACGACGCGCGTTCTTCTATAATAGACTATAACTTCTAGACTTACCTATCGGCTGCTATTAACCTTCTCGAGCTACTAAATAACTACCTAATCTTATCTTAGTCTAAGGAAGCTACCCTCGAGAAGGTAATATCTCGCTAGCTTGCTTATAAGTCTATTCTCGAGAAACAGATCGATACGAGCCCTCTACCTATTCGCGAGCTTCTCGAAGGTATCTAGTACGTCCTTATTACTCGTAAATCGATAGCAACTATTATAGGTTAGCAAGAGAGGTTTATAAGGCAAACAAACAAGTACTACTAGGTAGTATACTTCCTTAATCCGGCGATAATTAAGGAAGGTATAAAGCTATCTTCTACTAAATAGGCAATCGTTCTTAATGCCTTACGAGCAACTACGAAGGACACCGATTAATAGCTTGCTATTAAGACGGACTAGTACGACTATATCTATAAGCGAGGCTCCTTTATCGGCTCGGACGACTACTAGACTCGATATAGTAATAATATAAAGATCTTCTAGTTAAACAGAGCCGCCGCCGCACTATTATTGTCTACTTATACCTTGCGCCTTTGCTAGTCGACTACTAATATAGTAACCGCCGAGCGGACCTTCTTAGTACTTAAATTAATATAAACAAGGCTCCGCTCTCGTCTAATAATAGAGCGACTTAACTAGCTAATCTTTATCTACTTTAATTGCCGAGTCCTTCGGAAGGAGGCTTTACCTAGTAGTAAGAAGCGGAAGCGGACAACACCTATTAATAGTAGTAACTTTACTAAAGAATAGATATAGTAGTTTAATAAGGAAGAGACAACAGCGGTAGCTAATGCCGCTATTCTACTATAGAGCGCTATCTACGACGTAGTTAGCGACAGTTTGAATAGCAACCTACCTACTTATAACGAGTATATAGAAGACGAGGCTATAGAAACTGCCTTTAGACGTATAGATATCTAAGATCTACTGTCCTAATTCTATTATATACGCTTCTACGCTAATTCTATACCTATTGAGTAATTATATACCTAAGAGTTATGCCTGAGAGCTAATAATAATCGCACCTAAATTGGGGGTTAAATTGAGTCGCACGCGTGCGAGCGACTCAGCCTAGCCGACCCCTGATCAGGCGCTTGCGCTTGCCGCCCCCTGCAGGTGGCTGAACCTTCTCACTCCGCTTCCACCACAACACGAGAAGAGGAGTTCTCGGTGTAAATCGCGCCATCGTATCGTGGCGTTCTAGTGGTGCTCTGTCATGAAACAGTCGCATTCTTCAATCCTCCACCCAGCCGGACACATGACCGCCCGCTATGGCGCTGCGACCTCGAGAGTTCTTCCTCTGACGGGCATGATTCTCATTATCTGCGGTGACGATGGAGGCAACACCGTTGAATCTGCGAAGGTCGTCAGCGCAGTCCGCACGTTGGAGTCGCAGTACCCACGGCTTGCTATAGAAGAATGGATCTTTGCAAACGTTCTTCTTGAACCCATAGATATCCTTCCAAGCCGACGCTCCGCCATTGAACGAGAGATGGTCCGGTGCTATCCTGACCACGGGGCCATACTTCTCGTGGAGCTGTGGGAGTTCCGTCCCCTCTGTACCTCGGAGGATTGTCCAGATATAGGGCAAGTTTGACAGCCCTCGCGACTTCGGTCCAGGGAACTTGCTCAGCGGTCCAAAATACGCGCTGTGTATGGCGTTGATGGCGCGGTAGGCAAGATAGAGGCCAGCACAATATAAAGAGAGAGACCAGGTATTATGAGGGCTTGCCCAGCTGAAAGATGCCACGTCGAACTCGAGTCAACGGTGCGGGTGCGGGTGCGGGTGCGGTTGCGGGTGCGGGTGCGAGTGCGAGAGTTTCATCAATCAAGCTCAGTCCCACAACCTAATCTAGAACTATTCTGACTGCTCTTCACCATGCTTACGTACTACTGCAGGACGCTGTCTACAGCTACGATGTGCAACGCAGCGGAATTCCGAACTTAAAATTATGCACTCGGGTCGGCATGGGCTATGAATTGATCGAACTACTTCGTCTATACGTATGGCTGCAGTCAGAGTGGCAGTGGCGCGGCGTCATCTTTGGGCTGTATCATTCCACAAGACCTTCATCTCTCGCTCTTGTTGATGGTGACACTCGCTTCCCAGCCGTTGCTTCGATCCCTTCCTCAGACTCCAATTCGCCATATGCCACTGACCGCCAAACGCAGCGCCAGGATGTAGCACTGTCAACAGAAGCGCTGCCAGCCCGATCATGGCGCCATCCAGAATCATGAAATCAACCTCATCGTTCCAAAGCTTGCCGCTGAAGCCGCCCCACAGCTCCGCCACACGATATATCGACCGTACAACAATGCCAGCAGTCGCCACTAACAGCCCTGCGTTGAACGCGTAGAAGAAAGCTCGCTGCCGAGTATACACCTGCAGATCGAAGATTAGCAGGGTTCGCACGTCAGACGTGCTTCTTCGAAGCTCACCTTCGCCGGGTCGTGTGTCGGTACGCCTCGAAGTACTCTCAACTGGAACCATGCCCAGATACCGACGAATATGGCGAGGCTGATGGCTTGTAGCAAGAGGCCGGCAATCATGATATTGACCCCACCTTGGTTGTCCTCACCACTCTGTGTTTTCGACTCTGCCCATGCGCCTCCGACTACGAAATGGCACAGTCCGTGATCAGCATTTGTCTCACATATACTGCATACCCTCTACGACTTACCTGCCTGAAGTATCAGTGAAAGAAAGTCCGACGACATGAACGCGATCGCTATCGTCCGTGGCCTGAAGGGAGAAAGGTGCTCGCCGTAGACGACGATTATGCGACTAAGGCAAAGATAGATCGCGGCGGTGATGAAGACTGGCGCAATAGTAAGGGCGATGAGATACCTGCAAGGTGGTCGGTCAGTCTCGTCGATTACAAGCTGTGGTACGCACACTTACATCAGGAATGATCCATTGGAGAAGGGGTCGGCATGGAGACCGATTCTTGCTAGGTATCCGACTGCTTCCAGCAAGAGGCTTAAAAGCATGCCTATGCCAAAGCCCCAGGTTCTGTATTTGACGCAAAGCCATATTTGTGGTATGATGAGAATGGCGAAGAAGGCGGCGAAGAACAGGTTGCCTGGATATGTCGGTCGATACAGGAAATAGGACTGTGCGAGACAGCATGTGTCTAGGGTGCAGTTGCTTTTGGGAATGTCGAGATTGCCTAGACAATTGGTTGCGCAATTAGCTCTTGTCTCGGTCCAGGCACTGGGCCCAATGCTACCAAGTACAGGCCATATTTTCGGTAGCCATCAGACTGTGCTGCCAGAGAAGTCCACCTCGGTAGTCGATGTCCTAGCATTGAATTGGGAATGACTCACAGCCAACGTAAGAAGCAGGGTATTCTTTCATCAATTCTGACATGGTTCGTGGTACTTGGCTCTCCGTCAGCTTGCTATTTGCACTGAGGTAGTCTGAAGCAGACCGAGCCTGCAGTACCGAGTTGCTGAACCAAGTTGAGCGCGTTTTGCCAAGCACTGCGATTGTTCTTCAGACAAAGAAATACCACTCCTACTGTATTACTATAGTCCACCAGAGTTGTGCCGAAGCTTTGAACATTGATCGCAACCAAAATAGCACAATTCCACAGGAAGGAGGCCAAACTTGCAATTGCTACATCAGTATTTATTGTCACTGGTGGACAAAAAAAGTATGGCTGGCACTTGTAGGCTCAGTGAAGAATGGCCCCGGGCCCACGAGGGCTGGCAGCGATGGTGTATCAAGAAGCCATATCGCCGTTTTGTGATACAAGAGCACTCTGGACGGTCCGAGGGAGGGAAGTGCAATTAGGCATATGCCTCATTGATGACTTGGAGTGTGGCTGTCAACGCTCGCTGCTGAATGATTGCGTGAGTGCCGTTCCTGGCGCAGTGTATGCAGTCAAAGATTCTTTCTTGTGCACAGCGGGTGTTGTTGGTGAAGGGAACAAGGCCGGTTTCCTTGGGAAAGTACGGGAGAGGTCGAACGCCGACTCCGTCTTGGCACGACGACGGGCATCAACGAGGCAACTTCCATTATTGCTCATCGAACATTGATTTCCTCTCGCTCTTCGGGGACGGAGTAACAGGGCGACGTTTCAAGATCCGATCCGCAGAAACCAACGCGCTCTGTGTGTGTACGGTGTTGACGACGTTTGGTCAAGGTACAACTTTTACCAAACAGCGCCTATTTGATTAGTAATTCATTTGGTATTTGACCAAAAGCTGGCTTATACAGTATTGCACCAAAACAGCCCTCCTTTGCCAAATCCACCTTCTATATAATTAGCATGCTTAGCATACTATAACACGCTTACTGTCGCATATAGACTAAACTCCGCTCTATCTCCTAGTAAGGAATTTAGTAAGAAACACCGTTAAATGGTTTCCTTAGCGTATACACACAAATAGGGGGTAAGGTCCAAATTCGAAGAGGGACAATAACTATTAAATAGAGGCTTCTATAGGCGATAGCATATCTCGTAGAGGATTGCTTAATTTAGAAAGGAAGATTAGACTAATATTATATATAGAAACAGCCCTATTTCCTTTATACAAGTACCCTATTCTCCTAATCTTACTACTATTATTACCTCTACCTCCTCTTTGCCTCCCCCTATAGCCCCTATAGCTTTAGTAGCTTTACTAAGTGCTACGCAATAAGGCCCTCGTATTCTAACGCTTCTAGACTCTACTTAGCACCTTGTAACCCTTTACCTAGCGCCTCTTGTTCTCGCTCTTAAATAACCGGACCTTCTTAGTTAGCTTCGGCTATCGCTATAGACGGTTGTTAGCTTATAAGGGTATAGACTCGTTACCGCTAAGTAGAATAGGGTCGCTCGAAGGCCCTATAGTAGGTGTTATTTAAGAGGCTATAGAAGAGGCTATAGAAGAGGCTACAGAAGAGGCTATAGAATAAGCGGTTGTTAGCGCCTTACTAGCTTGTAGAGTAGAGTTATTATCGCTTGCTTAGCGGTCGTTAACGTCTATTAAATCGTAGTCGTCTTTAAGAGCCGATTAATAGTTACTATCGCCGCTAATATCTTTATTAGTTGCGTGTCTATAGTCGTCTATATTAAGACAAGTATTAGCCGGTCTATAGCAAACCTAAGAACAAGGGTTTCCGGACTTCCTATAGCTACAAAGAAGGGTGCTATACTAGCTCTTAGTATAGCGACAACCTAAGTGCCGCTCGAGTAGAATATACGCCTGTTTCTTAGCCGCTTCCGATAGTGTTATCTCCTTGTTCTTATAGCTAACGTAAACTAAGAAGTTAAAGCTAAAAACGGTGTCTATTTTGATAAGGTTGCGGGTATGCTAGTAGTGCTTAATTATGCCCTAAGGAGACATTAGTTTAAACAGGGGTTTAGTGCCTTTGTCTTCCTTCTCGAGCTAATTAATAACTTAGCAATTAATCACTCGTAAACTATTAGTTACGCGGTACTGCTTAGGGATAGTAAGGCTAACAATGTTACCTATCTCGAAGGTCCGTAGATTATTATACTTCCTATAGCGATTAGCCTTCGCATTCGCCGACTCTTAGTTAAGGTAAATAATGTCCTTAAGGACCTTCTAACTATAGTCAATCTCGGCAGTAATGCTAGCGCTTAACGTATAAATAGTCCGCCGCAGTACAGAGGCGTTACGGAAGGTGTTACGTCCTATAGGCTCTTAAGAAGGCGCTCTTAAAGGCACGTTGTCGTCCTGTTTAAATAGCGGCGAGTTATCGTTAAAGACCGTATTGTAAGAGTCCGCCTATTTAGTAGCTATAGACTCGGTATCGTCGTTAATCGCTCGGAGTTTATTTAGCTAAAACAGTAGGTCTGTATCTCCTTCTATTACAGCCTATGTAACTGCTTCTAATACGGCTCGTAGCTACGTTAGAGGGTTACGGTTAAAGAAGGCCTTAAAGGGTATTATCTTTATAGCTAAATGCTACGTATTGTTATAGATCCGACAAGCCTCGTATGCCGCTATAACCTACCCCTTAAGACCTAATTGTAGCTTAATAGCGAGAATACGGCGTTTAAGGACACCGTTAGCTTGTTTAACGAGGCCTTGCGATTAAGGGTAATAAGGTGCACTATAAGCAATCTTAGTGTTGTAAGATAGAAGCAACTGCTTACAAACACTCTTAAACTCCTTGCCGTTGTCTATTTAATATAATGCCGCAATACTAACGAAGCAGGCAAAGTCCTAGGTATAGAAGGCTACTTCTACGGACTCCTTCGAGGTAAGGGCATAGACTTTGCAAAACTTAGTCTTATAGTCCTTAATGTAAAGGAGGTATAAATAAGGGCTATTAGGGTCGCTCGAGAAGTCGATTAAGTCTATTTAGACTCGCGAGAGGGTGTGTTTAGCGACAATATGCTCTAGAGCGTCGCCTTTAGGCATAGTAGGTTACATACTAAGGAGGTTGTAGACGTAGTAGTACTTCAAGACCTATAATAACAGTTAGTATAGTAATAGGCGTTAAATAGAGGTAAATACCTCTTAGATATCCTCCTTTGTAATACTATAGAAACGCTAGTTTACGAGGTCTATAATAGCTCTACGACGAGCGTGTCCGAAGGCGTAGTGTTTAGTTATTAATACGTAGAAGATCTCGTATTCTTAAATAACCTTCCGAGAAGGGGCGCCTGCCTTCTCTCTTATATACAATCGCATATCTTTATAGCTATATTTAAACCTCTTCCGTGCCTATACCTTCTTATTATAATCTTGCCTTATAAGCTAAGAATAGCCGTTCTATAGCGCTAGCGTAGTATTGTCGTTAATAGTAACCTACTAAAGAATGCGAAGATAGCGCTCTCGGTTAATTAATATCTTGTCGTATCCTTTATCCTTCTTCTGCTAGAGATATTACTAGAAAGCGACCTACGCCGCTAGCGGAAATAGATCAACTCGAGTCTCGGTATTGCCTTCGAAGGATAGTACTAATACTAAAGGCAGCGGTCGTAGTAGAAGCGCTCGAATAGGCGTATTACGCTAGAGTTAGATATTTAGTCGAGAGGTAGTTAGAGAGGTTAGTCGGAAGGTAGGCTAGCGCGACATCTTAGTATTAAAGCTCGAGTTCTATACTAATAGCTTCCGGAGGCTATCGCATCGCAATACTACTACTTTATATTATCTTTAGACTACCGTTTTAGCTAGAGCGATGCTAATAATATCGTATATATTATTCCGGTACAATAATATCGTATTATAGAAGTGTTGCTATACGAAATGAAGCTAACTAAGAATTCGGGCTTCAAGCTTAGTAGGCGGCTTAGAAATCCGGTTTCTATACTATACGGACTTATATTTGACTAAACAACACCTTCTATAACTAAACAACACCTAGAACCTAACTAAATTGCGCTATTTTAATGAATAGGCATACGATAGTATAAAGAGGCTTATTTAGTAAAGGACGGAAACTAATACTACTACTACTACTTATAGCAATAGTACAGGCTACCGAGGGTAACATAACCTATAGCAATATAGGTAGCTATGTTTAGCAAGATAGGATAACGAGACTGTCGCTTAGGCTAATAACTAGAGCCCTGCAATATAGGCATTGTAGAAGTGTGATATAAACAATATGCTATACGAGGTTAATGCTCTATCTATAATATAGAAGGAGGCCTCTTATATAGGCTTAAAACTGGCCTATAGGTATAGGGCCGGTTACTAGCTAATATCCCTCCCTTTCTTCGTATCTAACTAGATACGCTTTATATTGCGCGCTTAAAACAAACATATATGCATCCTTAGCGTTCTTAGCTAAGGCTATTTTTAGAACTCCGCAATAACACCCCCGGGGTAGTATTAATCCTAGATACTATAATTATGCAAAAACAACTTCCTAAGCAATACTATACAGACCTACTATTGCTTTAACGCGCCGTAATCCTTACTAGTAATAACCTTATCTGCTAGTCGGTTCTCGAAATCTCCTCTATATACGTTAAAGCTGTTAGCACCGAAGTACTATCTCTCGTAGAAAGCTTAATTAACGAGGAGGTTAGTAGCCTTTTCCTTCGTAGCATTCTCCTAATCGTATAGATATTCCTTAAGTCCCTTATTATTAAGCTAGAGGATCTATTTAACTTCGTTCTAAACAACGTAACTTAACTAAGGAATCCTACTAACTAGGGCGTCGGAGATGCAACTAAGGCCTTCGACTAAGATAGCGGCAGAGAAGGGGAACAGTACGAAGGTATTCGAACCTAGAAGGGCGGTTAGATTGCGGTACGCCTTAGCAACCTCGGCGACGGTTAAGTTGTCGTAACCCTTAATCTTAGTGCCGTCGATAACGCGAGAGTAGCCTAGGTTAATTAATATACGGTTACTCTTAGTCTTTAGATTACTATATAGTAGGTATAGTATCTAAATAGAGAC